TATCTGCTCCAAGTCTTGCTCAGGCAAAGCCAATAGCGGCTGACCGATGATGAAGTGGCCGGGCGTAAAGACTTCTAGATCGTTAGGATCGCTACTTAGGGGATATAACGGTCGAGAATTCAACGCGGCTTCTATTTTGCTAAAAACAGTGATGAGCTCTTCAAAGAGAAGTGAGCGATCGCCTATAACACGAAGAAGAATAAGTTTTGCAGATTTAATCGCGCTCTCCCATAAACCGCCCATATGTGGACTGGCAGGAGGATTAAAATGCCATACAATTTGTCGACTGGCTAATGAATGTTTTATGTAAACAGATAGTGATCCCGTGTGTCGCTTAGTTGGATTGCGTGAATTATGCAAAAATCGCTTACACCAAGCTACAACAGCCTGTAGCTTGCGAAGGGAACTGAATTTGTGCAAGAAAGGTAAATCGACGCTAACCTTAGCAATGTGTGATATAGGGGATGGTAATTTCAGACCAGGTAAATTCGCTTGGCTCAACGTAGGTGTGTCTCCAGACCATGTCGAAGAATCACCTTCAAGCCAAGGTGGAGACCACCACAAGATGGTTTTAGCTAGTTCAGAGGGGTAGAGACCTCGACTAGCGGCATCAGCAGGATTTAGTGATGATGGAACGTATCTCCAAATAGCTCTTGGTATTAGAGCTTGAATTTGGGACACTCGATTTCCTTCAAACGTTTGTAAAGTATGAGGAGAAGATTTAAGCCATGTGAGCACGATGCTGGAATCACACCAGGTCACTGTGCTGCTGATTTTAATTTTATGTTTTAGAGTTTTGATAATATGCTCAAGTAAGCGAGCGAGAAGATGTGCGCCGCACAATTCCAATTTGGGAATCGTGAGCTTTTGCTTGAGAGGAGCAACTCGAGACTTCGCTAACATTAGTTTGGCCGAAGTTTTACCATAAGAATTTTTGACGCGCAGGTAGACGCAAGCCGCGTACCCGCGTTCGGAAGCATCACTGAAACCGTGGAGTTCACAATCGCTTAGTTGATCAGTGAGTACCCAGCGTGGAATAACAATTTTGTTAAGATGATGAAAATTTGACATAAAAGATAGCCAAGCCTTTTGAATATCAGAAGGTAGAGAATCGTCCCAACCACATTTGAGAACCCAGAGCCTCTGCATAACATGTTTCGCATAGAAGGTTACAGGTGCTAGAAAACCGCAAGGGTCATAGAGTCGGGCTATATTAGAAAGTATGCCTCGCATGGTGAGTGTATTGTTCATATCTGAAACCCGATAAATAAAACTATCATTAGAAGCACTCCAAGCCATGCCTAAGACTTTAAATATGTTATCGCAGTCGTGTTCAAACAGATAGGGCTGCTCGCAATGATCAGCAGGAAAGTCGCTTATGAATTCCTTACAGTTACTCGACCACTTACGCAAGAGAATATGAGATAGGATACTGACCAGTACCTGCTGTAATTCCCTAGCAGATTTCACGGAATCACACCCGCTGACGATATCATCGACGAAAGTGTCGTTTAGCAGCACTTGCGAAGCTTCTGGATGTTGATTGGAATTAAGAGAAGCAAGCTCGTGTATAACACGGATTGCTTGGAAGGCAGAGCTTGAAACACCGTAGGTAACAGTGGTAAGCTCGTATTCCTTAAGAGGTTGGTCAGGAGATTCGCGCCAGAATATAGTTTGATATTTGCAGTCAGCATCGTCTATGCGCACCTGACGGTACATTTGTTTGATGTCACAGGTGAAGACGATCTTGTGAATCCTGAAGCGCATAATAATATCTTCAATATTTCTTTGCAATTTAGGCCCTGTCATTAGGACCTGATTTAACGAAACACCGGTTGAGCTGGAAGCCGAAGCGTCAAAAACTGCACGAAGCTTAGTCGTGCTACTAGATTCGCGCAGAACACCATGATGCGGAATGTAGTATCGCTCACTTGCGTCAGAGCAAGAAGCTTCACGCATATGACCCGAACTATGATAGTCTCGCATGAACTCTACATAGAGTTCACGCAAGCGCGGATCCCTGATAAGCTTACGTTCCAAATTGTAGAAGCGTTTCAGGGCATTGATATGTGTGTCCCCCAAAGGCTTGTGATTCACCTTGAAGGGAAGACGAACTTGAAAACGACCAGTGTCGTCTCTACGATGCGTTTCGCAAAAGTGTTTTTCGCATAGAACATCCTCAGGATCTTGAATAGGTTGACTGGAGAACTCTTCTGCTTCCCAGAACCTTGTAAGTGCAAGATTGAGGTCAAATGTGCAAGCCATCGACATCACATCTTGAACGTGTGACGATGCTGCGGGAGCTTTGCCCATAATTACCCATCCAAAGATAGAAGAATAGGCAGTAGGCATGTTGTCACCTAGACTGAACCTTCTACCATCAAGGATCTGTTCATACAAGTCAATGCCTAAGAGCAGGTCGACTTGTCCAGGAATGATAAAACTTTTGTCTGCTAATACTAAATTGCTACATAGATTTAAAACTGATTTGTTAACTTGAACTGATGGCAGATTATTTGTAATGCGCTTCAAAACAATAAAATCGGAAGTTAATGTTTTAGAAGCATTTATCAGAGGCTTAATATGACATGTTACCCTGCCTAGAGTTTGCTGAGGGGATGCTGCACCTAAACCAAAAATTGATGAAGATTGAGTTCGATGAAGTTTCAATTTTTGAGCTAAATTTTCTGTAATAATAGACACCTGAGAGCCACAATCAATTAATGCGCGAGCAATGTGAGTATAACCATTTACATCTAAAATTCCTACGAGGGCTGTACCAAGAAGCATAGTGGATGCACCATCGGCACCATGTAAAGTTTGAAGTTGGACTGCGGAACTAGTAGTCGACACAGCAGCTTCATTGCTATTAGGAGCTGATGCATGCTGAGTATAATTATTTTCAGCTGTGGCCTTTGAAATGTGCAATTTTGTGTGATGATGGCCATGACATATCTGACATACACTTCTAGAAGTACATTTTGAAACATGATGTGGTCTCAAGCAGTTAAAGCAAAGTTTATGTTGAATAACAAAAGATTTTCTTTGTTCCTGAGTCATAGCGTTAAATTTTAAACAGTTATATATGCTGTGCTTACTCTGGCAACAAGGGCAAGAATAATTTGCAATATAATTTAATTTAGGTTTCTCTTCAATAATATTTAATGAGTTATGTGTATTAGTTTTTGTATGAGAAGTTGAACCTGAAATGTTTTCTAATATTCTCAATTGAATTTCTAAAAATTGTACAAAATCATCAAATGTGGGAATATTTATGGGATTAATTTGTGACTCAAATTTACTTCTAAATTCAATAGGAATCTTTCTTAGTAATATATGTACTAATAAGAAACTCCATGACTTTACATTAAACTCTAAAGCAGTTAAAGCATTTGTATTTTCTTTAATAGTATTTAAAAATTTGTTTAAAGACTTAAAATGTATTTGTGTAAGGTTAGGTAAGTTAAGAATAGACTCAACATACTTGTCCGCTATGACTCTTTTGTTTTCATATCGCTCAGCCAACAATTTGTATGCAATATTATAGTTTTCATTAGATATAGTTAAGTTTTTGATAAGAGATAAAGGCTCCTTGTCTAATACACTCAGTAAATAATGCATTTTTTCAATTTCACTTAACTTTTTGTTATTATGAATTAAACTGTTGAAAATAGAAATAAAATTTGGCCATTCAATATGAGCACCTGAGAATCTAGTCAATGATATTTTAGGTAAATGAAACTCGCAGCTAGGCACTGGAATTACTTGTGTATCACAATTTGCACTAGATTTTGACTCAAATAAAGTAGTATGATACACTTGTATTGAGTAAAACATGTCATTTGAAATATTATAATTCTTTTCAATTTCGCTACGCTTATCTTCGCCAAAAGAATCGATATTTGCTATTAAAAATGAGAAAGACTCCTCCATTTGCTGCCGATATCTTTCTATATCCTTAAACCGTACAAGAAACTGTTGCTTTTCCTTCATGTTTACAGAAGGTTTTTTAATAATGTTACCACCCAAATCATATAACTGCTTTATATGATTTAGTGCTATTTCATATTTTACTAAATGCATTTTGAGGTCAGACATCGTTGATCGTTATATATTTTAATTACGTATTGTACAAATTACTAATATATTATGATAGTATGCAAAATGTAAACAAATGTGACAATTTGACAAATGACAAGTAACAAGTGACAAATGACAAGACACTATTTGACATTGACGGTTGACCGATTCGCAATCCGGAATGAAACAGTGATGCCAATATGAAATTGTTAATTTTACGTATGCAATATGGCGTCAAGCGAAATGTAATAATTAGATGTATATTATTGTAGGTATATATGTAATGTTTTTTGATGGAAATAAGGATGATTTATTTAAGATGAGGTTTGATTACTAAAGGATATCCAGGATCTGAAGGACCATAAAAGGGTGTTGGGTAAAGATAGAAAGGGTGGATGGACTACCTGGTTCGCCGTTGTCCCGCGTGGGTTCTTAAGTCGCGTTTCGTACACCAATCACTTTCACACAACACCGGGTGATTTGCTTAAAGTTTGTAATTGTGAAATAAGATAGTTTATTGCGTTTCGCACGATAACTTTGACGCGTAGTCTTAAATTTGATGGGGAGAATGCGGAGCTCGTCCCATCGCCGTACGCGGCCGTTGAAGCTTTTTTTGTGTACTACCTCCAGGTAAAGGAATATCGAGGGAATTTAGGATGTGACGGTAGGAAGATATATAGAGTGATGTCAAGTAAAGAATGTGTACCTAACAATCATCATACCTTACTTATTCTTGTAACTTTCCTAGATAATCCTGTATTTTATGGGAGAAAACGGTGTCTGAGAATAGCCCCACACACAAATCAGCTCAGGTCGATGGAGGATTTTAATTTATAAAATGTAGTGATTATGAGTTCAAATCTATTCATAAAATGAGTGAACACAAAACGTATAGCGTAATGTAGACTTTAATTTTACAGTACACTGGTGCGACGATGACGGGTGGATGCGGGGCGACGGGTGCGCGGGTGCCGACGGCGGCGTCCCCAGCGAACACTGCGTCCAGCTCCTCGTCCAACTCTGCAGGAGGAACACGCTCCACTAGCCTTAGCACGGCGCCCCCGCCACCCGCCTCCTCTGCCTCCACCACGGGCGCGTCCGGGGAACAGCTCAGCCGTACCAACTTATATATCCGCGGCCTTAGCCAGAACACCACCGATAAAGACCTCGTCCAAATGTGCCAGATGTAAGTTTCTGCATCTAAATTAATACTTTTTGCGCAAATATTTTCTTTTCTTCTTCTTTTCGCTGTAAAACATTCGAATCGTCTGGAACAAAATCTCAAAATAAAATTGCGACAAAATTCGGAAATATATTTTCATTTTAAAGTTTTATAAATATATTACTTACTTTTCAAATACGATTTAGACAGCATAATTCATTTACTAACAAGATTATCATTTCAGGTATGGCAACATTATTTCAACAAAAGCAATATTGGACAAAAATACAAATAAATGTAAAGGTAATCAGAATTAATAAGCATTCACACTCATACACTATATATATACATACATAATATGTAGATTTCCTCCTATGCCGACATACTTATAATATTATAATTGTGCATAGAAATTCACGTATGTATTTAAATTGTCTAAAATATATATTTATTATTTATATATTGAGATGTATTTTTCTCATAGAGGGAAATTATTTGTAACTGAATTTATATTAATATTTTCTAGAATACCATATACCTTCATTAAACTAATTCATCTATGGTGAGACTTTTTCTGATATATGCACGAACACTAGTTTCGATTTAAACATTATTTATGACATCTCATACAAAGAACTTATTTTTCATATATGTTAATTTTATTATTTTTTCATTATGGACATCACCATTATGCACTACGGCACGAAAATTTTTAAATTATTATTATTATTATACGTTTGGTGAAAACGCACGTAAATGTTTTTCACAGTGTTCTTCTTTTCTCACCTCTCATTGCTCAAATTGAACGTAAGCTCAAGTCATTAGATTACATTTAAAAATTTTTCTTGCATTAGTTTATGTTAATTGTACTTTCGAATCTCTAGATGTCCTTTGATATTAATTAAGCATGTATCATCGATTTCGCAAAATCTACGTGTATGTCGCGAAAGTGCCAATCACTATACACGCATTTTATTTTTGTTTTCGCAGGTTACGGTTTTGTAGATTTTGAAACAATCGCGTCAGCGGAGGCTGCTGTTAAAGGATTACAAGCCAAAGGTGTTCAGGCCCAGATGGCTAAAGTGGGTATCTGGTTCCTGCGTAGACTGAACCGTGTACGTTGTGCATGCAAGTAATACTATTATGACTAACCGCCTGCTCCCTCTCCGCTCATCCAACTTCACTATCGACACGTCGGTAATTGGTCCATTATGCCTCGTATCAAAATCAGTTACGAAATACCTTTTCTAAGATTCGTACATTTACTCTTCCTTGTTTTTATTATAAACGAAATAATTTCATAAAAGAATTAAGATGTACTTACTATCGCATTTTGATATTCTTATGATTTTATAGATCAAGTTTAAAAGGTAGTTTGGTTCCTTATAGATAATTTTATGTAAAGAACATAATTCGTAGATAAGAGGATTTGTGTTTTAAATTTTGATGTTTTTCTCGATAATGGATTAGAAAGACCCAATAAACCTCTCCAGTCCTATCCTTTAATCCGCCTACCCTTACTTTATAGCTTTAGTATTTACCCCATTTTCTATTAAAGAAATGCTATAAATATCTAACTGAGCATTTTAAAGTACCTACAGTCGTGTTCTCTAACTATTGTAAATGTTTTGCTAGATTTGAATAACCTATGCATATAGTAGCATCAGCATCCTGTTCCATATTTGGAAGTCAATTTTTAGATACCGTGTAAGTCACATATTGACTATAGATATTTGGATCCTATTTAGCTTGAGTAGGACCAGAGTTCAGATCATTGACATTAAATGGGCGATTCAAAAGGCAAAGGAGTTGTTTTTATAAGTATATAACCATTCATTTGTCAGTTTAATTTGGGGATCATCACGAGATAATTTGGTATCAGCGTTTTGCCCAAACAGAACTGTGTGACATTGTCGTCTTGTAAGTATTTATAAACCCTTTCAATGGTACGCAAACTCAGCGCAGATATAACGCTTACTTACTTCAAACATTGTTTCATCCTGTTAATTCTATACTATTATCGTTTGCTTCAGCGTTATAACAATGTATTTCGCTACTGGGCTCTGGGTATTTCTATGCTTTCAATATTAAATTAGTGTATGCGACTTTAACAAGCTTCATAAACTCTATGCTGATGTATATGCCCATGTCGTTGATAACACCTACATAATAATAATATTATAGCATATTAGATTCAATCCGCTGATTAACGTCACAGCTGGCTTCAGTGTCTAGATAATCTACGCTAGCTTCAAGCTAATATCAATGTACTCCGGAATAACCTCGATTTTCTTGAGAAAATGAGAATAATCAAATTTCCTTTTTTATTTACGAGAGAAAAGAGTTGTTATCTATCTGTAAAATTAATTATATAACCTTAAAATATTAATATTTCTTTATGATGAAATCGTACGTTTATAATGACGATGATATTTTTTAAGACTTAATATTAAATATTTAAATGATATATTTTCCTAAGCGTTGAAGATAGGTGAGAAAATACATTGAGCAATAAAATCTTTTGCTTGAACTATTTTATTGGGGTTTTACAGCAACAGGAACAAGATCCTACCAACCTGTATATGGCCAACTTGCCACCGCACTTCAAGGAAAACGATGTGGACCAACTGTTAGCTAAGTTTGGCCAAGTGGTGTCGACAAGGATCCTCCGAGATACCCATGGACATAGCAAAGGGGTCGGCTTCGCAAGAATGGAGTCGAGAGAAAAATGCGAGCAGATCATTCAAGTAACTTTAACAATTTATGATCCCCTTACATTAAAAGTGCATGTAGTAATAATAACGCAAAGTTAGACCTTAGCTCATTATTTATTAGGTGCATGTCACGGGTAATAAAATCTACCACTGTAAAACAACAAATATATTAAATAAATGAAAAACCATTAAACACTTTCTAAAAACTTCTGTTGAATTAGTAATGTCCTTGCCGTTACATCTTCATTCAAATAATAACTAACTAAAATTTATTATCTGCGATACACTTGCGCGTAGATCTGCAATTTATTTACACATTCAATAAAAAAAGTAAAACAAGTTTTTAAATATGTAATTTTAACGTGAATTTTCACATAAATTGTCCCCCATCCCACGGGAACCTCTTACTGTCCCATGATAAAATGTATTCCAAAAGTTTACTGACTACTAAAGCACACGTTACATAAATTTTCACAAACGTTTGCCCAATCTTATGGAAATGTTTCCTTTTTCTGTGATAAAAAGTAGCCATGTTACTATGTTTCAGGTATTTTATTCTCCTTTCTTATTGTTATAGTACATTCATTTTAAATCTTCTAGCAATTGAGTTATATTTTTAAATTAGCGCCAACAAATAAACAGACAACAATATAATCATTTTAAATAGAATAAATAGAATAAATTGAGGTTTCGTATAATAGATAGATCATTATTAGATACTAGGTATATCTACATACCATTTAAATATTTTTGGCTATACTTTCATGGAATTCGCTCGAAGACCGCAGAAACTTATTAGATCTAGTATTTTTATACAATAAAGTATTTAATAATCAAATTCACTTTCCAGAGCTGTTTAGGCACTTTGACTTAAATGCCTTTAAGATATAGATCCCCCAGAAAGGCTATCAAGTTTCTCCCATACCCTCGTCGCTCCACATATACGTGCTAATTCTCCTATTCCAAGAAGTTGCTATTTATATAATAGCTTTAATAACTTGGATATTTTTTACCAATCAATAGTCATGTACCGAAAATTGGTAATAGAAGCAATAATTTAATATATTTATAGCGTATATCGTATATAATTTAATGTTTTTTTTGTCTAGGCATTATAGTAAAAAATAATTTTCATGTAATCATTTTTATAGTAGGGGAGCCCAAGAGGGGATTTTCTGTAGTTACTCAAGCGCGGCAGATTAACATAAAAGAGGTTACCTTGCACTCTATTGAGTACTTTCACCACAATATAAGTCTTCTATATAAAGGGGCGCGTCTAGGGAAGCCGATTAAAATATTTAAAAAATGTTTTGATAAGGTAGAAATACTTGAAACCGTCAGATTAAGGTGTGGTAGGCAAGTCACATCCTGAAAAGTGTCCAATTTAATAATCTGCCGATTTGCACAAGCCTAAGAGGCAAAAATCATCATAAACTTTATAGTCGATTCAGTTAAATAAAAATAACTAATAAGAAATGTTACGAAAAATAAACCTGTTAGTAAATACGCGGAAAATGTTCCGATAGATGATGGAACTGCGATGCAAAAGTGAACTGATAACACGATAGTAAACGATGGTACACGCAATGAAAGTTGCGTGTTACGAGCTTTAATTACTATAATTCTTGGTCTTAAATTAACTAATATTAACATGTATTAATTTTATCAATTTCAGATGTTCAATGGAAACGCGATACCGGGTGCAAAAGAGCCGTTGCTCGTGAAGTTTGCTGATGGGGGCAATAAGAAAAAAGCTTTGTATAACAAACAAAACGACAACAATGGCCGAGCGTGGAGAGACAATAATGAATCTATCACTCAGGTATTTACAATTAATCTAGGATATACAGTAGGTACAATCCGTTCATAATATAATTGATACTTATTTTTAATATTAGAAGCAGAGATTTTTAGTAAGATGTGAATTGTATCGCTAATGAAATCTAAAAGTTTAATAAGTAAACTTTAGAATTGAAATAGCTAATCTTTTTCTTGTCGAGCGGAGCCGCGGACTAACACTAGTTATTTAATAAATTTTTTGTATTTATAATGCTTAAAATACTTACGTCAATTTTCAACTGGTTTAGTGAAACAACAGCAATGGTTGGGTATCGCAGTTTGTTATTGATTCTGTAGTTGTCGGTGTTACAGGCGATGAGTGTGACGGGAGTGTACGCGGGGGGAGTGGGCGGCGGTGCGGCGGGCGAGTGCGGCGTATACCGCGGCAGCGGCGTGTACGGCGTGGCGGCGTTCCACCCGCAACTGCACCATCACCACGCGGCGCACCCGGCGGCCTGGCTGGCTCCCTATGCAGCACTCATCCCGCCAGCGCACCCCGCGCACCACGCGCCTCACGCACCCCATCCGACCCACCCCGCTCACATACCAATAGACACCGTGCCTAGCCAATACGTAAGTTACGCATTTTATTCAGTATGGAAAATATTCAACATTTTTGTAATTTTAGTTTCAGTGACATATCGAAAATACTAGGGTAGGATTACAAATGAGCAACATATCTGTTTAGTATAACAAGTAAAAAACGCTCAAATTCCGGCCACACAACAAAAGTAAAAGAAAAATCAGTCATCAGTAAAACAAACAGACTGATAGTTTTCTCTGTTTTCCAGGTAAACTGGGACAGCTTAAGGCCGGAAAATGAATTATACGTGAGTGTCAAAGACCATCACAACACGCTCTTGTAAAACGCGTTCTCATATCGCTTAACGCTACCCTCTAACTAGAGCTCGCTTTATTTCCTGGAGAACATAGTGGTGACCTGTATCATGACGTTTTATGTTTCAGTACTTCACGTCGCACCCCTACCAATACTTCACGGGGCCGACTCCACCCATCATCCAGATGCCGATGGAGAGCGAGCACGCGTCGACGGCGGCGTCGCCCGACGAGGCCTACCAGCCCTACCCGCCCCCCAAGTAGAGTAGACCACGCAACATGCTGTACACGAGCCAAAAATCAAAGCAACTGTGACTTTTACGATGTTAATTTGTTTTAGTTTTAATTTGCGGCCGTTATAGACTTCATCGAATGCTGCGTGCCGCGCCTTGCGTCGTACGCACGAGCCTAAATCTTTATTGGCAGACTTGCCTCGGTTTATTTTTCGGTGGGCTTCGATCCTCTTGGCTTTATGCGATTCGCTGTGATGTTTTGATGAGGTCTTTTGACGGTTCGAAGAGAGGATTTGATGTATAGATATAGCTGCAATTTTAAATGTGTTTTACATTATAATTTTATTATTGTTTTATGAAAATTTTAATGTAAGATTTTAGGCGCAGGTTTTGAACATGTTGACACGATTATTTAAGATAGTTAGGTATTTATTTTAGCATAGTTTAATTTCATTGAATTTTAAATTTATTTTGGAAAAAGATTTATTTTTATTTTTGAGTTGCAATCGTAATATATTAATATATTAAACCCGGCATTACAAAAAATAATAACGAACAAATTAAGTGCAATCCGGATTTACAAAAATTATCACTTTATTAAAAGATTAGAGTTTATAATTTCTTTGTAACGGAATCATTATTTCCCAGAATAATGATAATAGATGGAAAGCAATATCTGCGCGGCTTAGTGTTAGAAAGTAAACGGAAATGGTCATATCATGTGGAAACAAATTTATATGCTACCAAATTGTAAAGAAGAAACGACTTATATGTTACGTTAAGAAAGGTTTATCATCGTGTAGACGTCGTGCAAATGATTATTCCGAAGATTTAAAATCTTTCGCGAAGTTTGTATTTTTAAAATACAAAAAAAGTATCGATAATATCAAAAAAACGGCCGAAGCAGCTAAATATTTTAAACTTTCTCTAAGACATTAATAGATGGTGTAGGTATTTTTGACCACCACGTGGGACTATGGTCGTGATTAACGTATGTATATGTTTAAAATGTGTTTGGCATGGTGCTTTAGTAATTTTATTTAAAAAAATGATAATATACGAATAAAGTATACAGTATTATCTACATTATTCATTCATACTGGTGCAGTCTTCCAAGAATCGCAAGTACCTATTTTTAAAGCATTTTTTAAATATTCTATCGGTTCTCAATTTATTTTAAATATAGTAACACTCGTGCGCAAACAAACCTGTGCTACTCAGGGCGCTTAAAAGATATAGCATTACGTAAAGTATAACTCATCTCGTCTCACTCATCCTAGTGTCAACCACTGCTCGCCATTATTGTACACGTTTACATCACGTTTAGTTGACCATGGAGCTTAAAGTGTATTTTCCTATAGACAATTTTACTTTGAATGCAATACATAATATTAAAAACGTCGTTGCCAAACCCAAATACAGACTGAATTTATGTATACCGAAACCTCCAGATAGTTATTTCTTGATCCATGTTTTGATTCTTCCACAATAGTATCGACTATCGAGAACGAAAGCGCAATAGTGACAGCGACACGTGTACGATAGCTGAGCGGTCGGAGGGCCGCAGTGCTGATACGGCAACATTAGCAATAAGCAGTTGTATGTAAAGTCTATTTATACATTTTACGAGTCTATACAAATTTTTGTACGTTGAAACTCATGTTTGAAATACGTGAATAATGAAGTGATCCTTTTTTGAGAATCATGTACTGAATCAAGTGTAGTTATTTTTAGGCGGTCGGCAACTCGGCACATTCCACTAGAAACCATCAAATAAAAATTCCACGATTGATTTCCACATTATGAATTGTAAAGGATTCGAAATACACGTATGAACGCCGTTTTGGTGTAAATGAGCACATTTTGTACCATCACGTAGGTTTTGGGTACACTTTATGACTTTATATAAAATTTGATATTTTTATATTGAATATATATAAATTATACATGGATATGTATACATGTATATACATTGTTGATGGGTACGAGTAAAAAAAGCCTACTATATCGCAACTGTTTAATTCTATTTTGGCACGTCGAGAGTTTCATCAGAACCAAAGTATACAAATCATTAAAATCGAGTAAGAAGTAGGGAAATATTTATACAACCCAGGGACTGAAGACTAGCTAAATGTTTGATATATTAACTGTATTTTAACTGACGATTAAGATGACTTCTTTATTCAAAACCTGTAGACCGGCTTATGATAAATCAATACAGGAACTGAATTAGATGACGCGACAGGTTTTGAATGAACGACGTAGACTTTGAACGAATTAGTAGATTTGTTATTTGTTTGATTCTAATTTTCAGGAATAGACTGACGTCGAATATTCGACTTACAAATTAATATAATAGATTTTTCAATTTAGATACAACGTGATAGATTTCTGCAACCTTTTTCGTGAAATAAAAATTATTTTTTTGTAGAAGCACCGAGTTCAGTAAAACTATTGTCGAGGACAAAGCACTTTCTACGATGTAATTGTAAGCAATCTAATCGACTTCGTTTCAAAATATAGATTAACAAACAGTAGGTACGGCTGAAATACAAAATAAGCTCTCGTTACAAAGGGTAATGACAGTGAGATTTTTTACTAATAAAATTTGCACTGACATATAGTAACTCCGTAGATCAGTTCTATACTCGTATAATTTCTGATCAAGCCAAATATTTTGAACTGACTAATACCGCCTTTAATTCTTGTGAAATTTTGAAAACACGAAGTGCGATATATACCCATGTACCTATATCTTACTGATGTCGCGTGGTACTTAGATAAGTAATTCGATCGTTTAGAGTTCGAAGTACACAGTGGCTTCCTGTAAAAGCAGTCTTCCGATAGATGTTTCCGCTTTGCATTTATGAACTGATTCAATGTATAAATAATTTTACTACTTTCGAACCCGGTCCTTCCTTTGTCCCCATTATTTAAGTCGTAAATGACTATAAATTGTTCCCATCCATATCGGTGTCCATTTTAAAGACTATTCTATTATATTTATTTCATTCCAAAATACAGATCGATGTTCCCCACGTATAATAGGATAACGCTATCACAGAGTTAAGGGATAAGTAGAACGTAGAGTAGTGAGGCACGATCCGTAGTGTGCGTAGTGTGTAGTTAACACCGTCAAAAGCAAGTGTTCATTGTGAATTATTTTTCTAATGCTTTCCTTTCATGTAAGCAATAAACTTCATTTGATGGTAGTGCCTTCAGCTTCGTTTAAATAATGAACAGGAAAACGATACAATATAGCAGTTGCGTGTGCTTTACGATATTTTTACAGGTAATAAGAGGACTTACCGTATTCATAAACGTAGTAATAATGTTAAACTGTGGTTAAAGTATTTTGTATTAAACGACTAAAACGAAATAATGTGGCTGTCTAATCGTTGCATTTTCCACACATGATGTAAGATTGAATTCTGAAGATAAATCGTAGATGTTCCTAGTTAGACTCACTTCGACGTTGACATGTGTGTTTAATAAATAACGTTACAATGAGATTATGGATCACGATTTGTTATATTATATAGTGAGAGCTACTCAAACTATAAGCACAAAAATGAATATTGAGGAACCAATTCCTAAATACCAAAACTGCGATACAACTGAAATAAATCATGTCGATGACTAGAAGTGTTAAGTGAATGTTTTTTAAAATAAGTCATTTAGTTATAAGCGAATGTTGTCTCGTTTAGCGAAAGTGAAAAGGTGACGGAGTGAAGACGAATTGCGGGCTAGCTTTAGGGTTTAGGCGTAACTATAGATAGGTTAGAATAGCAAAAAAAATGTTTTGTCGCTAAGATAGATAGAATAGAGTCTAGCATATCGGGGGCGTGGGGGAGGCGCGGGCGCACTCGTCGGCTCTAGGGTAGTTTCCTTTGTTAGTTTATTAAATAATTTAATTTGAATGGACTGAGGTCGCCGCACGCGCGCGTCTCTCCCTCCCCCCGCCTTCCTTAGCGTAAGAGAGCTAAGAAATTTAGTGAACACGATTTCGAGATAAGTTTCAGTTGAACAAGTTTGCTTTCACCTCTTTTGTTATGTAGTTGACTAAGTGTAAAGAAAGAAAACTAATTGAAAAAAATCAGTGGGAAGTGTCGATACGAACGTATTTGTCCAATGTGTATTAATATAGCGTGGTGTTCTACCCGGCAGACTAGTCTAGATAGTAGAATAGTTTAGATAAAAATTTAGTTAGGTAGACTAGGAATACGAAATGCAAAAAAATAAAACTTCATAAAATGTAAAAAAAAAGATGAAATTGTTGGTAAGAAAGAATATTTTTAAGGGACATGTTGCTTCGTTGTGTTATGATGTGAGGTTTGGCATAACTATGATAATAGTGTAAAAGCATTTCTCGCAGAGAAAAGTCAGAAGAAAGTTATCTATCTATTTTGTTACAAAGTGTTTGCAAGTTTCTATATTGTGCTATGAGCATTTTATGTGACCCGCATTATTTATAGTTATGCTGAATGGAGACTAAATAATATATAAATAAAAACAAAATGGTACTAAGAAGCATGTTTTATTGTGACGAGTCATGTTCCTTTGCATTGAACATATTTTGTAAGAGCAAATGATTGAAATAAAACAAGCAAAACCAAATCTTGTACGTTATTTTAGAGTATACTCCCGATCCCGTCTTACTGAACAGTTTGGTGGATGTTACGTAACAGTAACACTATGCAGGAAAGTAATTTTAATAAGATAGGTATTGTGTTTTCTTTGTTTATTCAGTTAGGTAATCAATATGATTTGTGAAGATTGCCATTATTAAGTTCGACTTTACACACTAAGTGATTACTAAAATTAAAAAAAAAAACATTTTAATATAGAACAATTTTATTCTAAAATGTAAAACATATTATTGCTTGACATATTTGTATACCTATTGAAAAATGCATATACACTGCAAATATTGCAAAAATGCTAACAAAATTACCTATCAACACTACAATAATTCCATATAATAGTTTATATTACACACCTCGATTGACTTTTACACTTTAAGAGTTCATTTTCCTGAGATAGCCTTATTAATATGAAGTGCAGTATTTGAAAACATTGATATAATTCTTATCTTAATTAATTCTATTAAATACTTAAACTTTCAATTGGTGATATTTTAATTAAATAAAGAAAATATTAAATGCAAATAACAAAGTATCAAAAGGCTTTGATTCTCAATTTAAATTCTTGTGCTGTTGTATTGAAGAACTTATTATTGACAAAAAATTGGTTTTATACCTTAAAATGAAACAAAATCGCAAATTACATAGTAATCATTAAAATTTTCCACTTTATTTAACAAAATAAAATAATAATTAGGAATTACCAATAGCATGTTTCGATTTGAATATTCTCAAAGTGTTGTCACACGAGCCCGTGACTAAGAAAGATTGGTTCGACCAGTCGCAGCATAACACTTTATCTTCGTGCCCACTTAAATCGTATAGTGGTGTCTTTGGACTGAAATGAAAAGAAATAATTAGAAAAATAAAATTAAATAAAAATCGTGCCTATAAAGTAATGCAATTAAATTTTATTTGACGACGGTGCTTGGCTCAGTTTGTGATACCCCTACTACACTACTCTACTTACTGTGCCAACGGTCACGGGTTCGAGTCCCGCTGGGGCATTGTGCACGAAAGTTTGTACTCCAGTCATGGGTGTTTATATTTATAATATATATGTATTTAAAATTACATATATATCAACTATCTGGTATGCATAACACAGGCCTCGTAGCTTACCATGAATTAGAGGATGCTGTGTGTTAAAGTTCCACCATATTTATTATTATTTATTTATTTTGCATTATTTCTCCAATTTTATGAGAAAATTCTATGTTTACTTGTATCACATGAGAAAAAAATATATACACATTTTTTTTTCATTTAATAAAGAATCATTAATATCTGTGCAAAAAATATACCACCAAACCAAGTAAAATTATTATTAAAAAATTAAAACTACATATTACTAACTAGGCTAATATACTGTAAATACCTCCTAGTTTCCCAAAGTTTAACAAATCCGTCATAGCCAGCGGAAAGGAAAAGTGTATCTTTCGTTTTAGACCAACGGACCGACTGCACCCAGCCCGTGTGTGATGTGTATGTGGTTTTCACAATGCTATCTGAAAACAACTTAATATTATGTATGTGTATGTATCTTTATATATTATCAATTCTTTATGTCAATCATTAAAATTCATCAACTGGCTATTCAATATAACAATATCTATATATTCAGCCTTTTTTAACGTCCCACTGGGCACAAGCCTCCCTTTAATGCGAAGGAGATCAGTTCATAGGCCACGCTGGCCTAGTGCGGGTTCCCCCCCAACGTGCGTTCACCTTGTCGTGGTGGGGGGGCTCAGTAGTGCCCGGCAATCCAACCGGGCGCGAAGCTAAGAAACGCACAGGGAGGTTGCCCACTTCTGCGGGTTGGCGGACTTCACATGTCTTTTGTAAACTTGCTAGGTTCTCTCAAACCTGCAGGTTTCCTCACGATATTTTCCGTCACAGTAAGACAAGTGTTAATCATGTTGGAGATGATTCGCACATGAAAATATTAGAGGTGCGAGACCCGGGATTTTAACCCGCTTTACTCGTATACCCAAGCGAGCGTGTTACCACTGGGCTACCATGCCTCAATATTATGTAGAACTTGACCAAATTTGGATCACAGGCACTAATCTCAATAAGTTATACAAGTGTTATTATATATAAATCTATCAACATTGCTTTATTTAAATACTATAGTTACAGCCCTTGGGGTTAGGACTTTATAGGGCAGACTGTAATCATTGTACATACACAGTACACCCTAACTCTAAGCTGAGAATTTCTAGATAAGCATAATAATCTTTGCGGTTGAAGTGGCTAGTTAGCTTACTAACAAATAGACCAACAAAATGTTCTACAAATAAGCAATAGTTGAATATAAAATAAATAATAACAGTTACTGAGTACAATTTTGATGATATTAATTATATCATATTTCAAAATCATGTATTCTTTATTAGAAATAAAATATTTTATTTATATAAGAATTGAAGTCAAATAAACAAGCTATCTCAATATACTATATATATATATATATATATATATATATATATATATATATACATATATATATATATATTTCATAAGATTTTATTGTAATGTAAAAATTTACTAACTTAAAAATTACCTTTGTCCACATCATGATTGTCTACGATTTTTTATAACTTATTTGTGCAATGAAGAATTATTACATATAAATATATTAATAAAGCTCTAACTAACATATATTATATTAATGTATATGTTACTATATTATAATATAGATTCTATATTATAGATTACTAAAACTTTAAAGCCTTTTTTTACTCAAAATTATTCGAAGTCACTACAAATTTGGGATTACATTAATACATTCGTTGATAAACAGTTGACATCAGAAGAATCTAACTCTAAATTTAATAAAGATAACTCAACAATTAAATACAAACCTGTCGATCTGGGATCATAAAGACGAATGTGTCTATCTGCTGAGGCAGTAATAAGGCTATTGTTTAGTGGTGACCAGTCCACATCGAAAAATGCTTTGTTGCCTGAAATTAAAATGGTTTAATTATAATAAAAAAAGCAATATAAATATGTGTGTATATACATCCAATTAAAAAAATAGTTGGCCGTCACGGGACGTAATAATTTAACGTCACGGGAGTTAATGAATCATTTTACAATGGAGCGCGATTAGTATGCACGCGCGCACAAACAAGGAAGTCGAGAGGAGGAGGAGGGGCATGATGGCATGACAGCGTCATGCCGTATGTCGTCACGGCATACTAGTCGGTTTTACTGCCAAGTTACGCCAATAGATGTCTCACTTCAAAACTTTCTAGTATGTTAAAAATAGACCTGCAATTTCTTGTTTGATGCCACCTAATTCACAATCCCAAATTTTAAGTAGGTGATCCCAACCACTAGATATAACTGTATTGAAGTCCATCCATTGTACACCAGATACTGCTTCACGATGACCTTTTAAGGTGGTTGTAGGTTCCTGTACAATTATATAGAATTGTCACATTATTATTTGTATAACCCCAAAAATTAACATAAGAGTTTTCTTAATATTTTTGGACAATTATACTGACATGTATCATTAGGATGAATAAAAAACATGGACCTTTTATTTTGTAAATTCTCTATAAAAATAATCCTACTGAGTAAACACCTGTTTACACTAATTTCCCATCAGTATATTATATAAAGTAAGTCAATCACACAACAAATAATATATTACTAAATATACCATTTGGCCAATTAATGGAAAAATATTATTTAAAAAAATTGCACATGGAACTTACTCTTATATTCCCTTGTTCTGGTTTATGTTTCTTTTTCACTGGCACATTATCTTCATCAGAAAGACCTAGATTATGATAATACCATCATCAAATATTAATTTTACATAATGAAATATATAATAATGAGGTGTTATTAAAACTTTTTTTTTATATTTTAAAATGGATAACTTAAAGATCTTTTTAACTTACAACATAAAAATACAAAGTATAGTAATAAACATTACTAAAAAAATGAGAGTACTAAACATTTAAAAAAATATTTAGATGCTTACTTGTACTCCATAAGCATACATTATTATCCCAACTTCCAGTGGCAAAACATTTAGAATCAGCAGATACTGCTAAGCATTCCACTCCTTTATCATGGCCGCGGCAAGTCACTACACAATCAACCGAGTTTCCAGACACATTCCAAACCCACAACATAGCTGATTGATCATGGGAACCACTAAAAAGTTAAATTTTTACATAAAATTTATTTTGTTAGTCTTATTAATACTAATATTATTGTAATACTTTCTTAAATTTATGCGAATATATAAATATTTCTGATATTTTCTTCATCATTTTTCATATACTATAATAGCATTGCATCATATAAAAACCTTGCAAAGACAGCTTGATCTCCACTGAATGAAACCCAAGAAACTGCCTTCACAGGAGATGTGTGACCAGGAATAGCAAGTTTGTGTTGTCCTTTTGTGTTCCAAATATGAATACTGTTATCATAGCTTCCTGACAAAATCCTAAAAAAATATATTCCAATAATTATGATTAACAAAATAAATAAATTATAAAAAAAAATGTAAGCAATTGTTTTGTAAGTAATGAAGTTTTACTGCTTTTTTATAGAATTTACCAATTTCCATGTGTATGGACGGCTGAAACCCAATCATCATGCATCAAACAGTCTTGAGGACTTGGAGCAGGAAATCTTTCCAAATATTCTATTTCTAGGGTTTCTTCTGTTGAAATACCTTTATCTTGCAAATGCTCTGCTAAGGATGTACAAAGCAATTCCCCACATATTAAGAAATCAAATTCTACGACCTTCTCAATTGAAGCTGCAGTTTCCTTCAATAACGCGTTAAGAAGAGTATTAAGCTCCAATGGCTGAACATTACTTTGAATAGCGTAAGGGCTGTCGGGAACTGCATACCTAGAATAAGTAATATTTTGATTACTTAGTGTAGAGAACTCAGTACATGCCGGTCTTTCATATATTATAATTCTACATACTGCTCTTGTTTCGTAGTGAATCGCACTTGTAATTGCGCTTCTCCAGTATCGCTTGCCATTGTTGTAGTATATAAGATTGTATAAAACAAAATCTATGTACTTCTCAACGAAGTTGATTTAAGGTTGATGTTTATGGAAAATACATGTGGTTTTATCGAGAAATCATGAAATCATCAAACATGCCTATTTGACAACCGAATAATGTCAGAATCAATGTCAATTGTCAGACTTATGGATGACAAATGTCAGACTGCAGACATACGTGATAGAAACATAGACTAAGTAGATATAAATTTTGACGACACGCTTGGCTTAGTTTGTAGTGACCCTACTTTCTGTGCCAGCGGTCGCGGGTTCGAGTCCCGCTGGGGGCATTCATTTGAGTGATGACAAATGTTTGTACTCCAGTCGTGGGTGTTTATATTTATAATATGTATGTATTTAAAGTTATATATGTGTAGTGTATCAACTATCTGGTATCCATAACACAATCCTCATAGCTTACCATGGAACTAGATGGCACTGTGTGTTAATGTCCCAACATATTAAAAAAATATAAATAGAATAGGACACTAAAAAGGGACAAGGTTACATACTCTATGTAGGACGCCACACCACATCAAAATCGGAGGAACGCAGTCTTTCTTATCCCAAGAACCATTTATATTCGTTAAAAATATAAAATTACTATTAATTGCATTATTCGCACTTCAATACAATTGAATAAAATATGTTTTAGAATTGGGAGTTGAAAGTTTGTATGAAATTCTGTATTTTTTTATAAAAATGATAACAGCCATCAAATTATTAATTATCATAAAGTCAAAGTGTTTGTTTTTTTTATGTAGATTGAACGGGGGCGAAGCGTCAAGATCTGCTATTAGTAGATGGGTAGTTCTCATCAAAATGTTATTTTTTGCAAAAAAATTACCAATTTTTTAAACCTTCGTGCAGATCTAATATTTTAGGCGTAGTTAATTGTTTTGTTGATACTAAGCAGTTTTATCAAGGAGGCATCCGAAACTAAGGACTAGTTTTCGAAAAAAATGACATTTAATAAATTTTGCTGTTACCGAGAATGACAATTTGTGAGAATAATGAAATTAGTGCGGAGGAAAATGATGCTATGTTACTAATAATGACAATTTCATTATGAATAATACAAATTTGAGGTATAAAATCAATAAATGGCATGATAATTTGTAATATTTTTTATTTTTTATGAAAAATTATTATACGTAACATATAAAACTTGACACAATAAACATACGAACCTTTGTTATTTTAGAATATTAAACAACAAAATATCAAAAATTCTTCGAATTCATAGAAATTGTTATTAGGGACATTTTGAAACAAATTCAGAGTTGATGGGTAAAAAACCCCAATTGATGTTTGAAATTACCACCTTCGATATGAAAATCTTTTTTAAGACCTATTGTAACTTCTATGAATTCAGCGATTAGTCTTACGTATATTATATGATACTAAAATATTCTTAGAAAAAAAAAATACATATTTAGTAGAAATACATATCTTTGGACATTAAAGACTTATTAGGAACTTGTAAGAATCTACCTACTTACTTTAAATCACATGTTTGGTTATTAGTCTAAATTACAACTCTAAAACTCGAATTAAGGGAACTTATAAAATTCTTACAATAATGTACAAAGCGAAAATTCAAATATTGTGACAGACGTTCTAAATTTCCGTAAGACTGTTATAATTTCTATAAGGCACAATAAAAATTCACAATCAAAATGAAGACACAAGTATTGCTCAAAACAAATATAAATACATATAATTAAGAGTAAATAGAAATAGAAATCATTTAATGCGAATTTTGTGATATTCTAAGAAAACAAGCAGTCTTGAAAACATAAACTAAAATATAATAAAACGAGCCAAAAAATCATCAACCGAACAGAAAGGCACTATTTTGATGGGTTTGTTGATCTTGTCGGATTTTGTTTTTGCAAGAATGGTTACATCAAGATGCTTAGAGATGCGTTCTGGATTTTTTTAGATGTCATTTATCGTGATATCAGAGAGAATTGTTACTGTTCAGCTGCGGGCTATTATTCTTTAACTTAGTTATCAGACAGACAATAATCTGAATGTCCTGGGCACATCCAACAGAGTTACCCTCAGATGGGTCCCGGGTCACTCAGGCATAGATGGGAATGAAAAGGCTGGTGCATTGGCAAGAAGGGGCGCTGAAACACCAGAATGTGGCCCAGAACCATTTTGTAGTATTGCAAAACAACATGCCTATTCAATTCTCAAAATTCACTGCAATCGCCAAGCACTTCAAGAGTGGCAATCTACTTCTGGACAAACACACTCTAAAGTGCTAATTAAGGGATATCGCAAAACGTTTACAAAAGAGTTGCTTCAACTCAACAAGTATAAAACCAGTGCAGTAACCAGAATACTTACTGATCACTGCAAACTTAATAAACATATGTTTACGCTCGGCCTCAGTCAGGCCGCAATGTGCAGACTATGCCATGAGACAGAGTAAACTGCTATGCACATCCTCTGCTCGTGCGGTCCACTCATGCACCGCAGAAGTATCTATCTAGGGTAGCATATTATGCAACCGGAAGAAATACAGATGCTCCCCGCTCAGAAAATCTGGAAGTTCCTGGAGTCAACAGGACTAAGCGGAGAACTTTGAACTCATTATAAAGGGAGCTACAATGGACCAGAACTGGTCGACGTAGCTAGGGCCGACCTCGGCACCACACCCAACAAAATAATAATAAATAATAGTTATCAGACAAAATATATACCTACTTATTCCTATACTAGGAGGATGGTGAATCCGATAAAAAATGTATGGTATCAATAAACGGGTTTAATTTAATCACTTCCTCTATTAAAGGTATTAAATGACCCCACACAGCTGGAGCATTATGGCGTAAACAATCACTTATTGTGCACGTGGAAGTTGGTCAAACTTGTCCAGTAGAAAAATGATGTGTGTAGATAACTGCAGTATGCAAGGAAACCTGCTGCCTATTTCCACCAAAGTGGATCGACTTAACTTCTGCTCCATATTTCAAGGCATAATTTTCAGAAAAGTCGACATGTACTAATGCTTCCTGAATATTTAGATTTTCATTAAGATTCTTAATAGCTTTGTATTGGTTCATAATTTTATAGTTGCGTTCCAAAAAAATTTGCCAAATCTCTCTTGAATTTATTTAATGCTTTTATCGTTGTAACTTTCATTTTTCTCTTTTCTATAATTGTTTGTTTCTTCTTGTTTCCATTCGTAAATAAGTATTTCTTTTGAAACTTTCTTCCACTCGTAATAACTGCAGTACATAATTCCTTGAAGATCTTTATATTTTATGTCATTTGATTTACAGGTCTCAGATTCTTTGCAAACAATCAGTGTTTTTGTTATCACAGCATTTTTCTGTTATTATAGACCTTCAATTAATAACTCCATAATGAGATGAATGAGCACAAACAAGTACCTCTGTCAACTTTTTTTCGAAAAACTACCCAGAAAGGCCGCAGCATTTAAAAAAAGAATGGCTAATTCTAGTATTTGTTTCCATTCTGAACTTCCTGCAGAAGTCCGAAGTCCTTCAGTGGTAGATACAAGAACCTTTCTTGCGTACGGACTTGATTTTTTCGAATAAATTCCTATTTTACAGCACATGAGATGCTATTTGGCATCTTCTAAATAGATTTTTTTTACAAGTTCGCTTATAAAAGACCTTACACTGGGACAGTTTTCTGATTATAGGCTAATTTCGGAACAGTAATTTTCTAGAACTGGTATGTCATTTTCTGCCTCCATTTGTGTCTTCTCTTGTTCGTTGAGTTGCTTTATTTGTTTTTGAATTTGTTTACAACGAGCTTTATCCCTTTTATTGTAAGCCGCGATGGTATTGACCAATTTTTTTCTTTTTTTTTTAATTCTACGTAGCGAACTTTTCTTATAGCTGCAGCATCATTCTTAAGCGAAGGATCTCCTTCAAGATCATGCGTAGAAATGCTTTCACCTTGATTACCAGTAACGGCAACTGAGTCTTTCTACTTTAGTTTTCCTTTTCTGACGCATTTTGGAATATTTACTACAAACAAAAGTACTAGCACAGTTGTGTGTAGTTTGATTTCTTTAACTAATATAATATCTGATAAGTACCTGCAACAATATAAAAAAGAGTGATAAGACACCCAACATATAAATAAAAACGTTATCGTTGAAACAAAAAGGAGCAAGAACTTTATATTCTAAGTATCGGACATAATTTGGACAAAAGAGTGTAGGAAATAAAATTGAGGATGAAGTTGATCTCTTCCTCTTCATGATTATTATACGACGAAAGCTAGTAAACAAATATGAAGAATTATGTTCAGGTTTTAAAAGGAAAAAATAAACATAACCTAATAGTTAACATACGTACCTGTAAAATTATGTAATTTTGTCAGAGTGTAGCTGGAACTAAAACCTAAAATGACACTTTCATCCAGCTAATCCTATCTGCACATCAATCTAAACGATCAAAATCATTGTTCTCATCAGTAATCATTGTCGTCTAATTACATCGTCATTGTTCACAACATGCGTCATTGTCTTCTTCTCCATTTTTACAGACAATGACGTTGCAAATAATGATGTTTTCACAAAAATCATGTAAAAACATATTAAAAAACGTATACACAGAAAACATTAATATGATCATTGAACAGTTACTCAAAAGGTAACTTAGATATCTAATTATGCTTATAGAATCAATCCTGAATTAAAAGTTAAGATTAAAAAAACAAATGACGATTGAAATGACACAATTAGGAGAATCAAATTCAAGACTCACCAGTTCGAAATCCAACACGCGTATCCCGTGTAATGTCTGCCAGTCGAATGAGGGACGGGGTAGTTGGTTTAAATCACGCAAAACACAGCGTACGAATCCTTCCGTTTCACGGCACTTTATTAAACAATATATGGAGCGACTAATGACGTAAATTTTATAAACTTTTTTTGATAACATTTTTGAGTAATTTCCAGTCATATTTTTTAAACATTTTATTATTATAAAGTTGAATTATATCAATGTCAAACACGAGCTAGTAAAATAATTCAATATGAATTGAATAATAATTTTTTTTGTGAGAAAATTCCCGAGAACCACGTAAAGCGACATGCAAAATAATGGAATTTTTGATAGTTTTTTCTTAATATCTTTTTTTTTGTTACTTCTAAGTAAATGTGACTAAGATTGCTTTTTAAGTATTTATTTAAGTATACAAAACAAAAGTAGTTTTTGAAAAATATTAAGTCATTGAGGAGTATTATCGAGAGACACAAATTTTTAGCCTCTAGAATATTCACCCAGATGATCTTGAATCTTGACACTTGACAGAATTCATATATGACAGAAATAATAAGTGAGGTTATGTCATGTGTTTTGACTTTTGAAATTTTAAATGTGTTGATTAATTTTTAAATTTTTAAATCAATGAAAATGGTTGTTAAAACTTCGGATATAACTTCCAACAAATATGTATTTACTAGAAAAGCCGGACGAAGTATAATTGAACGAAAGCCTATATTTTCACCTGATGGAGAGTAAGTAAATAAGTGATTAATAAATATTATGTTTATGTTTAAATTCTATAGGAATTAATTAATAACTTAACCTTTTGTCTCCCAGATCAATTGTTATAGTTGTTGAAAATTTGGTTCGCGTATACAACATTCAAACGGGAGATTGCACTCGTATTCTCGAAACTGATGTCTCTATAAATGAGCTTATTGCAATACAATTTCCTGACGATGAAGACTACAATTTATACAGCTGTTCGGATAATGGATATGTCATTGCATGGACTTGGGAACAAGGAGCTGTGTTGCGGGAAACTGTAAATATTTTTTTCAATATTATGTGCTTTAAAATGAAACTTAGTTATTTGCTTATTTTTAAAAGTTACTTGGCAATTTTCAATTTTTGTTTACAGAAACTTCAAATTCCAGAAAACTTGCAAGTTCTAACATTCAATTTAGTTGACAGTAATGAATGTTTTATCATTGCCTTAGACCCAAATAGTAATCACCTGCATCTTGGAACATATTCTGTTAAAAATGGAGGCTTATTATATGAATACAATGATTTTAAGCTTCAGTACTTCAACATTATTGGTGTCTCTCTAGGCTGGTGTAATGGTGATAGATTTGCAGCTATAATAAATGGAACTAGGACACTTTATGTACAAAATTTATACAAACCACATTTAAAAATGGAGTAAGTTCAAAATTTAAATAGTTTAATATATTAAGAATTTTCTTAGTATGACATTTTTTTTTTGGCAAATATATGATTATTAATTATTTGTAGTTCTTATAATTTGATTGTAATAAAGAGTTGCAATTATTTTGTTCTGGTATTACTTACATAATATTATATAATAATTACGTTATACTAGTTCCTGTATACATTTTCTCGTAATAAATATGAATAATTTATTTATTTTATATTTTAGGCTTGTAAACCATAACAAATTCCGCATCCTAGCAGTAGCAGCTCATCACAAAGAGAGCTCCATAGCTATAACTGATACAATTGGCAGAGTAACTGTTATAAAAGGAAATTTATATAATTACAAAAGCATTGCTAGAGAGGTTTTGCACTGGCATTTCTTGCCTCCTATGGCTTTATGCTTTTCTGTTCAAGGTAAATAATAGACAGTAGTGACCTTTTCAAGAGATGTTTTCTTTAGCTTGAGCTCCTGATGACACTTGTAGATTGTAACAGAAATATTAAAAAAATTAAATCATACTCAATATTTAAAATACAATGATTAAATTAGATCTTGCAAATATTCTGTCTGCCATAAATATATCATGCATTACAATTTAGAATATTCACAGAATATACAATATTGATAAATTAATATATTACAAAAAAATAGGAAGCTACCTTATTTCTGGTGGGATGGAGAAAGTATTGGTGAAGTGGACTTTAGGACATTTAGCAAATAGACCTAATGAGAAAGCCTTTATTCCTCGACTGCCGGGGATGATCAGATTTATAACAGTGAACAGTTCTCATATAGCTATCACTCTGTCTAACAATTGTAAGTACAATTTCAGGTATCCTTATTAATAATTGTTTAACCTAAAAATTTAAGTGTGTGTGTGTTATGTGGCGGACGTGAGGAGAAAATAATAAAGCTTTAATATTAAGCGTTTATTGAAGTGCGTATTGCACTTGCGAGACCAAGCGAGAGACTGTCCAATCGATACATATTCGATCTATAATCTAATGTAATATCTATACTTATATATTATGCCCGTTACAAATCATATTACCTCATGTTACATAGGTACAATCAATATAGTAAACATTGTATTTAGTATATTAATTCCTTAAATATTGCCTACTGTATATATTTGACTTATCTCACACACAATTGAAACAATCATAATGAAATATGATATCTATACATAGTATAAAGCAAAGTCGCAGTTTCACTATCATTTCATCCAGAAGGTTTATATGTATAATACATGCAATAGGTTTATATGTATAGTAAAAAAGTCAAGAAATATAATATAGTCTATCTATTCCATAATAACCGTTAAAATGTACCGTCGCTAATATATAAAATATTTCTCTTTTCTATATGAGTTTTAAAAAGTTTATAAAAATTTATAAACAAAATGTAAAATAAAAACTGTTTATTTTTCAGCTGTAATAATAGCGAGTGCACAAATGCGCGTAATTTCAACAATACTGGAGTGTGGTGGGCTGTCTTCTATGACAAGAGCACTCGGCACCTCATTAGTATACCACAGACCATTGTCTGCATTACTAATGCCTGGAAGAACAGGTCATTTGCAATTATATTCAACCACAACTGATAAAGTGCTGTATAATGTAGGTATTTTTGTATATATATGTTTAAACTAATTTAAAGTAACATAGTGTAAGATAGAGTATTTGAATTAAATAATAATTATTATATATACATGTAATAAGAGAGTATAGAGTTATTTATAATATCACTTTTTCAGATTGATATAACAGACATGAACAGTATACCATCTGAAAGGCAAAATCTATTTCCTTTAGAGACTGAAGTGTCTTGTGCTGCTATCAGCGCTGACGGTTCTTGGCTTGTCACATCTGAGTATAGAAACGACGGTATCAACTATCCAGAAGAAAAACTTAAGTTTTGGGCAGCCCAATCTAAAATGGCATCCCCTTTTAAATTGAATACTTGTGTTAACTTATCTCATGGTGGATGCAATGTTGTTGCTATAGCCCTAAACAATAAGGGTGAATTCTGTGTATCATCAGGAACAGATCAAAAATTCAGAATATGGAAACGCGATAGCACCTCACAGCAACACAGAAAGAAAGTTTCATGGAACTGCCTCACAGCTTGTTACTACTCTTCAGGAATAGCAAATTTCCTATCAAATCCAGTTCTAAATCAATTTAAGAGCAGTGAAGCCTTGGAGCCTGGTAAAGTCGAGGATTTGCCATATATGAAAGAGATTAAAAAGAAAGATGACGTCATAAATAAAATTTTTAATATGCATAAAGTTTGTGATGTAGAGGATCAAAAGGATTATGATATGGGTGGTGTGGCAATTTCCCAAGATGGTTCCTTAATAGCTGCTTGGTTTGGATCAAAACTTACACTATGGGACACTCATCTGTGTAACTTGCGAACTACCCTCTCTCACCCGGCTTTACGTCCAAAGGGTATTCATGTACAATTTGGTAATAATGATGCAGCACATTATGTAAGTTATATACATTTTTTAGTAAAATTGAATAGGTATAATTATTAAAGTTGGAAGATTAGAGATTAGTTTATAATTCGTCTTTTAAACACAATTTGTTCCTAATATAATATTAAAAATCTGTACATATAAATATTATGAATGTGAAAGTTTGTGAGTATTTATGGATGATTGTTACTTTTTCACGCCAGAACGGCTGAATGGATCTGGATGAAATTTGGCACTGAGATAGATTTATAGTCTGCGATAACACATAGGCTACTTTTTATTTCGGAAAAATATACGGTTCCCGAGGGATACATTTTTTTGTTTTCTAGAGGTGAACCCGAATGAAGCAAGGGTTAGCTGATAGTATATAATAAAAATGAAAATATTATTGCAATAAACTTTATATTTTTTAAATATTTTCTATTAAAACTATATCACTAAATACTTTATTAGCAATGTCTTATACATTTAAAATATAATTAAGTAAAATAATAAAATCTATCATTTTTTTGACTCTGATATAAATCTATATATATAAAAGAAAGTCGTGTTAGTTACACTATTTATAATTCAAGAACGGCTGAACCGATTTGGCTGAAACTTGGTGGGGAGGTAGCTTAGAACCAGGAGACGGACATAGAATACTTTTTAGCCCGTTCGACTGCGTTCCCGTATACAAGACTCAAGAACGGCTAGACCAATTTTTATGATATTTGAATTTTTGGATTTCTCTCATTCCGGAATAGGTTAATACCTAAGTATTAAAACGTCAGAAAAATTAACGAAAAAAATATATTTATATGGCTAATAACACTGGCTAATAACTATTTATATCTATTTAAAACGTACTCAGTGACGAACCCGAGCGAAGCGAGGGTGAGCCGCTAGTTATACATATATTAATTCTGACATGACATTTATAATTTTAGCTGGTTTGTACAACAAAAAAATGTGTGGTAGTATGGAGCCTTCTATCATTAACTGTGAAGTGGATGGTCCAAATCGAAACAACTTGTCTTGTATCTGACCCCCTGTCAAACAAAATGGCAATGGTTACAACAGACAATGATGGTAATAAATATTAAGCATAATAACAGAATGTTTTGTTATATTATTAGAAAATGTTAATATTGAAATATAGATTATAGATCAATATAAGCTACCAGTTCTTTTATAAAAAAAAATGGTCCAAATTTTAAATCAATAAGTTAAGTAAATTTAAAGTCGTATGTTCTATGTTATATGTATATACGAGTAACTATTGCCCTTACACTACGAGATATTTGTCAAAAATAGTGCACAAAATAACACAAAACGGTAAATCAGTTTTCTATATACTAATATAAAGAGGCAGAATTTGTTTGTTTGGTTGTTTAAATGCTCTAATCTCAGAAACGGCGAATCCAATTTAAAAAAATCTTATTGCATTAGATATCCCGTTTATTGAGGAAGGCTATAGGAGGCTATATATCATATAAATGTATACCTACTCTACCTATTCCATATGAATCGTAAAATAATAATAAAACGTATAATAAAAACAACTTAAAGGATAAGAGATTTTATTTAAAATATATTTTGTTTCAGTGTATGTATTTAGTCCGCACAGTTCAACTCCGATACTAATTCAGAGACGATTGTTGAGTCCCGACAGCGGCGTGTTCAAGCAATGCGCTTTCGGCTCGTGCGCGGGCGACGACGTACGACTTTACGTTATGAGGAATAATTCTGTAAGTATGGGAAAATTTGAATTTAGAATTTAGAATTCGTTCTAATTCGAAATTTAAATCATTGCAAAATGCACAGATCAAAACACTATCCTACTTCCTACTAATATTGAAGTAATGCACTTTCGACTTGCCCACGAGCGATGACGTATAACTTACGTTACGAGAAATATTTTTTGCAAATATTTGAAAATTTGAATTTATAATTCGTTCAAATTCAAAATTTAATTCATTGGAATCTTTACAGATCAATATACTATCCTACTTCCTACTAATATTATAAACGCCAAAATTTGTAAGGATATATGGATATATGTTTGTTACTCTTTCACGCAAAAACTACTGAACATATTTTAATGAAACTTTACAGTAATATAGCTAAAACGCATCAGAGTACCTAACAATACTTAAGTAGTAAGAATTAAGTAATATTTAATTCAACCACGCGGGCTGACTCGCGAGAATATGCTATTTTATAAAGTCCCTCGGCGCATAGACTTTGTGTGTTGATCGGGATAATCTCAGAAACTACTGTACGAATTTTTTACAGTCTCTACCAATAGAAACAGGAAATATCTAGGAAATAAGTACTACCTATATACATTTGTAAATTAAGAAGGAAAAATGGTCGTTCGAAAATTGCCATTATTATACTATTATACTAAATGCGAAGAGATAAGGCTAAACTATAAAAATAGATACATGTAATTTATTCTTTTCCAGGAAATCTACTGTCTTGAACCAGAAAAATCTGAAGATGAACGTCTAGAAATGATAACTCAACGGAATCTACCCACATCGAAATTTAGTGCTCTCATAGCAGAACAACGACTGTACGACGTGCGATCTAGTACTGCTGTTGACGTACACGCCCTGAATAAGGATGCTCTTGGCAATAATGCCATTGCCCAGGTAATATTATCCTTCCTTCCTCTATAATGTGTAAATATTTTAAAACGTAACGTCTTATCTGTACGTCCGTTTGTGTGTTTATCTCAAGGAACATTGGTGCGTTTAGTACGTTTTTTTTAATATGAAAAAAATATATATTAATTTACCAGATATACAATTGGTTACAATAAGTAAACTAGATATTAGAAGTAGCAATTTGACTTTTGGTCTAAAGAAAAATCGCGCTTGGCTAAAATTTCCTTCAACACGGACAGTGTGGTTAAGGCCTAAGCGAGGACAGATTGCTAGTATCATATTATATTAAAGTAATTTTCTAATAGCATTACATTTATTACAAAGTGGTTACAAGTGGTTTATATGGAAACGCATAGAACGTCGAGCTCAATCTGTATTTTTAATACGTTTTTTAACCAACTTCAAAAGAAAGGAGGTTATTCATTCAACACATATGTATGTAATATTATTGGAAGTGCAAAATATTAATATATGATAATCTATTAGGGCTCCCAAACAAGTATACAAAATTTTATAGGTGTATGACGTACGTATGTTTGTCCAAGCATTTCTCCAAAATTAGTAATCATTTTTTTATTTGCATATATAGATTCACCTTTTACTGTAACTTTAGTTGTTGGAACTCGATTCTTACCTTCTTTAGAAGTGTCGACTTCTAAATTTGTAAATCAGGGAAATCTGGATGATAATACTATAATTTGATCCCATCGAATTGGTATAAGGCTGCAAGCAGACTATGGATAATGGATCTTGTCGTTCTTCTTTTAATTATTAATTAGTTCTGTTATGAATCAATCACTAAATCATTTGTATTCTTTAATCAATAGTTCTCTCCCTTCTTTTAAAACGTTTTTCACAACGTTTTACGAAAAATATTTTTTCTTTATTATAATAAAATCCGTTACCTATTTTCATTTATTTATCTCTCAGTATATAAATTGTTATTTATTTACATACTATTTTAAAACATTTTGGGCTTCATGTTAGTTTTCCTTATTATTCCTTAGTTTGAGTAGCGCTATTAGAATAGATATAGAGCTAGAACGAAAAGGTTTATTTTATTCACATCCGTTTATGTAGTGCACGTCGATATAGCGACCAAAAGCGATTTTTCTGCTGACTCAACTCAATAATACCGTAAATATTCACTTCTAAAAGTGGTAGGATTTTTTTATAACACAAACTTTTATGTTAAATGTAGATCATAAAATCTTCGTTCACTGTTCAATAATTCTCTAAATTAGCGCACACGTCGCACATACATACATACATACATACATACATACATACCTAATTATGTAGACTTTCTTCTATTTGAGTTAGGAAAAAGTAGAATAGATCTATTTGGAAAGTTACCAGTTTAATTTACATTGAATACAAACTAATTTTGTTATGAAGATAAGAGAAATCTAGTCTAGCATTTGTTGGATCACAAATATATGCACAGTAGTTGCATAATGCCCTCATAAGACAGAGCTCTATAGATAGCATTTAGCAAACTCTTATATACTTCATACTATTTATTACTTGAATTTTGTGTCTTTTGTATAGAAAAAAAAATGTTTTTATATTGTTACGAGTTAAGGTTTTGTGACCGTAAATTAAAGCACGTATTTTAACTATAGATATATTTTTTTTTATATTTTAACGAGCATTCTCACTATGAACATTATTTTTCCACCACCAACTTCACTTAGGGATGGTATAAATCTTTAAATAAACTATCTTTAAATACGAGTAGTACTTAGGTATATCAAAAGTATATTAATCGCTACTTTAATATTATAAATGCGAAAGTCTATTTGCCTTTAAAGTTTTACATCAAGTAATTCCCTAAGCACTTAGTATATTGTAAAAGTTATTATCATTAACAACTATCGTTCTCATAGCTCTGCCCACGGCCCTACTCCCCTTTCGTAGGTCGTAGTGCAATGTAGATAGCCTCATGGTAAATAGACTATAAAATGTAAAAATATTTTTTTTAAATCAGACCAGTAGATCCAGACATTAATTAGTACGTTCAAACAAACACAAAACAAATAACACGGGGACTACAATAGAGATGAGATTGTACGAAACACAGGCATGTCACCAGTAATATAATTGAAATGTATAATGCCAATTTTCTAATGTATTTTCGAGAATATCAAACTATTATTTTTATATCTTGTTTCAGTTCATGTCGGCTGCTCCACACATGCTACCACCAGTGAGCCTTTTATGTCCATTATTCTTGCAACATATATCGGGTTACGAAGAAACTGAAGAACCTCAGGAAGAAGAAAGTATTATGGACGTTGACCCACAGAGTAGTGACGATGAAAGTTCTGAAGTTAAAACCACCCACGCTCAAAAAGCTGTTCAGCTTTGGACACCAAATTATGAAGATATCAAAGAAAAAAGGTTAAAGAAAATCTTAAAAGAACCCCTATTAGATTTACATATTACGTCTGCTGTGTTTGGTGTATGAATTAAATTTTTAAGTTTTTATAATATTTGCTTTATTTACCTAGTCTTTTATGATACTTATTTGATTTTATCGTTTGAATGATTATATCGTTGAGCTTATCGTTTTTTAATGTTTGAATAATAGTAATTCAATAACAAGTATTAGGTATAGTATTTTCTCTCTCTTCTTCTCGTATTTTTTTACAGGATAGTCTATAGAACATACCAGAAACGATAATGTTAGGATTGCAGTTGTAGCCCAGTAGTAATCGCTTGGAAAACAAACTTAAACAAGTTTACTTCCTGTTCCTGAGACCTCTGAGGTATACCTGTGCGAGTGTTGATTGATTGATTTGATAGAACCTAATTGCATTGTATCAGCCTTATCCACCTCGCAATTCGCATTGAGGAGAGGCAACAAGTGGGACGATAAAGGGGTTAATTCATAACTATTATTAGATTGGTTTTATTATAAAAACATTGTTAATGGTTGTTAATGTAATTGGTACGGCACTAGGTATATTAGACTTGGGCGTCATTTTATATGATAGAATTAGATATTTATAATCGGATCCAGGGCTCGGAAACCCGTTCAATATTTAAACCAGTTTTGGTCATTGATCCCAAACCGAACGGCTTTTTGATTTAAGGTTTCGGTTACGTTCTTTAACCGGTTAAATCCGGGAGAACGGTTTTTAACGAATTTAGGTTCCATGAACAAAATTAACCGGTTAAATGATTTTTTGTGTGTTTACATTTTGCGCGTATTTTCTAATGGTTAGTTGTTTTATTGTTTGCGAATGGCTTAGTAGAAGGATGCATGAACGTTTTTTACTTATAAATTAATTAACCGGTTTATTTCAGTATCGAAACCGAAATCCAACTTTTGTCTAAGAATAACCGTAAACAATTATTATTTCGGCTTACTAAACCATTCGTTTTCATTAACCGCTTAAAGAACGAGCGATGACTTGACCATTACATTAGCGAAATAAACAGTTTTTTTTAATCCGGTTCCGAGCCGTAGGATCGGGTCACACTTAAGTATTATTCATCAATACTTAACGAGAAACAATTTTTTGACGAGTTGAGACATTAATGTCTTAAGACAGCACGACCGATGTCATGGACAGCAGCTAGCTAAAGCCTGATAATGATAACAGTTATAATCATACAGATAAAGTTGTTTAAATAATGTAATATCTTGAAAACAAATAAAAACTATTTACCTACCTAAATAAACAGTAGGTAGGGTTAGGTGTTCACCTACCAAAAAAATTAAATTCTTTAAAATCTAAATCGAAACTATAATTTTTACATAGATAAATTCTCCAGTGGGTATTATATATTATTCGATATTGCGCTTGTGCAGGTACTATGCGGCTAAAATTATGATTAATTTGACTATACTTATTTAATGTAGATATAGGTACTGATACCTACTAACTAGATAATAACTGCGCGCTAACTATGAGACGGAACCTAGAAAATTATACAAATAAGTACTTACCTACATTATACGTACGTAGTTACCTTTATTATTAACAAACACAATTAATAGTAGTCTTTCAGGTTAGATAATAGAAGAAGGTCGAAGTGAAATGGAATTTCTTAGTCGAAATGAAATTAAACACATACTTCAACAATGTGGAATTTTATCAGTTAGCGAATTAAAATGGTCTGTAGAAAATTATTCGGAAAAACTGATAGGTCTTCTAGGAGAACATCTAAGCTTAAAGATATCATTTCAGAAAAATGGTGTTACAGTTGAAAAACAATTTTTTGTTAAATGTATACCACGGTTCAATGAAGAACAAGCAAGGCTCTTACGTAATACTGACTTTTTTGCCAAGGAATACATTATGTTGAGCAAATTGTTTAAGAATTTCAAAGAAGGTGATGGTAAGTATAAAATGAAGTTTTCAATTATTAATCTATTGTGTCATATTCTCACTTTTAGGGTTCCGTAACTCAAAAAGTAAAAAACGGATCCCTTATTGTCCGTCTGTCTGTCCGTGTGCCACCACCGATTTTCTCAGAAACGGGTAGACCTAGCAAGTTGAAATTTATACCAGATACTGAGGTTTATAGTCCCTATTGGGTGTATAAAAGTCAAGGTCCTGAATCGATAAAAAGATATGGGCAAATTTAGATTTTTGTGAATACTTTTAAATACCAAAATTTACCTTAATTTTCAACCTTTTTTATTTTTCGGAATTTTCCCTTTACTTGTGCTGTAGGACCTTGCTTTTAACCAAAATTGACAATTCTAGGTCAACCGGGAGTACCCTATAGATTTTGGGTCGAAAAGTAGGAACCTTTTTAGTTTGATTACGCAGTCAGTTTGTTTATTTTTATGATTTTAAAAACTTGTTCATTTTTCAGGCGCTCGAAAATTTCGTCCAAAGTTGTTTTATGCAAAAGAAGAGCTATTTGTATTTGAGGATGTTAAACTTATGGGATATACGATGCCAAATCTATATATTAATTTGGAATATGATGAAATACTAGCTACTGTAGCCGCAGTGGCAAAATTTCATGCGCAATCGTACATTTTCGAAGAACATCAAAGTAAAAAATTAAAAAGACCATATAAAATATGGGAAGATTACAGTGAATATCTAAATGACTCAGTCAATAATATGCCATGGCGTGACACAGGAATGAAAGCTCTTATCGATTTTTTAAAGATTTTTTCAGAATTTAAGTCAAAATCTAACGTTATGAGTAAAATTGAAGAAAAAATACCAAATCTCTTTAAGCAAGCCAGTGATCTGATGAAACCTAGTTCAAAGTACAGAAATGTAGTCGTTCACAGAGACATTTGGACGAACAATATTCTTCTTAAAACGTTAGAGAACGGACAGTTGCATGCATTAATAGTGGATTTTCAAACTGTTGTGTATTGTGCGCCTATGCTTGATTTATCGTCACTTCTGTATTTCAATACTTCAAAGGAATTCAGAGCGACTTATACTGAAAGAATCATTGAATTTTACTACGACATCTTAAAACAGGAGCTACAATTCGAAAATATAAATATACTTTCTATAGTAGACAAACAAAGCATACTTGAATCGTATGAAGAAAGTGCCGTCTTTGGGATGACGCAAGCGGCATTAATCGTTCCTATAATGTTACTCGATGAGGAAAGGAAACAAGTGTATAATGATCCTATGTACATTGCAACACTAAATTTCGTATCGCGTAGTCAAATATTTATTGATTTAGCAAAAGAAGATAATAAATATCGTGAAAGAGTTCTCGAACTTTTTGATGAAATAGCAGAAAAAATTGTAAATTCGCTAAACCTGAAAAATAGTTAATAAAATGTTGTTTTTTGTGTGCTGTTTATTCTATATCGTTTTATTTTGTTCTTTTATAAATAAATGTACTAACTTATTAGGTACTAACGACTCAACCTCGCTTCGCTCGGGTTCGTCCCTAGGTTGATTCCCCATACAAATTTTCATCCCCCTTAAGGAATGATTTCCGGGATAAAAAGTATCTTATGTCCTTCCCAGGGTCTCAAACTATCTTTTTACCAAATTTCGTTTAAATCGGTTCAGTAGATCCAGAGATTACCCCCTACAACGTCACAAACTCACAATTAACAAACTTTACCTCTATAAGATTAGTATAGATTAGCTGCCTGACTTCGTTTTTATCTATAAATTTTCTCTCCTGTATTCGTCACACTATTGTGTTTAACTTAAATATCTCTGTTGTATCGTCGTTAGCTATGAACAGCGTATGAAAACAGGGTTGCATAAAATGGCTGTTATGCCTTAAAACCGGAGACTGTTTTATCAAAAAATAAAAATATAATAACACTGGAGTACCTACTAGATTATGGGGACTCAAAGCGATCACAGCGCTTGCCCTCAGCTATGCCTAGTCAATAATAACTACGGAAATATTCTGTAATGCCTCTTAATCCATAGATATTCTGATAAGAAGAGATATGAGACATTCATTTAGTTAGACAATGATCGTAAAAACATTTATAAAACTAAAGCTGTGCAAAGATTTGAAGAGATCATATTGTTTTGACTGTTCTTTGTAGATTGGAGAATAAATAACAAATACATGATGAAGTGATATCTTTATTCTTGTTTCATGTATTATTTTTATCACCACACACATCACCTTTACATGTAAACGTATTGTGTGAAACATATATTCAATTTTTAGGTAAGTTTAAATGTATTATACTCAATAGGCCGGCTCCCATACTTTCTATGCCATGGATCATCATGGCGTTGGGTATAAATGTCACAAAACGGCCTGATTAGTAAAATGTAAAGTAACTCCACGAAGCTCAAAATGCTAGCTCCTAGAAATAAGCCTCCCGTTCCACCGGTTGATACTAAAAAATACTTATCAATAAGGCCATTGTTATAATACCTAAATCTTTTAAGCTATAATTTTTATAATTTAAAGTAGGTAGTCTACATTACATTCAAATTCATACATTTCAAAATACTAAGAAATTACGTTTTTGTGTCGGATGTACGAAATTTTACAAAATGAAAAATAACAATATAATTAATGTAATTAATCTAAAGACATACCGACTAAATCTAGCACGCCTCTTACAACATTTCTTCTATACCTCTCACTAGGTAATGTGGATAGCCCTATCCCGACCGTAGAGTATTTTTGTGTATTTGGTTCTATAAAGTCTTTAACGACTGATATCTCTGCCTCCGTACACGATGGAAGGCAATCGCAGTATAATCCATTTGCTTGAGACCATCGCGCTTTCAGTACCTTGTAAAATGAACAAAACATATTATATAATAATAAAGATTTAAATGTACCTGTAATAATGCAAATGCTTCTATACAAATCAACACATACTTCTCAACCGACTTCAAAAAGGAGGAGGTTCTCAATTCGACTGTATGTTTTTTTTTTATGTTTGTTACCTCAGAACTCCGTCATTTATTAACCGATTTGGAAAATTTTTGTTTTGTTTGGAAGGGTATACTTCCAGATTGGTCCCATTTAAATTTCAAAAAAAAATACCACCCCTAAGAGTGGAAAAACAACTAATCATGAATTTAACCTACTTCTAATTGTCATATTGACTTGAAACTTTGCAAGTATTTCTATTTCCGTTGATAGTACAGTGGTTCGGTGTTGTTGACCTGATCTGATGGTAAGGCCAGAAGGTGGATAGGTGGAACTCTTCAACGGCTAATAGTAGATACTTTGAGTTTGGGCTTGTTTTGTTTGATTTGACAAGCCTAATACGTTAGAATTCTTACTTTGCTACTACTGTCTACACTAAAAAGGGAAAAATAAAAACCTTTTAACAAAAAAATAAAAACCGACTTCAAACAAAAGCACTAAAAAGTAAAAAATAACTGATTGGTAGTTTTCATTTACTATACATACCTAATCAAATATTTTCGAAGTCGGTGTGCTTTGGCTAAGTAATTGAAGCCTACCTATTAAATACATACCTAATCAAACATTTTCGAAATCGGTGACAGCCCATACAAAGCAAAGCACACCGACTTCGAAAATATTTGATTAGGTATGTATAGTAAATGAAAACTACCAATCAGTTATTTTTTACTTTTTAGTGCTTTTGTTCGAAGTCGGTTTTTTTTTTTTTGGACCTATTGGAATAAATAGGAATAAGAAATCAGGCACCCGACATTCAGACAATAGGTAATACATACTTACAGACAAAGCTTGTAAATTATTATTCAAACAAATAATTCCACTTATATTACATTTCTTTTCCTCTGGAGTATTAGGCATAAAAAAATTTGCACAATTACAGTAATGCATTTGCGCGTTCTTCCTGCATTGAACTGTGCAAGCCGTGTACGAATAATATGGGTATACTGTTAATATATTCTCATCGATATACCGACACTCTCGTTTCTTAGGAGCAATCAAACGAGCGGCCGCGTCATTTTCAATATTTTTTAATGTTATATAACGTCTGAAACCAAAATGAATTCAACTTTCACTTATTTATAAGTTTACAGAATATTGCCTTTTATACCTAAATCGTCAAATATTTTTTTACTACACCATACGTAATATAGGTCTGCTGAGAAGAAATAGCAAGCAATTCGACAAAACATCAAGTTTGAGTTTGGTCGGTTTGGGAAGTACTACAATACAACAGCCTTACAAAAACTCTATATATTACATAGTTAAATTACCGCCAACATTTAACGTAGGTATTCGTATAGATCTCATCTTTCAATAGAGTCAATGTTACTTTTTTGGTTTGTACACCGAAATGTACGTATGTACGCGCATAACTTCGGATCAATTGCACCAAAATGGATAATTCTTTGTTTTTTGGTTTTTTATTGTCAGGAAGTTTAGTATAGAAGAAAATTAAAAGATTTTTTTTTACTAAAATATGATTCGTCGTGAGTCGCTGTATATAATATATTTATATAAAAATACAATGTAAATAAAAATATAGGATAAAGATAAGGGATTGTTTGTTTAAAACTAGCAGCCACTTTTGCTAAATATGCTCGATATATTGTAAAAGGTCTCACTTACGACGTGACCATATGGCTAATGTAGGTACATAGTTTCGAAAATTCTTGCACAGTAGGTAATCATTAAATATTCAAAATATGTAAGCTTATTTTTCTAATTTTTTAGAGAGACAATACATGATTGAGCAATACAAAAATAAATTATTATAACAAGGGTTTGAAGATAACCACTGAAATATAGAAAGTAGTTACTTCTAGGCTTTAAGACCCAGACACCCGACCTGATCTTAATGGCTGAAATTGTGATAGTTAAGTAACCTCTAGAAGACACCTCTATTAAAGAGCAAAACATTCCACTTTGGCTGGTCTGAACGCTTCCAATATATATAAAATATACGTAACATTTGAATTACTTTTAATATCATGAATAAAAATACCACCTGTAGTTCATCTCTAAATTTATAATCATAACATCAGAACTGAGAGCAGTCAGGGATGGCACTTCCTCTTCGTTTAAGATGTACACCTTTACTGGAACTCCTACATCAAATTGTATCAATCCTGGTCCTGTAGTTCTATTGCTTGTCATTTCTAATTTTAGTGCATTCGGTCTGCAATTCAACATTTCCTTAGAACGTTTTAAAATAGGTACATGTACTACAACTATACTACAATTTAATTAAGGTATTTACTCACCTGCTTTGAATACTGTTTATAACAAAACATGGGCCAAATTCAGTATCTATAGGCTCAAAATAAGTACAGCAATCAAAAGGCTTTCCATTCCATGAACAATTAAACATTATGGCGTGACACGTATTTCGTACCTATTCAAGATGCATTATATTAGTTTTTTCAAGTGTGCTAATAATAAAATAAAAAATACACGAACTTAATACTTTCTTAGATTTACGCGAATGTTTGACATTTTTAAATAAAACTATCTTTTCGGATTATTTCGCGGATTTATTTTGATTTTTGGTTCCCGACGTTTCGAATGCTTTACAGCATCCATGGTCACGGGAGAGACTGAGGTGTTACATGTCTTGAAGGTGTAGTTGTTACAGACAGCCTACCCACAATTAACAAAATGAAAATTGCACCAATTACCTTACAATATTTTTTAACTTTAAACATTTTTATAATTTTAATTATAATTGAATATGGAATATTATTTATTTAATTTTTGCTATTATTCTAATAGTAGAAAAGTCAGTTAGTAGTTTTAGTCACCATTTATTTACTTTATACATTAAACACGAATGTGGCGTTGAAAATTACCACTAGAAAATATTAAACTTACCAAATTTGCGTAGTAAGTAAGATTAGAATTGAAACACAAATCTAAAGGATCATCAGTTCCACAAAAATCAGATATATAATATGTGACACCTTTGAAAAATGATAACTCTTTTAGTACATCTTCTATGTTAAAATCATGCTCTGGACCCCACAAACTGAAAAAAAATAATATAATTTTTAATTTCAGTAATACAGAAATAACTAATATAAAACAAACACTTTTAGCAATTGACTTAGAATAATTTTGGCTTTCTACCCTTTACTATCCGTTACTTCTAAATATATTTTCAAATACTATGATAAATATTATTATTAGTACTATCGACACTGTTATTATGTATACCTGTCAGAAACATTTTCAAGACGTATGGAATTTTCATTTTCACAAACTGCAATTGATGGGAACTGCGTGTTCCAGTCTTTGTAAGTTGTCTCCACGACAAATGATATAGGATTGTCTTGGAAAGCCTTGTATTGCGCTTCGATTAAAAGGGATGATCCGTACCATGACAATATGACGAATATTAACCAAAATAGTCTAATAACAAAGATAAATTCATCATTATTTTTTTGTGTCTATTCGTCCTTTAATAATTTAAATTAAAAAAAAATCTTCCTTTAATAGGATGAATAAAAAATAATTATTCGTCATTATAAATTATAAGGAAGGACGAATAGACTAATAAATAAATAAGAAGAATAAGTAGCTCGGCTCAACTCGGTAGGTTAAGGTATTTTTTTGCATACAGAAACTCCTGCATCTAAAACTCTTGACCTTAAAAATGGTTGGGATTTAAAAGAATAAGTGTCATCTCGGTAGGTTATGGCTTTTTTTGCATATAGAAACTCCTGCGCCTAAAATCATTTATTTTATATTAGAAAATAAAAAGTGGTAAATATTCGTACAAACCGACAATAGTCGGACGAATAATATTATTTTTTATTTATAAGATTATCGGATGAATAGCAACAGACTATTTTTTTTTAATTTAAATGCTTGATTATTTTAATTATAAATAAATATGTGAAATAATAGATAGGTATGTTGATCACTGTTGCATATTTGGAAGTCCTGGGTTTGACTCCCAGGCCGCTTGGGCACTATATTATCTCCCGTGCTCATGGCTAGTCTCCGTGATTGGCCGACGAATTCGATAACGAGGATCTTATGTTTGTTCGGTAAATAAAAGAAAACCTTTCAATCCAATGCTTCTGTAAATCTGCGATAAACCGAAAACCATGAATAGACGTTGTCATCGGCAAACTTTTGATTCCTTGCCACCATATTTCAAGATATCTTTTAACTCTTTCAGAAATCATTGCTTCTAATACAATAAGCCAAAAATATTTCCTAAAGTGCTATTTATACGTTAGTGAATCAAACATTATAACATAATATCAATAATTATAAAGTTATTATGGGCTTAAATATATTATGATTTTTTTACGTTTTTCGGCTAAATGACTACGACGATTAAAGATAGGCTTGTATTGGACGTGGGAAAACGCAACTGTTTCCAAAGGGCAAAGCTAATTTGTAGATTCTATCAGGATTTGTAATTCGAAACACTATAAATATTTATATAATTTATAATTCATATACTTTCCCAGTAACATTGAATATATAGAGAGTAATTTTCAGGTAAACTATTTAACGACTATTAATATGCCAAGACTTTGACCTAAAAATATATTGAAGGTACCGAAATGCCAAAATAAGTGATTAATTTTTCCATAACGACAAAAGTCTTTACTTCAATTGATCTATATTAGTACACTAGCGACTCATCGTGACTACGCTCGGGTTCGCCCCTAGATACGTTTTAACGGTTAGTATAATTTTTCAGAAATGAGATATTTTTCCGCAGTAAAAAATAACCTATATGTTAACCTGGATAACCAGCTATTACCAAATATCATCAAAATCTGTCCAGTGGTTTTTTTCATGATGCGTTCCCAGACACACAGACTATAAATTCGCCCTCTGTATTAATAATAATGACTATTTCAATAAGATTTTCTAAAAATATATAATGTACAGATTCGACTCAGTTACAATTTTATTTTATGTATAGATATCTCTCTATATCTGATTAAAAACCCGCATAGAAAAAAAATATTTTAACCATCAATCAAAATATTTATTCAGTAGTTATCGTTATGATTGCAATGTTTTATTATTTTTTTCATAAGATGTCCCTTGTCTCCATTGAGTGGAGCCTCCGAGTTCATTCCAATAAATTGGTCGATATCGACTAATTGGTGCAAAGTTTGCTGTGGTAGACGTTTCGCTCTTGATGCGAATCTCCTGACGTCGTCGGTTGTTGATCTCGCGAAACAGCTTCACAGTATAGAAGTAGATAAACTCAAGGACTGATACAAAACTGAATCCTGTCACGAAACCGCACGTTGATCCAATGTTACCTGAATTTATAATTCGCATAATGAAATATCTTTTAATCTTTCTACTAAAACTTATTATGTCATGTTTCAGAACATAAAAGTCTAATTCAAAAAACCCCGACTGCGTAAGAAACGAACTAAAAAGATGAGAACTGCATAATACCACGGCAATGTTATGCATAACATTACCGTGATAATACTTGTTCTCATCTTTTTAGTCCGCTTTTCACGCGGTCGGGTTTTTTTATTTTTGTAAATTATTTTTTTTATTTACAGCTTTTTAGTGTTGGTCAGTTAGACATTTTTAGTTTTATTTAACAATTTCTTATCCTTAATTATTTTTAAACATATAAATATAAAGGTATGTATATTTTTTGTAATCGCCTCTTAAAAACCTACTTAATTGATTCGGACGATTTTTTTTTCTAGACACAAATTGGTGCCTAGGTTCAGCCATTTACTGTTTTAAATAATATCTATATACCACATGACATGACTCGCGTTATCAAGACGAATCTAACGACGTATGAATCATTAAAATCGGTTAAGTCGTTTAGTAATTACGAGGTAATATAGGGTCGGACATAGGTATATACATTACATACACACCCTCCTTTGGGCTTCGCCGCAGTCGGTTAAAAAAATAGTTATTCTAAAATCATCAAATAACAAAAATATTGAAATTAGCACCTCACTTTTCTCTACACAATTACTTAAGTATGTTTGTGTTTTTTCAAGTTTGTTTTGTTTTTTATTGCAAGAACTCACTAATCAAGTCGAACCATTTCATAATAACATTCTGTCCATAACAGTCCGCAGTTTCCCTCGCGTACTTCACGTGCACAATAGATGTTCCGGTGAAATTCGCGCCTCGCCTGCAAACCAACAACAAACTTAACAGCTGTTGTTAGTTCCATTTCTAACTTATGTACAGAAATAAGAGCATATTATGCCTAGTTAACTACTTTATACAAAGTGAGCAACAAAGGTTACTTTAAATTATATTATATAATTATATAACTAAAAAAGTAGGCAATCTAGATCTTTAATTAATAATAATTTTAGTTAATCAATTAAATTCAGATATTAAATTAGTATTAAACAAACAATCGAAACGTTTACTACAACTTTATACATATTGATGTTATTTATATTGACGACGTTTCCCCGAACAACGAAAATAAACTGTCAAAATGTAAACAATTCGAGCCGCGTCGCTTCGTTTAGATATGTTTTTAGTTTAATTTTATCTACCTATTATTTCTTAAAATGGCTACGAATAAGAGAGCTAATTTAGTCACCACTGATTTTGAAGTATTTGGTAAAGTACAAGGCGTTTATTTCCGAAAGCATACCCAGAAGAAAGCAAGTGATCTTGGTCTAAAAGGATGGGTGATGAACACTGCTCAAGGTACTGTTATAGGTCAACTTCAAGGCCCTCAAACGGCAATAGACGATATGAAGGTATGGCTTCAAAAAGTTGGCAGCCCAAAATCCAAAATAGAGAAAGCAAATTTCAGAAATGAAAGTCCAATAAATAACTGCGCTTTTAGAACATTTGAAATTCGTCAATGAATCTGTGTGATGATCATATTGTATTATTTATGTTGAATAAAAATTTTACGTCTTTTTATTTCATTATTTTTTTACTACCTGTCAAGCTCACGAGTGGAATTAAGAATCTTTGCTAATTCTAATGGCTTAGGTAACAGCTCTATAATCTATACTAATATTATAAAGAGGTAAAGTTTGTTAATTGTGAGTTTGTGACGTTGTAGGGGGTAATCTCTGGATCTACTGAACCAATTTAAATGAAATTTGGTAAAAAGATAGTTTGAGACCCTAGGAAGGACATAGGATACTTTTTATCCCGGAAATCATCCCTTGAGGGGGTGGAAATGGGGATGAAAATTTGTATGGGGAATCAACCTAGGGACGTACCCGAGCGAAGCGAGGGTGAGTCGCTAGTATATTATAATATCAAAATTTATCTTTTAAAAGACTTGAAAAAGGAGTAGGTTCTTAGTTCGGCGTATTTTTGTCAATGTTAGACGATATTTCGCCAATTTAGAATGTTTCATTTTTTTTCCTCTTCATTAGATTAACGTTCATTGTAGTCCCTTATAAATTCAATCAAAATTCTCCGATGCGGATGAAAATTAAATAACTAATTTTGAGTGATTTTCAAGTCGGTGCACTGTTTTATTTTAGTATAAAGTAAATAGTTATTACTCACAACCAATCTATCCTGTCCTTGTCAGGGACAGTATTGAGGTAATCTGGATAAATTTTAACATTAGTAAAATCATAGTTATAAGCTGTTTTTGAACAACTAGGATGACACATTGGGCAGTTTATTCCCCCTCCCACCATATCTAACTCCAGTTCTGGCGGTACTCGATCTTCATCAGGTCGAACCGTTGTTGATTGAGCTAGTAAACAACCAAATTTTTTTTACTATTAATACTATATATTTATTTAATACTAATATATGAATTTTTGTATAGATTTGTATAGATAGGTGGGACTTTGGAGAAGGGCATAGGGATCTACCCTATATCCTTTATCTATGAAGCCGCGGGTTCTGCTAGTGCAAAATAAAGAATGATATAATGAAGATCATGAAAAGCGAGTGTAGGAATATTATAAATGCAAAAAACATCAGCTAATTAATATAAGTCAAACTTCAAGTAATATTAATATTATTATATAATTTAATTATAAAAATTATCTTAAAGCTCACCATTATAAATTTTCAGGCACGGGACGTCTCGCATATCACACGTCCTTTTGTTAATCATTTTCGGCATGTTAAAAGGAGTGCATTTGCATTTTGCCAACAAAAATAGCATTCTGCATTTCAGTAAGCAGTCACTATGAGTGTAAAATGGTAGATAAGATGACTCATCGTAAAACAGGCATCGTCTAAACTTAACCGGTACGTGTTGGATATCTCGAGAAGCTTCGGTGAAACTTGCAGTGACCATAACTGACATCTAATGAAAGTATATTGAATAGGTGACTGAGAGCTTTAACCAGTTCTTCAATAGCTTTGATGAGTAGAAAAAACGTTAAAAGCCATTTACTACAGTAGTTTATCACAAAGCTTACTTGTACGTTTGGGCTTATAATTTGCATAGCAAAACTACCGCTAGGCGCGTCGGGGAAGTCGTAGGCGTCCGAGAACTGTAACTAGTAATAAATTGAATTTAAACAATATTGCAATAAAGCTATATATTAGTAATGTATGAATTTACCTGGGCGCCTTGCAAAGGCATATTATAATAAAAGTCGTCACTTTCGTTTAATTTCATTAGCACTTTTAAGCCTTGATCGAAATCAAAATTAGATTTATTTCCATATTTATACATGTCTATACTTCGAGTACCACTGTCTTTACTGAAATATGTTTAAATCAACTTATATAAGAATATATACTCTACACTCAGACTAAAAAATAATATAGATAGAGTATCATAGAATTAAACATGAAGCCTAACAATAATGTTCTAAAATAATATAGTGTTTTAAAATAGTACCTATACAAATATTAATAGAATACTTATGTTGTAAGTAAATAAATGTTCATAAATTAAAATAGCAAACACAGGTTTTATTATGATAACGAAAAAAATGAAATAAACTAATGTTATCCCATCTCTCTTTTAAGGTCCTCTTCCCCTAACTAAAGTTTAAAAATATAGAATAATATAAGTATATATTATTTTCGCTATTAATAATTAATTATTATTATATTTTCTTCCCAAAAACTGAAAAATAAATACTAATACAAATATAAAATTTTAGAAAGTAAACGATATGTATGGCAAAATCGAGAACAGTAGCACAAACAGCAAAATCACACTACTATTTTTGAATATGGCTTTTTAGGCGATATAGTTCTTTAGTCTGAAAATCTACATTATATTACTCTACGGTAAGGACTTTACAGTTAATATTATTATTAAGTGTTAACTTACTCTTCAAATGTAATGTCGGACTGACGTAAGTAATTAAATGTACAACAATAGCCATTCATTGTTAGGCGAAAATCAAAAAGATCTGAGCAATTCATAGGGTTTTCATTCCAGGCACATCTCATTAAAAGATCTTCACATTTAGGCGTTAACTGCGTTGAAGAGGGAAAACAATAATATTATATCTTTTTAAAATTATTAAACTTAGTTATTAATAAAATATAAATGACTAAAAACATAACAAGAATTAACAAAGAAACTAATGAAAGCTAAATAAAAGTTAACAATGAGTGTTATATTACACTATTTATGATAAGTAAGACTTTTCTTTTACTTTATTATGACTTGTAGCCCTTTTTAACGTCCCACTGCTGGGCACGGGCCTCCCTTCAATACGAGGGGGATCAGGCCATAGTCCACCAGCTGGACAAGTGCGGGTTGGCGGACTTCACATGTCTTTCGAAAACTTGCTAAGTTCTCTCAGACATGCAGGTTTCCTCATGATGTTTTCCTTCACCGTAAGGCAAGTGGTAATCATGTTAGAAATGATTCGCACATGAAAATATCAGAGGTGCGAGACCCGGGATTTGAACCCGCTTCACTCGGTTTCCCAAGCGAGAGCGTTACCACTGGGCTACCACTGCCGTGTATATATACATACATATAATATATATATATATATATATATATATATATATATATATATATATCATTATGACTTGAAATTAACTAAAAAGAGTCCCAATCGATAAAAGATAGATGTACGAACATTTCGCATAAGCTCATTCACGTCATAGTCGCCTAAAGCTTTATGGAGTCTCATAGGTTGCACCCGCTTCTCGTTCATCGGCAGTTGATTATATAACAAGCCAAGACCAAGGAGTAAGGATAACATCTGTTTTTCATTATAATTTTTGTTTCGCTCTTCTTGTAGCCTATTTAACAAAATATTATTAAAAAGTTTTAAATAGAATAGCCAAAGGTATAATTCTTGTTTCAAATATATATGAAGGTATGGAAACTTACAACTTCCGTGCTAGATCTACGATAGCTCGCTTACTAATTCTGTTATTAGTGCATATTCCAACTGCGGGGAAAATGATCTTACTGACAGACACTCCCTCAGGCATTTGTGTAGTCACCAACGGTGCGCCGTAATAGCGATCGAACGTCATCCAGACTAACGACACCGAGCATATCAATGCGCTAATCATTGTTATTATCCAAAACACACTGCCAAATGTACAAAAAATATAATATTTTCTTAGATTTACGCAAATATTTGATATTTTAAATAAAACTATCGTTTCGGATTTTTTCACAATCAAAGTCAAAATAAATCCGCGACAATTCGAAAAGATAGTTTTATTTAAAATACAAAAAATACGTAACATTATGTATATTTATATTTATTACAACGAGAACTTAATGCTTATGTATAAAAATAGTAGGTCATTATGTACACAAATATACAGAATTAAATATTTTCTCATAAAACTAACTTTGCGCAAGTTTTACTTCATAGCTTAACTGGCCTTCCTTTGAAATAAAATGCCCGTCTCAATACTCTACACTTCATTGGTTTCTCTCTATCATACAGTATATAGTTACAACATACTGAGGAAATAGGCAAAGTATACATGTAATAATGCAATTATATTCGATTACCTCTAAAACCCATGATAGATGATTTAAATTTACCTGCTCGAATAAGGCCTCTGTCCAATTATATGACATAAGCCAATATGTTAAGTAACATTATGCCTACTCTGAAAGCGGTAATTGCGCGAAACAGGCCTAAACAAGAAACAACCTTAACAAGTTCACCTGCTCTTCGAGTACTTTCACAAACATACCGTTCGCAATATGATGTATTGTCGTCGACTAAATGCTTAAGACCGCAGATGGACGACTCTGCGCAATATTCTTTGCTAACCGTCTTAATACTTTTCTTCAATGTCTCCATTTTAGTAGGCTTTCTGACCTTCTTTTCTAAACGTCGTTTGTATACCGGCACGTATGGGGACTGGTGATAATTCGAGTCTATCATTTTGTTAAATATCTTGTACCTCTGAACAAGTCTTTACTTTATCACATTTACACCTAAAATGTCATTTAAAAGTTACTTTTTCAAATGTACGTACTATACAAAGTAGACTGTTAAATGTAGTTATTAAATATTCTATTATTTGATAAAATCGTGCCTTGATGTCAACTTAAACACACTATGATTGATCGGCTCTTTATAGCTATTGATTTAAAAATCAAGCAGACTCAATTGTGTTTACGATAGACGTTAAAGCTATATGATATTGAATTTTTTTTAAGTTAATACATTTTATCATATCTACCTACTTATTATATTATACCTGTATATTTTTTATGATTGCGATCAAAACAAAATCGGGGCGTTAAAACAAGTTTGGTTAATAAACCAAATGATATGGAGTACTTTGATTGCATCGTTACACTTATCTAATATGAACATTTTACACAAGTTATATATTTCTCAACAGTAACTATCTATCTAAAAGTTAAAATTAATTTTAATAGTTATAGATACCATTATTTAATTTAAATTGATATTTGAATATAAAGAGTATCAAAAATCTTAAATACCTGTTTTGAATATTAGACCTATATAATTATTATGTTTTAACTAAAAAAGTAAACTGACTTCACAATTAATCTCAGACTTAATTTACATTTACTTTAAAGTAGAATATTTTTTTAAAAACTATCTGCGAACTAGCTTGAGATAAAATTTAATAATTAAAATATTACTTATGAAAACCAAAGTACAATTGGCGAATATATCGTGTAGCATTAAATTAATACACACAGTAAACATACAACCGCATAAAAGGTACCGTTTTAACTTCAATAAATATAACAAAACTATAGCGGATCCGGTAGAACAACGTTGTCCTGCCACAAAACTCGCTTAGCCAAAATTCTGTATCTTTATATTGGGTAGAGTAAATTGAGTACATTTAGTTTTCTTCTTGTTTAATGCTAGGTTATTATTGTTATTGTTAAACCACTGAATTACTCGTATATGTGATAAGGCATTGTTTACTTCGTCATAATTAGTGATATTTCTATAAACTTTAAACATTAAAAAGGTATCATCCGCAAATAGTACAATATCACCCAGCCTGTTAATAAAGAAAAGATGATCAATTATATAAACTAGAAATATAAATGGACCCAAAATAGATCCTTGTGGAACAACCATTTTCAAAGGCGATCCAAAAGATTTAACGTTATATACAGCGACTTTCTGGACCCTTCTACTAAAATATGAAGCAATGTGATCAAGAACAACGCCATGAATACCATTATGACTTAAAGCAAGAGAGTTTCATGTTCTACGCAATCAAAAGCCTAGATGAATCACAAAAAACACCAATTGCATTTCGTGATTTTTCCCAAGCGTTATAAATATGTAAAGAAGTGCAACTGCCGCATCGACTGTAGACTTACGTTTAGTAAAACCATACTGTTGACTGTGGAAGATACCATTTATATTAAAACAAATTTACAATTGGCTTAGAATAAGCTTATATAAAATTTTATTCATAGATAGCAATATAGAAATACGAGTAGGTCTATAATTACCACGATCGTCTGTATCACCATTTTTAAAATTCACATGTAACGCTCACACACATCGTAGGTATTTAATTATTTTTATGAATCTCACCACCCCCCTTCACAGTTAGCTACCGTGGGTAAATCTTTGTTTCAGAGGACACGCGGGATCTGTGACGAGCAACACCTGGCCGGAGAACTGCAACATGTCAAGCAAATTCTGCGAGACAACAAGCTGCAAGTGCCGCGCCTACGTCACAGGGACCGCGTGAAACCAGCCACAGTCGAGCGCGTCCCTGCAGTCCTACCTTACATGAGAGGCGTCACTGACAAGATTGGCTACATTCTAAAGCGAGCTTCAATTAAAACTTACTTCAAGCCGCCAAAGAAAATTAGTCAGTTTCTACCACCTGTCAAGTGCCACATCCCTCTACAAGATGCAGGAGTTTACAAGCTTGATTGTGATTGTGGGCTCTCTTACATCGGACAAACAAAGAGATCCATTAGAACCCGGGTCAAAGAACACATAGCTGATGTGAAGCACCGTCGCAATACAACATCTGCTGTCTGCAAACACAGTCAGGACCGCCCAAGCCATTATATTCGCTTCGATAGACCTCAAATCCTGGCGAAAGAAAACCGATATCGCCCTAGAATGATTCGAGAAGCCATAGAAATTAAAAAACATCCTAATTTCAATAGGGAAGATGGCTGGGTACTACCATCGTCATGGGATCCTGTTATTAATATAATAAAATCTAATAATAAATCTAAACATAACAGACAGGTAGATGTAGTAAGTTCTTACTGTGTAGATCAAAATGATAGCATTTCTGATTAATAATATTTTTTCACTTTTTCATTTGTAAATGTATGTAGTAATGTGTTGCTTAAAAATTTGTTTTTTAAATAATAGCAAATTTAAATTAAAATTATAATTTTTAATTAATCTTAACTTTTTCAAATTACACAGATCAATTATGGCTTAAATAATTAATACTATATTTTATATTTTTCTTATGGTTATAAATATAATAATGGCAACACTAAATATAGATTACTAATTAATATTTTTAAAATTGTAATAATTATAAAAATAATAGCAAAAATTAAATAAATATTTTTCCATAATTAATTATAATTAAAATTATAAAAATATTTAGAGTTAAAATATTGTAATGTAATTGGTGCAATTTTCATTTTGTTAATTGTGGGTAGGCTGTCTGTAACAACTATATCTTTAAGACATGTAACACCTCAGTCTCTCCCGTATAGTATAGATATATACTGCCCGTGACCATGGATGCTGTAAAGCATTCGAAACGTCGGGAAACCAAAATACAAATAAATCCGCGACAAAATCCGAAAAGATAGTTTTATTTAAAATGTCAAATATTCGCGTAAATCTAAGAAAGTATTATTTTTATGTATAAGTTAAAATATGTGTTGTTGAAACAGTAAACTGTTTCACTGCCGCGTTTCTCAAATCATCTCGTCCATGTCCTTTCTCCACCCGGACGCCAGGCGCCGATCGCGAGTTCTTGCGCAAGTTTATCTGCATTTACATATATACATACACAAATATTAATATAAACGTATGTGCCAAATCATACATATTTAAAAGAACACACTTTTGCGACACCGGAAAAAAAGCATTTTTGTTAAAGAAACAATATGTTATCTTAACCAAATAATGAACGTACTAAAATGATTTTAATAAGACTAATTTTATAAGCGAAAAGTAATATTAATATACTATTTGTATTTATAAATATTCAAATTTTGTTGATGAATCATTCTCAATTTAGAGAATTGTTGACGCCTGAGTAAAGTCTAATCGCAAGCTTATAGATAGTATTTATGTAACTTTTGTTTCACTGAGACTAGGTCAATAGACTAATCTCGTCATGTGATGCTATTAAAATGGATTTTTAGTCTATAAAGTTGTGTTGCGTAAGCAATTTCATTATTAGTAGCTATATTTTTTATATATTAATTCTATATGATCTAATAATATATTTCCTTATTTGTGTAAGTATTTTATAAAATTTCCAATTTAAATATATAAATTATTATATACTAGCAGAACCCGCGGCTTCGCTCGCGCTAAAACTAAAGAAAATCTCTAAAAGTACAAAAAACAAACAAACACACTTTCACATTTATAATATTAGTATGGATTTAATAGTTAAAATAGCTTTAAAAATAGCTTTGTTATCAAAATTGATTTCGACGACAATTTAAAGTGGGTAATGTTAATTTATTTTTACATTACAATATCTTAACTCTTTTATTAATAGCAAAATACAACGCTTATAAATAAAGGTAAAATTATGTACAAATAACTTTTCAAAAAGAATTGTTTGATTTGTAAAAAAATGAGCTACTAATCAAATATAATATAAATATAATATGGTATACCTACAGCACAGGTCACATAATACTCTCTATAGTGTATGAAAGTAATAACAAATTATATAATTTATACACTCATGAGACTTAAATGCTCTACCTATTCGAATCAATGTATTAAAAATTTAAATTTAAGTTTCACAGATATTATTTTTATATTTAATTCGTTCATTCGTCATCATCATCATCATTTATTGTCAATATAATTATTTTAGTCTATATACATATATCTTATCTATATATATATATATATATATATATATATATATATATATATATATATATATATATATATAACTAACTGCCTCAGTGGTGTAGTGGCTAGCATGTACGGCTGCACAACCGGAGATCCTGGGTTCGAGGCCAACTTTAGTTATTGAGTCTTTCTATATATTAAGCCTCAGTAACAGCCAAAGTGTCGGGAAGTTGGCAGTGTTTCACCCTCGTGTCCTGCGCCTTAACTCTCACTGATCGTGTCGAGTGGTCGTCCCACCAGAGTATTCGAGTGACAGGAATAGAGAGTGTATCTGTGTCTGCACGTACACTTCGTACACTTCTGCACTATAATATCTCCTGCGCTGTTGGCTAGTCTCAATGAGATTGGCCGCCGTGGCCGGAATCGGGCAGGAGAACATCATATGTATATATATATATATATATATATATATATATATATATATATAAATAAATCAATTTTCTGTTCTTTAGTCTCGCTAAAACTCAAAAACGGCTGGACCAATTTGATTAAATCTTTTTTGTTTTTTTTTTCCCAGGATTGGTATAAAGTATAAAAAACAGCCGAAAAATCGGAAAGTTAAGATCTGTTTATAAACGTACCTAGGAACGAACCCGAGCGAAGCGAGCGGGAGTCACTAGTTACTAATAAAAGCTTTAGTTGGCAAGTATCTTATTTTTATCCATTATTTTTTATAAGGCTACATTTTGTCCAACTTCAAAAAGGAAGAGGCAGGAACTCGTTTCGTGGGTATGTTTTTGTTTGTCTATGCTACGCAATATTTTCATCGATTTTTTTATTTTTCTTATTCAATAATTATTGTTTCTGGTTGTCATGGCTCCAAATTAATTTAAAACAGCAACCCTGATATTTCTCTTTCTATCAAGATATTGTTATATTTTTATAATTGAATGAAGAATGTCTGAAATATTATAAGGGCCTGAGTGAAACGATGGCGCATCCCTAGTATTAAAACTTTTTTACATTCTAATTAGATTTATCGAAGATTAGTATTTGTATTATCTCGTAAAATTAACAATGTACCTACAGAATCACAAAAAGCGCAGAATGTTCGGCTGCTATACGTTACTGCCATGGCTTGTTTATGTTAATTTTTATATTTTGTATATAAATGCATATATGTACAATGTATTGTGCAGGTCAAGAATACTCTCAATATTGAAGGTTCGCGGATTACCGCAATGCCGGGCATCTGGTAGTGGGTGAGTCGCCGCTCTCTTCAATATTACTTGTACGCATTTACTATGAGCGCTTCGGTTGTGTTAAATTAAATTAAAATTTGAACTTCTTACTTTGAATGAAGTGTTTTGTGTGAAGTGAACTCTTCATATAGTGAACGGATCCTATTCGGAAATATATTATATAGATAGGTAAGTATTTTATGTTTACCAATTAAAATATTAGTTTGAGTTTCTATATTATTTTTTAAAATATATAAACAATTATTGTGTACCTATACAATAGTTTAGACTACTATAATCATAAGCAGATATGATAGATAATAATTGAAGCGATACTCGACACGCAAACATTGTTCGTTTGTAATAGGTACTACTGCTAACAAAATTACTAAAATACTATTCTACGATAGCTTTTTGTTATTATTATAAAAAACAGATTTAAAGTAATTTCTAATTGTTGAACGAGGGTCTTTGTTATGAAAAACTAGCCTTATGTAATATTTTTACTGACTTTTATAACTAAAGTTTGACGGTCATTATAACGTGTGTCAGGTAGCTGACTCACTGCCCACTCTACCGGAGGTCGTAGGTTCAGTTCCTATAAATATTTAAGTTATTTTCTCATCACAAATGCAATTATAACAAGATTGTAATATCATAAGTAAACTTAACAAATTATAATAATCGAAGCCATATGTGTATTAAACTTAATTATATAACAAATGACCATTCTGACGTTAAATTAAAATAAACTCAGCGTTCACAATGTGTATTGTCTCTATAAAAAGTACTACGTTCACTGTGTTTATATATGGGATAATAAAGACAAATGATAAAATATAAAAATATTTGAGCAGTAGCAACATCTGTAATAATATACCGCATTGTTGTCTAAATATCATATTCAAGATTTAACTCAAAAAAAATATTTAGAAAAAAAGATTTGCATGCAAAAAAAATCTTATAAAAATATGATTTTTAAAGATTATAAACAGTTCTGCAATTCAGGTCAATGATGATTCTCAAATGATGGGTATATTTGAAAGTGAAGTTATTGGGTCACCTTAGCCTTGACGCATTGTTTGGGTCTCAATAGCGTTCACCTAAAACACTTGTTTGCATAACATGTTTTTATTTGTTTCTTTTTAACACATGTTTGATACATTTTATTAGTTGTGTGCTTTTAATATAATGTTGGGAATTTGTTACAATATTATGTATATTTATGTTATGCAAAGTTTCGTACAATAATAGCTTTAGTTACGACGTATAAAATGTGATTCTATAAGAATTTTACGATATTATGGAGATAATAATTTCAGTATTAACCTTATAAAATTTATAGGTCATATTTAGACCCCGACTGTAGCTGATGTACAATTGAAGTCCTTTCTATCTATGATACATTTTATGTTATGTCAATTTAAAATAAAATTATGATGATTCATTATAATTAATACATAGCATTGTTGAAATATAGTCATGTTTATTGTTTATCATCTATATACAACATACATATTTAGACTCATGTAGAAACTTCAAATTTTGTATAAATTCATATTTAATTTTCATAAAATATTAAATAAGCTACGCAATATTTACCAAAATATTCAAATTATATGCAAATTGGTCTAGACATTATAAATACTTTAAATAAATAATTTACATAAATACTGACGAATTCTCAGAAATTTTCCAGAATATAAATAATAATTATGTAGAGCTTACTATATTTATAAGAGGTAATATTATATTAGTGTTATTTCTGCTTTATTATAGTAACTACTGCCTATTATAATATATCTCAGGTAAAATGAAAACGAGGATAGCACTGCTAGTCTTGGCGAGCACAGCTCTAGTGAGCTGTCTCCCTCCCCCACATCCCGCAGTGATTGCTGTCCGGCAAGCTGAAGAACTCCTGCCGCCACACCAGAGAAGTCCAGCACTCAGAAATCCTCACTTACTACACACTCTTGAGCTAACTAGTCTTTTACACAAGGGAGAAAATCCGGTACATATTTTTGTTTTTACACATTTACATATCATTTTCTTTCAATGGTTAAAAATTTTTTTTAAAAGAATCTACTAAGTCAAATATAAAATTACTGAACTTTTTTTATTTGAATGCTATTACTTTATAAATTTATTTTTTATTTTAAAGGTTTTCGATAGAGAGGCAGACAAAGTGCCTCGGAACGAGATCTACAAAATCTTGACTCATGCAGGCTTTATAGGACGCCGGAATCTCATCAATGAGTATCCTTCTTGGCCGTATTCCTACGCTCATAATTACCCTAAAAGTAATGATTCCCCATTTGGATTCAATCCTGACTTATTGCAATACTTATAAAATATATGAAACAGAATTTATTTGTAAATATATATTCTAGTTTACAATGCCTATTAAGTACAGGAATAAGTTTTTTATTATATTATTATAATTCAATATTTACTAATTTAGGGATCTCAAAAATATCAATTACTAGCGACTTACCATCGCTTCGCTCGGGTACATCGTAGGTAGTTTTTTAAATAGATATTAGATATTTTTTTTTTGTTAGCATTAGCCATGTTATGTAATTTTTTATGAATTTTTCCGATGTTTTAATAGTTATTCAAATTAAAGATTCAAGGTAAAAATCGGTCCAGCCGTTCTTGAGGTATAAATGATGTAACTAGCCCGACTTTGTGTTATATCGGCAAGATTTAGAAAACTTAAAGATTAAATACTTAAATCATTGTAAATCACAAAAAAATGTATATAATAACATATTTTTATCTTGGAAAATGAAAACTTACTTCACAACTTTGATTTATAATATAGAAAATTTAAAATGTATATTTATACTGAATGTAACGAGACATCTATTGTAAATAAATATTTTAAAAACGAATTATTTCAATTATTCTAGTCAAAAAAATAACGATTTCCATAGCTATAAAAAATATTTGAACTACCATAACCTTATACAGCGCTCAATACTGCAATTCATTACATGCTATCGCTTAATGGCTTAATGCTATAATTATCACATAAAATATTAACTCGACTTGCACAATATATATGTCCTATAAAAACATTTGATCACTATAACTAGAAACATAACAATGAGTTCATTTTAATCCAACAATGCATTATGTACTAATCTAAAATGTCTTTGAATTCTTGTAAGTCACATATAAAAGAATATTGTTCTAAATGCTCATTCGCTGGAGTTCATTTTGTAGCTGATGACACAAAACATTGGACTGAAAGGTAAGTCACTGAATAAGTCAGTATAGTGTTAAAAATATTAACAAGTAGTTCTGCGAACAGTAGACCTCGCAAGCACAAACTTTCAAAACTTTTTTTGCAACAATTGATATCTTACCACTAAAGTTATGTGAGCAATTTACTGCATTTTGAGGAGCTATTCTGCTCATCACGCCTACGACCCTCATTAGATCTTCACCAAAATTTTAGGAAATCAACTTAAATATTCAAATAAAAAAAGAACCATCGAAATCGAGTCTCCTAAGACGAAGATATCCAGTAGCCCCCTTTTTTGCACCTTCTTTTAGGAAGTACCCTCCAAACAAAAATCCCCGACGACAAAAAAAAACTTTAAATTGTCAAACCTGTATACCAAGTTTTACTCGATCGGTTGTAAAATACGACTTGTAGAGGAGTACCTACCAACAAACTGACAGAGAGAAGCTTTTGCCGGAGTTGAAGCAGAGACGCTTCGCTCGCTCAGTCAAAAAAAACAGGTAATTTTAAAGGTGAATTCTTGAAATAGAACGTACAAATATTATCGAAATGTGTAAGTGATATCTATACTAATATAATAGAATTGTAACAAAGCCGAATCTGTACATTAAATATTTTTTGGAAAATCTTATTGAAATAGACATTATTATCGAAAGAGAGGCCGAATCTATAGTTTCAAGAATTTTGGTCTGTCTTTCTGTCTGTCTGTGACCGCATCACGGGAAAATCACTGGACAGATTTTGATGAAATTTTGTAGGATGATAGCTGGTTATCCGGGCCAACATAAAGGATACTTTTTACTGTGAGAAAATATCTCATCTCTGAGAAATCTATACTATAGTGAAAACGTAATAACGTAGGGACGAACCCGAGCGGAGCGAGGGTGAGTCGCTAGTAATAAATATGTACCTCATATTACAAACACCCGTTACATCTTGTGGAAATCTATTAAATAACTCGCTCTAAGTATACATACAATACGATATATACGAGAACTTCCTCAATAAGATATTAAATGAACTTTCACTTTTGGTAGGTGGCTTTGGATAGGGCTTATTGTTCTCTCTTGGTACGGCTCTGGCCTTCTAATTATTTCTGCTTGGAATGCATTTATGCAGAATCCTATTAGTTTTGGCGTAGAAACAACGTATACAGATTGGGATACTAAGCTGCCCACTGTCGCAATTTGTGAATTATCAAATTTCGAAAAAATTTACAATGTCTCGGATACGTAAGTAATGTTCAAATTTCATTAAAATTATAATCTAGTTGATTAGCGTGTGACCTACTCGTATATACGTAAAATTTATTTTGTTTTCACAGAATATGGACACCAAATCATCTCCTGGATCTTGAAGACGTCTTAAAAGACATTGCCTACTTTCAAGGGGTTGCCTACAGTCTTATTGAAGTATGCTTTATATCAAAAGCGCACAATCCGCTTTGTCCACTTTCCAATTATAGCTATTATGCTCAACTAGTTCGCAGTTCATGTCCGGAGATATTGAAAAATTGCTCCTACAATGACAAGGAGTTTGACTGCTGCGAATACTTTCAACCAATAGAAACTGATCTTGGCACTTGCTACATAATTAACTCCATACAAACAAAGTAAACAGCCTATTATATTAATAGTATGTCTAACTTTAAGTTCCTAATTTTAGAAGTATCTCAATTATAATTTTACTATTAAAATCAAATCTCTATGTCGATTCCGCAATATTTTTCGTTAAAATGTCGTATGTTGTAATATAGAATTAAAAGTAAATTTGAAACATGTATATTTGGTTTGGGTTTTACATTATATTTTATATAACATGCTTACGTTCTTTGTTTTATCGTTTATTTATTTGAATAAACAATATTTTCTTACATAAAAACGAAAAACAAATTAAAACTTTACATACACCAATTAAGTTTTTTACAGTTTACATACTCTTAATGTTAATGCCTGTTATGTTTATTAAAAAAATTGTTAATAACTTGAAATTAAATTATAAACAAGAACATATAAATATATGTTTATTAGAAATTACCTACATGTTATAATTCCGAACTTCCGCTTTCACTCTATAATTTTTATGCTCGATTAATGTTCCTATAAATAAATACTAATGTATACAGCGTACAAAAGTATTATGCAACAATTAGATATGTGATATCTATGCGATAACTATAAATACGCAAAGACAAAACTCCATTTTTACACTTAAATTAGAAGTAAATACATATAAAAATAAATAAAAAAATAAATTAATTAATAAATAAATATTTGAATCCTTAATATTTTAGGAAACCGAAACCGTATCCAATGATAAGTAATATGAAAAAGAAGCGAGGTATCCTTAAATTTCAAGTATTATTAACTTCAATGGTGAGTAAATTAGAAAACATTACGCGTTACAAGAATTACATATACTTAGTTATCTATACATATAATAAAATTATAACCAAGCCGAATCTGTACATTACATATTTTTTGGAAAATCTTACTGAAATAAACATTATTATCGATACAGAGACCGAATTTATAGTTTTTAGAATTTTTGTCTGTTTGTTTGTCTGTCTGTTACCGCATCACAGAAAAACCACTGGAGGGATTTTGATGAAATTTGGCAATAGCTGGTTATCCGGGTCAACATATATGATACTTTTTACTGCGGGAAAATATCTCATTTCTGAGAAAAAATCCAAAAACTGCAATGTAAAGAGTATACTAATATGTAAAACCTAAGAATTTGGTTTTTGGTCATCTGAACGCGGACGGAGCCGCGGGCAATGCTAGTAACTTATAAGTGTGCCAACATTTTATTTTACTTCATAGATGTACACACTAGGAGAAGATGAAATTCCGAGTATAACAACTTTATATTCGTCGAGCTTAAAAATAATGCTTGGAAAAATATATAGGTGAGATATTTCTCTATTTTCAACCGACTTAAAAAAGGAGGTGGTTCTCAATTCGACTGTATTTTTTTTTATGTTTGTTACCTCAGAACTTCGTCATTTATTAACCGATTTGGACAATTTTTGTTTTGTTTGAAAGAATATACTTCCAGATTGGTCCCATTTAAATTTCAAAAAAAAATACCACCCCTAAGGGTGGAAAAATAGCTAATAATGAATTTAACCTACTTCTAATTGTCATATTGACTTGAAACTTTACAAGTGTGTCTATTTCCGTTGATAGTACAGTGGTTCGGTATTGTTGACCTGATCTGATGGTAAGGCCAGAAGGTGGATAGGTGGAACTCTTCAACGGCTAATAGTAGATACTTTGAGTTTGGGCTTATTTTGTTTGATTTGACAAGCCTAACACGTTAGAATTCTTACTTTGCTACTACTGTCTACACTAAAAAGGGAAAAATAAAAACTTTTTAACAAAAAAATTAAAACCGACTTCAAACAAAAGCACTAAAAAGTAAAAAATAACTGATTGGTAGTTTTCATTTACTATACATACCTAATCAAATATTTTCGAAGTCGGTGTGCTTTGGCTAAGTAATTAAAGTCTACCTATTAAATACATACCTAATCAAATATTTTCGAAATCGGGGCCAGCCCATACAAAGCAAAGCACACCGACTTCGAAAATATTTGATTAGGTATGTATAGTAAATGAAAACTACCAATCAGTTATTTTTTACTTTTTAGTGCTTTTGTTTGAAGTCGGTTTTATTTTTTTGTTAAAAAGTTTTTTTTGAAAATAAAGTAGCAAAGTTATCTATATTTATCAAATAATGTTTTAAGGTAAACAATCAAAACATGGACAGTTTTAAATTTATTTTAGAGCTGCATTTTGAATTTCCAGAAACATCTTAATAAAACATATGTAAATCTTACGTACTTCTATTACTTTTCAATTTTTACATTTATAAAATATATTAAAATATTACAGACGTCAAGTAATAGTAAGAAATATTGAAAATGATCCACTAATAAAGGAAACAACGCCTCAACAGCGTGCTTGCCGTTTCCATGACGAAAACGAGGCTGGACTCTACCCGCACTATTCTTACAGTGCATGTAATATTTTGTGTAGGAAACGGGCGCAAATGGACCTCTGCAAGTGTAACGACCACTTCATGCTCGGTTCCAGTACTTAATGTTTTTTATTATATATTTATTGAGAAAATTTTTTTTTTATGTTATAAATGGTGTCTGCTCGCGTCTTCGCTCACATGGTAAATTATTACACAACAACTGACTTATGAGTTACTTCGGAATATAAGCTTTCATCATTACAAATTTTACTCTCTTACAAATGACACACTGATCTTTTAACAGAGTATAGTCCTGACGGAACGCGACGGAACCAAGTATATGACGCTATGACGCGTTCCATACATTAAAGTAATACATTTTGAGTTTTTAAAACTATAGTATAATTGTAATAATATTTTCATACACATTTAACAAAACTATTTAAATATATAATATGTACATCATAGTTCGTTGATATCATATTATGTTATATTTAAATGAGCAGTTTCTTAGATATCCAATCAATAAATGTGTTTTCTATGTAAATAATAAAATTGTAACTAATCCGAATCTGTACATTAAATATTTTTTGGAAAATCTTATTAAAATAAACATTATTATCGATACAGAGGCTAAATTTATAGTTTTTAGAATTTTTCAATTCTGTCTGTCTGTCTGTTACCGCATCACAGAAAATCCACTGGAGAGCTTTTGATGAAATTTGGTATGATGATAGCTGGTTATTTGGGTCAACATATAAAATACTTTTTAACGCGGGAAAACATCACATTTCTGAGAAAAAATACAAAAACTGCATTGTAAGAGTATACTAATATGTAAAACTTAAGAATTTGGTTTATGGTCATCTGAACGCGAGCGGAGACGCGGGCAATGCTAGTCTTTAATATGTGCTTGTTTCATAATTTAATTACCCACAAATGCATTATGTTTACTCTGACTATCCAGATGAATCAGAACGTTGTAACATATCAGGCATGTGGTGTCTCCATACGCATTCAAGTCACCTAACTACATTGAAACCAAGTTGGGCGCAACGTCCAGGGCTCACGTGTGAGTGTTTGCCATCATGTGATGAGACTGAAATAACTGTCATTAAAGATGTCATCAGATCGTAAGTATAGTAAATCATATGTACTGTATCACGTATTAACTTTTGCTTGAACCATTTCTCGTACATTATTATCCCCTTCACTTCATAACAACAAGAGATACATCATTTAATTCGTATGAAATTTTGCTAAAGGTGACTAACGTGTCAAATCCAGTCCAGTCCTGAGAAAACTTCAAAGTCCACTAGGGTTAAAAACATTTTTTTCAACTATACGATACTCTACAAAGTATTAGGTGATTTTTCAAACACGAAGAGACATGATAGAATTACTGAAAGACAATTATTGAACTTTAGAAAGTAAAAAACATCCATACTCCATATCTATACTCCCATAAACCATACTAATATTATAAATGTGAAAGTGTGTTTGTTTGTTTGTTTGTTTAATACAATCCAAAAAATATCTATTAAAAGAATTACTTGAAACTTGGTAGATACATATACTCTTCAATAAAATTAAGCAAATACGTGTCTTAGCATTTTTCAAAATTTATCCTATAAGGGGGTACAATGGGTGATGAAAGTTTGTATGAAACTACCTTTTTAAGGTTTTTTGTAGTTTTAGCGCGAGCGAAGCCGCGGGTTCTGCTAGTACATAATAAATTCTTACAATATATATTGTCACTTTAACAGCTTAAACATAAAACTAAAACGACATTATTAAGCAAAACGTATTAGTTACCTAATAACATAATATGGCAGATGCAATGCTGTGGGTAGAATCTTCTGTTGACACGCACGTAGAATACTTATCTAGCTGTATTGATCGAGATTAAAATTCCTTAGTTGCTATTTTAAAACTAATAAAAAATAATAGATTGTTGGTACTATTTACTTTATTATAATTACTTACTAGGTTGATTCTCAATACAAACTTTCATCCCTATTTTCACCCCCTTAAGGGATGATTTCCGAGATAAAAAGTATCCTATGTCCTTTCCTGAGTCTTAAACTATCTTCTTACCAAATTTCATCTAAATCAGTTCCGTAGATCTAAAGATTACCCCCTACAACGTCACAAACTCACAAAATCTCAAACTTTACCTCTTTATAATATTAGCATAGATGTATAGATTAAATAATTTTCCAACTATCTTATCATTTCAGAGTAAAATCAAAGAAAAAGAAGAATTCTGACATTGAAATGGTGCTCACGTATCTACCGACAGAAAGATTTAAAAGGAACGTGGTCAGGAGTCGTTTAGATTTAGTAGGTAAGAGGTTCGAAAATAAAGAATTAAAAATGTAGAGTTCCACTAATCTTCTCTATTTACATATAAAATTATTTTTCCTAAATGATTCATCGCAAGTAAAGAGTTTTGTAGTATTTAAAAAGACTGAGAAACATTTCTTTTAATCAAAGTAGTACTTTGTTGTAAAGTGTACGAGTATATGTGCGATCTATAAATCTCGCCCTCAGACCGAAACTAACGTGAAATGCTAATATATAGCGGCATAGGCTATCAATAAAAAGATTTTTTTGTATTCAATCCTTAAAGGAATAAAAAAGGATAGTAAAATTAATATGGAAAAACACACGTTCAATTCTCAAATAAATAAACGCCCAATGAAACCGAGGCACAAATAAAAAATTATGTTTTAAGAAAAGTTTTTATACATACAAGTATAGTATTGCTTGTTTGTGTATAGGCTGCATCTTAATTTTAAAAACAAGAGATCAGCTAAAATATTACAAATAGCATTCAAATGTACCTATTATTAGTAAAAATTTTCATAATAGGTATACATACATGGTAGACTAAAGTCACTTACAGCTGTAAGAAAATGAAAATTGTTATCCTAACAGTTTAGTAAATAAATATATTTTTTTAATTCCAGTATCTGTGGGCGGCACGGCGGGCTTGTTTGTCGGCGCCAGTTTGCTCAGCTTTGTCGAATTAATATTCTTTTTCACCGTCCGTTTTATCAGCAATGCTTGTATAGAAAAACGTCGCCAACATAACAGCAAAATGAACTTTTAAACATATTTTTAAACAAGCGACTTACCCTCGCTTCGCTTATAGTTTATATGTGTACTAAATTTTAACTCAATCCGTCCAGAAATTAAGAATGAAGGAGTAACAAATGTTTGTTACAGACATACAAAATTCACACTTCAATATAATAGTTGTATTTAACCCTTTTTAGCGTCCCACTACTGGGCACGGGCCACCCTTCAATACAAGGGAAATCAGGCCAAAGTCCACCACGCTGGCCAAGTGCGAGTTGGCGGACTTCACTTCAATATAATAGTGTAGTCGAATAATGTCTACTTTATACTTAAGCTAACTCGATTTTTACCTTTAGTCACTAATTCTCAAAAACATTAGTCACACCCAAGAGTGTGCCATCGATGATATCATTCTTGTTTTTCAGTAAAGGGAACAACCTATTTAACAATCTGCGTTACATCATAATAGCAAATGCGGTCTCGGGCTTATCATTGCAATTAGAAGTCATAAGCCTGTGCCGCAGATCCAATGAAAGCTTATACGAGTAGTATGTAGTAACCTCTGGACCCAGTTTGTGACAGGAAGCCCATAGTTACGACTGATGTAAGAACCAAATCAATGCCCTACATCTCAACAATAGGTATTCATTAAAAGGGCATAAGAAGGGTCTATAATGTAAATAAATTCTATTGTATCTGTACTTCGTCGATTTTTTTAAAGTAGCCTTAAGTAAACCGATCAGCAATTTTTTGACTTTACAGACTTCATTAATTGATTGCATTGTCGAATTTTTTGTGTCATTTAATCACTCAAATTAAACTAAATAAAATTTTAGTCTGAGTTAACACTTGAGAGTAGGTATTATAGATGTTCTCGCTCCTTTTAAGGTATCCAATTTTATTAATTATACAATATACATACATATATAGTATAATACTGTTTGCACGAGTCTTCTTATCCGACTGCACCGAAGCGCGAAAAGTTATTTAATAATAATAAATAATAATTAGTTTTAAAACACACAAAATTTTATATTGGAAACGTATTTCTAAGAATTCAGGAGATTTTTATAAACTTTATGCATTGTCATATTAAATTTCAAGTTTATATACTTTAAAGTTAATTATAAATGACATTATAGTTGTAAATATTTAAAAACTACAATGAAAAAAATAAAGGGGTTATGAGTTTTGATAATTCTTTATTATTTTAAATAATATTTTAATAATATCTGCTAATATACATTTTTATAATAAGTAGTAAAATGGTAAATTAACGTTGACCGCTCTATAAAGGAATATGTTAGAACGCTATCTATAAATGTAGAGTTTTCACTCATATATCTAACAATTAAAAGCACAGTAAGTTTATTTTGTATAACATATAGAAATTTAATCTTTTTGTAATTTTATTAATTAATTTGAATCTTAATAATTAAAACAGATAACTTGCCAATTTATTAAGATATTATTCTTAATACAATCTTTATAAACATATGCCTATACTCTACATTATTCTAAATTTTTTTTTTCATTAAAATAGACTAAGTATGTATTAAGGTTACTATAAAGGTAAGTATCTATACATATATTATCTATCATATCGGGTAAAATAACAACATTTTTTTAATTTAATAAAATCCTATAGGTACAGGCGGCTATTTAAATTTTAAAATACTTTTTCAATAGAATTATTTGAATTAAATAATGATTTTAGTATTTAAATAACTGATATATAAAAAAATATATAGTTAAACGCTGCACAAATCATTACATTTAAATTATTCACGACTGTTTTTGCAACTTTACATTGGCATGATAACAAATGTCCTTTGACAGTCAGTAAAACTGAGATAAAGTAAATATTTCCAGGAAAACAGGAAATAAGGTCGAGTTACCATAACAAAAACAAGTAAAATATACCTACAGTATTTGTGATAAAAGCATACACAATACGTCCTACTCGCATTTAAACTCAAACACATTACATTATGGTATGCAATATACATAGTATTTTAATGTATATAGGTTTATATTTATTTAAAATATTTTTACGTATTTTAAATATACTTTTCTTTAATTATGTACTAAATTTTATCAAGAATAAATCTTAGTATCATCAACTTAAAATAAACAAATTAAACGTAGAATCCGTAAAGCTTAAAAGGAAACATTTTGTGAGGGTAACAACGATAACATACTGTGTTATTTATAATAAATCCATATTGAAATGTATCACCTAAAGGCTATCCCTTAAATTTACAGATTGTGTTTTTTTCATTTTCCTCGGTTCATTTTTCTTTAAACTTTCAATTAAAGCTAACTTCCGCATGTATGACGCTCTCATCTTTTGATAGCGCATATTTTTTAAATTATTTAAGCTCACTCGACTGTGTGTAAAATCAGAATATCACATTCTTCTCATCGTCCACCAACGACTGCAAGGGCTATGCAACTGGAAGCGCCGATACCTCATGCAATGCCATTGGGGTATTTGCTTCATACGTCGTAGAGCCTCCAACTGCAGTAAAAAGTTCTTATAAGACTATTTTAAAGAGCACTAGAATGTTTTACTTTATATTTGTAATAATAGTAGATATACATATAAAATAACTATAACTTAATATATGAAAATCATGTATGTTTATGTTAAAAATAATTTATAATCAATAATTTTAAGTCTAACTCTATAAATTTGATGTTTGTCTAAATGAAAAACAATAAATTAAACAATATAAAATTGTATATAGAGTAAAAAGCTATTCTTTTTTTCCAAAAATAAGATTAAGTGTTTCAAAACGTAAATAAGTTATTAATTTTTAATAAACTCACATAATCTATATTTCCGCTTTTAAAGGGCTGAGATTCCACAGTCACAATAAAACACAGAACAAGAGCAATCACAAAGCAAGTAAAAATCTTCATTTTGAGAATTTTAGAAATTCATAAAATTATACAATTTCAAACGTTGTATTGTCACGGTGTATTTATTAGTAGTGTCTGGTCGCGGCTATTCCCGCCGTTTATAAGGGAGCGCGCCCACACTTTTTTCCCGACAGCAAAGACAGAAAAGAACCAAGAACTGCGGAAAACTGACAAATAAGTGAAAATATTTACATATAGTGTTAACTCTTTTAATATTTATTATATTAACTACACAATTCATTAATGTACTGTGTAGTTTTATTGTAATATTGTAATTATTTGGCTTTAACTTTTATAACGGCGCTTTTTATATTAAATATTAGGGATTTTTATTAAAAAAAAAAAAATAATTAATCATTATATTGGATTAACGCAAAAGAATAATACCTATATTTATTTTTGCTACTTCAAATTACCAAAAAATATATTGAGAAAATTGTTTATAATATCTAAAATGATAGTTAAAGTAGGCTAGAACATCTGTCACTCTTCTTTAAATTGATAGATATGTATTTTTAGTTCTTTGTTCGGAACAATGGTTCATTCTTTTACAACATGCATATCTTTTGTAGTCCCATCAAGCTTCTGCAATTTGAATAGATCAAGATTTAATGTTTATTACGAAAAAATGCGACGTATATACGACAAATTATCAAATCTATATCTATCATAATTTAAGTAAAAATCTGATAAACTTCTAGTATTTAAGTTTACCTTAATCCAACAATAACTACTTATCGTTTTACTAACAGATGTATAAAAAACAATGATGTCTCAATATAAGTTAGTGTTTATCTTCTAAAAGTATTATATTTTCATTGTTATGCTATAAAGTTTAATATATAACTAATACCAAACATACACACGTACATAAACTTCACTAATATAATATTAGTCCGATTTTAATAAGACTGAAAGTGTACAATATATTGGTATGTCCTTCTTTTACGGAGCAACGAATTGACGTGAAATAATGTCGTGTCTCTATGTAATAACATAGAGACAGCTTGTAAGGTAAAGAATTACATAGGCAACTTTTTATCCCGACACATCTAGCGATATTACTTTATAATCAAAAGCTAGGTAGGTTCTATTTATAGAGTTCTATCTATAGATAGAATAAAGAGTGGTTGGATATTGTTAAAATTAAGAAAAAGTCAAAAATTTCTAAACATGTGCATTTGTGTTATTATTTATGTGTATAAACACATAAATGTAGCTTTTATATCAACACAATTAATACTATTCGTACGTACAGAATAAAATGTTCTTTATCGAAATTTTATTTGTACGAAAATACTCTAGACTTTAGTCATGAATAGACTGTATGGTTAATTAGGTAGTTATGAAATGAGTAAGTCGAAAGCTTATACACGTATTTTATCTCTAGTAGTTTCCTGTGAAATCCCCGTAATTCTTCCGCGAACTGCAGCCGAGCATTGGGTCAAAAGATAATTAGATTAGCAGATGTAAAGTGTGATTACGTGTCCTTTCAATTATTTAGACTGCCTACAAACATTAAGATTCTAGAAAGATTACTAATACGTTCTCTATAAATGATTAGTTAGTAAAAATCTGATACAAGATCAAAATAAAATCAACCTAAATCAATCTATAAAATGAAGCCCAATAAAATTTCATATACGTCAACCACGCATAATAAGAAATATGGATAAAACTTTAGCTTATAATAAATAATTATAATTAAAGTCAATTTAAGAAATTTTTATTATGTTTAGTATGCTCAAAATTACTTCATTATTTGTTGGACTTCGAAAGTACAATATTTGGCACACGTCTGACTCGTACTATCTAAAACACCAGAGATCACGGGAATATGGGAACCGAAATGAATCTACAAGCAATCAAAGCTTATAGATTCCTTCCGATCTAAAGAGTGACCATAGGTATGGCCGTCTCGGAATTAGTATTACTAATTTTAATAATAAACAGAAGCTGATATGCGCTGGAGAAGACAATTTTCTCTATCTCCTATGAGACGCCTAAAAACGTATATTTATTACACTTAAAATATAAAAAGACTACACATAATAAGCTAGAGGTCCAAACCAATAAAATAAGTTAAAATTGAAGACCATGTATAACTTAGTAAGAGATTATTATCTAAATGGTTATATATAAATCATTTAATATGAATTCTACTTATAACGCTCTTTGCTGTAAATACCGAGAAAATCGTTAATTCAACCAAATGATCAAATCCAGTTGAGACCGCGTTTAATAGACCGGCCTCGCGTCAATTTACAATTTCTGTTATCAGTACCAGATCTAGGTCCATGAAATAAGAAGCGGATCTGAAATATTCTCCAACAAGGTCGTCGGTGATGGTACCTTGCAGCATTCGAATAGCCGGTAATTAATTCGCTGTCTAACTAAAATAAATATGTATCCTTATAACAATTTTGTATTATAGAATACATACATTTTTATATTTTAAACATATTCCTTTAAGAATGTCAAACTTTCTTTTACTCAATTAAATATATTTAAAATAAGGTTGATTTAGTAGAAGTCTACCTAGAATTTATATCCCTCCATATTATAATGGTCACCCCAACGGTATTCGGTCGGTATCGATTGGTAGCAAAACAAAAGAGACCTAGATATAACTTCGCACTGCTCGTGTTTGTCGCATAAAAATGGAAAAGCGTCCAAACTCCAAATACCCCAGTTGCTTTACGAATTTGCCTTTCTTAATAAACCAGTAATTTAGTGTAGCTACAAAATGTAACTTGATTATTCTGAAGAATCGTGAATGTGAAAAATTATAGTAATCATGGTAAGTTTATACAATTTGATAATAACATGGCACTGCGGCTTCTTTATATTTGTATAAATATTACTTAATACTTTTATTTTATTATTATTTTATATTTTAGATCATCGTAAGTTTTCACGTGGGCAAGCTTTTATAATTTTAATCTTAACGAGATTATTAAACAAAACTATTTATTAATTATGAATGTTCTTCCTCTAGGATCAAATTGCATTACAATTGTCATAAATATTATAAATTTGACCATGGACATTACCATCTAAGTCAATTAAAACCAAACATACTGAAGGTCACGACCATCATCAATTTACAGAAGCCTGATAAACATAGTGCCTAGATACAATAAAATCAATAAATAAAAGATACCTACTATCATTTTTACTATTTGAGATAAGTCATGATTTTTACACTTTGTGATTTTTAAAGTACTAGAATGTGAACTCAATCAAGTAATATTACGAGTACTCGTATACTTACGTTATGATATATAGATTTAGTAACCGAATTCCCAAAACCACTTTTTATAATGAATAATCCAATTAAGTTTTTTCCAATCCAAATGGATTAATATCTATAATAACTAAAATTTATCTGTTACTAGATTTAAAAATATGCCCAGTAAAAACAAAAACTGTGTGAGGATGAGCAAGCTAAGTGTGCTAGGCGGCGGAGAGGCGTGTGGTGCGAGGTGGACCCTAGGAGCACTCCTCCTGGCACCTCTTGCAGCCGCTAACTCTAGCTATTGCGCTGTACCTGCTGTGCTCTTACTGGCTGTTTTTGTAACATTAGGAAGTAAGGGAAACGTACAAATATATTAAAATGTGAACAAGCCAGACCACACATTACCAAAACTTAATTTTATATTAATTTACAGCGTTTACACGTCGAGACTTAAAGAAATTGGCAGAACTGCTGCCACCTTCAAAAACGGGAAGAGGTCGACGTGAGAGAAATTTGCGATCATTCGCTGATTTCATGTCAATGTGGATGTGTTTTCTTTCCCATCTCGTGGCCGTCGCTGTTTGCGCTAGAATTCTTAGTGCTACTGCAGATCATGTTACAGCAGGACGGACTAGAAGATGGCTTTTTGGATATGAAACAAGATCTTTGGGCGAGCCTTGGCCCGATGTGTTAGGAGTAACTGTCGTGATGGTTGTTTGTGCCATGTTTATGTGCGGTCTGGAGGTAAGTTAGTTGTCTAATTATAGGTATATATATATATATATATATATATATATATGCCTTGTTGAGATCTACAAAGGCTATGAAGAGAGGAGTCTGCTGCTCTCGACACTTTTCCTGAATCTGGCGTAATGTAAAGATCATGTCAATGGTTGATCGCCCAGCCCGGAATCCGCACTGAGCCTCAGGATAAATGCGATCGGCCCGCTGCAGTGCTGACTTCGCTTTTGCGAGTATTTCGAGTTGTATTGAGTTGATATGTGGATACAGATGCTCGATGTTTTGTAAGAACCAGTCCTTTGTCACTACAAGCGAGTGGTCCGTGTCGCAATCAGCACTGATAAGAACGTGTATGGAGGACATAGCGAAGGTCTTTTTTCCGAGTCAGGATTAGGTCCAGCTGATGCCAATGTCCAGAACGCGGGTGCCTCCACGAGACTTTGTGCGTAGATTTGCCTCGGAAGTATGTATTGGTAATACAAAATTGGTGGTTGGAACAGAACTCGAGCAAACGCTGACCGTTTTCGTTTAATCTGCCAACACCATGGTTACCGAGGCAATCTGGCCAAGCGATGTTATCCTGGCCTACTCTGGCGTTAAAATCACCCATGATATGCAGGTGATCGCTAGAAGGTACCGCTTTTATGGCTTGCGTAAGTTGGTCATAGAAACGATCTTTAACTTCAGGTGTTGAGACTAATGTAGGTGCATATGCGGAAATCAAGGTTATAAAACCGCAGTTACTAGAGAGTCGTAATACCATTATGCGCTCTGATATTCCATGAGGAGTCTCAATACACGAAAGGAGATCGTTACGTACGGCGAAGCCCACACCATGCTCACGATTATCATGTTGACCTTTTCCTACCCAGAAAAATGTGTAATGAGCTTCCTTGATGGATCCAGTGTCAGGAAGTCTAGTTTCCTGAAGAGCCGAAACGGCGATGTTAAGTCTCGTCAACTCAGTGTCAATCACAGAAGTTTTGCGCAGGTCTTGGGCGCAGCCTGAACCTCCGCAGGTCTCCGGGAGGCCTGTCCTCATTGTGCGGACATTCCATGTCGCTAAGCGCATGTATAAGTGTGGTTGGTTAATTTGAAGCCTTTTCTTCTGTTTTTGCGCAGGTGACAAAATTTACAGCACTGACTATCTAGGTTTTAACTAGTGCTTCCTCCACCCAACGGAAACAGGTCAATGCTGAGACGGACCAGTACCTTATTGGCCGGGGGCTGCCCAGCTAGAGCGGGCGGTAACTGGTCAGTGGGCCTACAATGGGCCCTCCCACTGTCAAGAATGACCCCTAGCGCCCACGCTTACGCCTATTCGCGCAGACTTATCACTGGTAACTGCCATTCTCCGTGTTGGTTTCATCGCTCTTGAGATTGCGATGGCGGAGTGTCCTCTCCACAGATGTTAACTGCTGTGCCTGGGATTTAATTTAGGAAATGCAGGTTTTCCCACTGCCTACACCACCCTCTCGACCTCGCCAGCGAGGCCCACAGGAACGACGAGTCGCTACATGTGGAGCTGGTTCGGTTGCAGGACCTGACTCGTGTCTTACGGGGGTCCACTCCGAGTACCTCAGTCGCCTCTTACGACACCTGGCACTCGAGGGGAGCACTATTCTATTCTGCCGATGCCCCACGGCAAATATATATATATATATATAATATATATATATATATATATATATTAGGGTGTGCCAAAAAATGACGATATTTTTTTTCTTCGCTCTCAACCCCCAATTTATCTTAGAAAATGTCCCAACAAAGCTAATTCGTGAGCCTGTAACTTTGTTGTTATTGATGATATGAAAAAGTTGACAAGGACTTTTTTATAGGATTTTAAACGTACTACAAATTTGCCATTTAACATTTTTCTGTAACTCTTACAGTTTAGCTAAAAAATGCAAAAAACCATAAATTTTAACTTTAAAGCTATATAACAAATAAAATATTGAAGATAGAAATTCGACTCAATGGACCTTTTTGTAGTAAATTTAATAGTAAAGACGGTCCACTCATTCTTATATGCTTTTTGTAAACAAAGACAACTTTTTATTATGAATAATATTTTTCAGGAGAGCATGATGTTTACTTTTATGCTTTTGGTGGTACTGTATATATTTAGCCAATGTTTCGCTATTTTTGGATTGATCAACTTGGATATTACAAATATTAAAATACCAATTCCAATTACAATTTACGAGGTATAACATTATTATCATATGTTATTTGTTCAAATTATAGGGTATAATGTAATAAATGAATTGTGTTGCAGCTATTTGCTGCAGGAGCTCCGATTTCATACGCCTTCTGTATTGTTTCACCACCTAAGGAAAATGAGACTATGAAAAAGAAAATTATCTTAATGATTATTTTACCAACAATTGTGCTCAGTAGCTTATGTTTTCTTTACACCAACATGCTGAAAGGGTAAATATATAAATAAAAAATATTTTATGTATATTTACCCCTCTAACAATTATTATCAATTTTTTAGGACAAGTATAGACGCCGCTTTACCCATGACTACGTTATTAGAAGCAAGAACTGCGAGCTGGGTTTGCCCAGTGTTAGCTGCTATTACCGTCGCCGGTATTTGCCTTGCTTTGACCGAGTTATGCCCTTTACTCTTCTCCATACTTGTAGCGTTAGCGTCACCAGAATGGAAGGTACTAACAAGGTCAATGACCTATGAAAGCACCACTACTGGCAGCCCGGTTTTGGCTGTTTTTACTGCAGGTTATTGCTGTACTTTTTATAACATTCCAGCATTTATATGTTTTGGAAAAAATATACAACTGTATTTTTTACAGGAAGTTTAGCAGCAATTCTGGCGTTTGCTTGTCCTTTGTCACATATGATAACGCTTATGAATGCTAGTCATCTACTAAATGTATCTATACAAGCATTTCATTTTATCATCATGCGTTGTGTGCCGACAGCCGAGCAGATGGAAGCTGGGGGTACGTCTTACAAATCTATATGTATACTAATATTATAAATGTGAAAGTGTGTTTGCTTGTTTGTTTGTCCTTCTTTCACGTCGAAACGGAGAATGACGGATTGGCGTGACTTCTTATGTGGAGATAGTTGGAGGGCTAGAGAGTGACACAGGCTACTTTTTTCCGCGAGAGATTATCTCATTCCCACGGTAAAAACACGTTATAATACAACCCAAAAAAAATATTTATGATCAGAATTACTTAAAATTTGGTAGTAATGAAGCAAATACAATTAAATAAATATGTTTTTTAGGATTTTTTTAAATTCATCCCATGAGGGAGTAATAATATAATAGTAAAAATAGGGGATGAAAGTTTGTATGAAACCTACCTTTTTAGTTTATATTTGTAGTTTTAGCACGAGCGAAGCCGCGGGTTCTGTTAGTAAGTTATAAACACGTCTCTTGTATTAATTGTTTGAAGTGTAAAAATATTTTTTTATTTTTTCAGCGGTAGAATACAAACGACTAGGTACCGAAAATATTTCACGATCCGCAAAATCATCTGAAAAAAAGGCGAAACGTGGTCTTTGGTTTATTCCTTCAGCTATTCGTCACACGAAAACTTTAGAAAGCATAAAGTCAAAAGTAGGAAAAGGTAATTATAAAAAAAAAAAAAATTATCGCAGATTATACTAATTACATTAACTAATCTACAATTTGTCATCTTAAACTCGACCCATAAGATCCAAAAACTGTACCGAGTTTAACTTTAATTAAAAAAAAATGAACTTCGAAGACTTATCGCTAAGCCTGTCATGAATTTGTGTTTGATAAGTAAAATAATTCAATACATATTAATTATTGATAATTACAGATACTGAAGACCGCGAATGCCTTTTACTAGATGAATATTCTGGGTGTCCCTTGGAAGAGGGTGACCAAGCCACTAGCAGTAGCAGTGGAACAAGAGTTTTGGCTTTAGCTGAAGAGGAGGACGTACAGTCTGATATCGAAGCAACTGACGGTGAAATATCTTCGGGTGACGACTCTACAGATATCGACGCAGTAGTAAAAGAATATAGAGATAGAATACAGGTAAATTATTATTTTTTATAATGATTTTTTACTTTTAATATAAAATTTGTAGATTCGGTTTTCCTTAAATAACATTAAAAATTAAAATATGTGTCCATATCTTACCTAAAATGTTTAACTAACGAACATCATGAAGAATCGTTTTAACATATCGTTGAAAAGAGCTATATTGATACTGCATACAATTTTGCAGATATAAATGTGTGAAGATAAGAGTAATATACTAGAGAATAATAATTAATATATTTATATTATTTAATCTTGCATAGGTAGTAACAGCGATCCCAGAAGCAAATTTGCCCATACCGCCTTGTATGCGAGGTGCGCGGTGGTCGGCAGTTGGCGCGGTCGTCCAAGTAATCGCCAATGCATTTATTGCTGTCGCTTTCTGTAATGATTCTATGCGAGTGCCAATGTTTGGAACTGGAATACCACGTAAGTTAATATTTAGCCCAAAAAATATAGCTACCTACCTATCTCTACCTATCTAGCATATTACTTAATTAGGTAGGTATAGGTACTATTTAGTAAATGAGGATACCGTTGTTATTAGCAGCCACCTAACACGCGTATTCACTCGTATTTGTTTACAATAAATATTTTAAATTGCCAGTAAATTGAAGATGTCATTTATTTTGTATACCTACATATTTACTACTAACATAGCCCGTGACTCCGCCCGCGTTCAGATGACTAAAAACCAAATTCTTAGGTTTTATATATTAGTATACTCTTACATTGCAGTTTTTGTATTTTTTCTCAGAATTGAGACATTTTCCCGCGGAAAAAGTACACACAGACACAAAAATTTTAAAAACTATAGATTCGGCCTCTGTATCGATAATAATGTTTATTTCAATAAGATTTTCCAAAAAATATTTAATGTACAGATTCGGCTTAGTTACAATTTTATTATACAGATTATGATTTTACAATTTTAGTATGGCTATGCGGCACACTAATCAGTGTATGGCAGCCTGCGCATAATATTGGCATTAAACGACTTCATAAGCTTCAAGGGCCAATTACTTTAATGGTATCGTTACTGCTACTCACGCCACTGCTACTCAGTTCTTGGCCTGCAATAATACTTTTCGCTGGAGCAGGTTAGTTCTTTTGTCCGACTTCGAGAGAAGGAGGTATTCTTTTTGTCTTATATCTTCGCCAATGTTTACTGATTAAAAATGTTAATGAATCCAACTCTAATATATATGGCCATTCATAAATTACGTCACGCGAATTTCATTTTTATTTTCTTAAAATTAAGTTAGGTATTATTAGATTCGCTCTGGTCCTACAAGAACATTAGAAAATTCAGTCAAGCGTCAACAAATATTAATTTAGTACTGTAATTGAGAAACCATTCTTTTTAGGAGTAGTTATATACGCCCGTTGCGAACGTTGGTGTGGAGACCTAGCTGTACAACAAGCGAGGAGCACGATAGAGAGACGCAAGTTGCGCCATGTTGCATCTGCCGTACCACTCACTGGCACCAGACTCACCCACATCGACACTGTGTATATTGCTAGGTAAGTAGCATACACTATAAATATAGGCATGTAATATGAAAATGTAACTTTATAAATTTGACCCGACAAACGTACAAAAGCACAGACAAACAGACAAAAATTCTAAAAAACTTTGTATGTATTGGGTTCTATTGCAATAATAAAGACTCCAATAATTTTCTCAAATATCTTCCATGTACAGACAGCGATCAGTTACAATTTTATTATATGTATAGATCTCTCAGATAGATCATACCAAAATCCTTATGAAAAGTTATTTTAGTTTTATCCGAGATTTCCAATTTACGGGTAACTTTCCTAATCATTTATACTTTAAAAAACTTAATATTGTATGTAATTTTTTAAAGGCCAACCGAACGAACAATAGTACCTACATTTTTATTAATATAGATTATTTTAACATTTCCATTGCCTAGGATTGATGACTAACAACTCCATTACCTAGGATTGTTTTATGTTTATAGATGACAAGAAGACGACTCGGACACGAGTCTGGATAATCTGATAGACGAAGAGGAAGACCCGGACGCTGACGGCGAATGACATGAACCAAAAACGATTATAATCGTTACTGAATAGACATTACCACCGTTATTTGAATACATTTAACATTACCCAAAAAATATATTACAATACGTTCAAGCTATTACTAAAAATTAAGTGTTTATAGAGGTAAAAAAATATATTGTCAATTTAAATTAGGGGATAAAAGTTGTTCGTAATTTAAAGCCTGCTAGTGATATGCATCAAGGACCTACAATGGCAAATTAGTTTAAAATTTAAAATGTCTCAGCGCGTATTCACTATAATTCCTTAGTGCCCAAAAATAAATATCTATATGTATTTGAAATTATTAGACATTTTAATCGTCCGTCCATGCTTAACAGCATTTAGTAAATAGATTCATTAGTCAAAATTAAATTTTGAAGGGAGTGCTAAGTTAAAAATATTATTATATATCTACTGTGATGAAAAAGTCTTATCAAATATAGAAAGAAAAGAAAACTTTCTTAATAACACAACACGAGGTAACACTTCAAAAAATCCTTTTAAATCTTCAGTAAGTCTTTGTTAGTAAGTAATGTTTACTGAACTATGACACTAAGCATTTTTTCTTGTAATGTGGTTCAAATATTAGTGATGTAGTTTTAAAAATGCTTTTTGTAGACCATTAAAGTCTTATTATAAAAAAAAAGTCGCAACCTGTAAATTTGCTACTTTGTTATGTGTAGTATTAAATGAAAACTGTAAATAGGTATTTTTGCATTATTAGCCAAAAAAATTGCCTTTGAAAATTAAATTAACTTTAGAAATGGTGCCTACATTCATTCACTGTAGGTAGATTAAGATACTAATGCTAATAATTAAACTGTTTTTAATACGTTCAAATTATATAATAGCATTTGTCAAATTATATTGTGTGATTTGTAGATATTTATATTTTGGAAATAAGCCATTTTGCATTTAAAAATTTAGAAGGTTCAATATTCTTTATCAAATGACATATTAAGAGTATTTTTATATAGTTTTATGTTCAAATTTTAAATATGAAATTGTATCTTCAAAATTATTAACTTATATAATTAATCAAGCGAAATAATGCTTTCGGCCTAATTATAAATAACTTAAATATGCTCTAGTTAATAGTGTAAATGTCATTAGCCAGATCAGTTTGCAATAAAAATGAGCTAAATAATATCATAACTTTTATTTATCCTTTCATAATACTTTTAAATACAATAATTTATTTTTCCAATAAATACAGTTTATAAATATTTTCAGCTTCTTTATTTTCAAAACAGGGGCTAAATTTTACTTCTATCACTTCTTTGAATCCCTCATTAACACTTGGCTCTACGAATTTATTCCTGAAACAAAATACATTTATTAAACTTCTTCTTATTATTTACATACATATTGCATACGCGTATATGTCTGTGTTATTTCTCGCGCTTTCATTTCTTATTACTTCACGACTAAGCATGACTCTAAATAGGTACTCAACGTTGATTATAATGGAATATTACTTACAAATATTTTTGCTTTCTATCTGATAACAAAATAAACATTAAAACCTTGCTTGCCCACTTATTTAAATTGGATTTTTAAGAAATATAAACCCTCATACATAGTTATTTAACGAAGGCATATAATCAGGTCAATCGCGGGGGAAGCGGGAGATGACGCAGGTGAGACGCACCCGACTCAGTCTGTCATACGTTTATTAACTTGAGACTCTGAGAGTCGGGAAACGGCTTTAGGGTTGACGGGTATAATTATTGTAACTTACCACCCTGACCCTTGTTTTTGGCAACATTCCTGTAAAATCCAAGGCGACCGCCTACTTTGGATTTTTATACTATGGTGATACGGAGCAATAAGGGTCTTCGCAAACTACGATTTATAAACGCACCGACGACGCGCGTATTATGAATATCAATTCGTATAAATCACTTTTTGAGAACCAAAAATCAAAAATTGCAAATATAGCTATTATATTCCAAACATAAGCTCAATAAGCACAACTATACAAATTTGATTACAGTTTATGTACAGAATTAAATAAAAAAAAAACAATATAATTTAGTACTAACTTGTATGTATTGAAAATTATATCGTTAACTTGTAAATGCTTCGTCTTCATGATTTCTCTAAACTTGTTATTGTGTAGTGCGTGGGCCTTCGTGGTCATCATTCTAACACACCGGCACTGTACCTTCATGTTTTTAGCAAGTGACGTCCAGCGCGCTCGTGATTCTTTATCTGGATTTGTACTGTCCACTATCACACTTTTACCTTGCTAAAAATGTGTAATAATACAAAAAAAAATTAAATACTAAATAAATATAAGTAATAAAAAAATATCACAACTTTTATTAATTTATTCTAGAAAAACACTAATACAGATCTATTAGTTCCCAGGGAAACCATTCATTTTTCCGGTATGAAAAGTTACCTGTTGTTTGACCGGCAACATAAGGTATCAGCATGCCAAATTTTACTAAATTAGGTGCAAAAGTTGTTGTGTACTAAGCTGTATAAGTTACTATAGTTTTTTTAACTATCCCACGGGCACTCTTTAATTTTCCGGAATGAAAAGTATCTTACATGTTGACCGGGGATATAAGGTACGACCATACAAAATTTCATTTAAGTCGGTCCAATAGTTTCGGAGATTAACCCGTACAAACAGATAAACAGACAGAGAAACAAAAAAATTGAAAAAATCTAGATTTGTTCTATTTTCTTCTTACGGGATGTAAGAAGATAACTGACGCAGTTTTTAGATTTTTTTTTTATGTACAGACATTCGACCTCTACAGTTTTATTATATTTATAGACAGAATAAATAACGTATAATAAAATAGTAATAAATAATAATGATATTGATTGATGATAGAAATATACTATTGATAACTTTTCTATCGACCTTCTTAAGACTTAAAATTTTCTTGTACAATGTTTTGATCTATCTCTTAAGGTTGAGCCAGCGTTAGCCATATAAATTTCTAAGGACAATTCGATAGAACCAGTAATAACTGGTTAATAACACAATAGTGTTTTCCCGTAAAAATGAATAATTTGCCTGTCGTAAAAGGTATCCTAAATGTTGACCCGAGTACTAAGTTTGATAACTTTGATAGTGATCTATAGAAAATTTAGTTAAAATCGGTTCAGTACTTTTTGCGTGAAACGCGCACATCGATTTGACTAAGTTAGTTATATTATAGGTATAGATAAGAATAGATATTGCTTAGGAGATATACATATACTATTCAGAACTTTCCTATAGAACCTTTCAAGACCTACAATTTTTTAGTATATTGTTTTGATGTATGTATGTCTTAAGGTTTAGCCAGCGGAAGGTTTCTAAGGAGGACTCGATAACACCAGTTATTGTACCTTTCCGTGATAAAGAAAGATTTTCTTGAAGTAAAAGGTATCCTAAGCGTTGACTTGAGTAATAAGTTATCACTTCACCAAATTTCGTTGAAATCGGTTCGTTACTTTTCGCGTGAAACGCGCATACAAAAACAGACAAACAGACATACAGGCAAACAGACAAACAAACATACAGGCAAACAGAGAAACAGACATTTATTTTAATAACTATTGTTTTGGGGTCTATGTTGTGTACATAATACGCTACAAATAAACGAAAACATCTATCCCACGGAAACCGTACATTTTTCCGGAATAAAAAGTTACCTATTTGTTATTCTGATGTATGACCTGTATTATTGTTAAGTTTCATTAAAATCCAATCAGTAGTTTTTGTGTACTAAGCTGTATAAGTTATTATAGTTTTTTAACTATCCCACGGGAATGATTTAATTTTCCGGAATAAAAAGTATCTAAGATGTTGCCCGGGGATATAAGGTACCACCATGCAAAAAATCATTTAAATCGGTCTAATAGATTCGGAGATTAGCCCGTACAAACAGACAAACAGACAGAGAAACAAAAAAAAATGAAAAAAATCTGGATTTGTTCTATTTGTCTTCTTACATCCCCCTGACTCGGTTTTTAGCATTTTTTTGCTATGTACAGACATTCGACTTCTACTGTTTTATTATAGTATAGACTAACTACTCATCCTTGCTTCGGGTTTGTTCCTAGACAAAAACAAATCCAGCCCACGGGACGGCACACTATAATCTATCTGGGTGCCAAATTTCATCCAGATCCGTTGAGCCATTCTGGCGTGAAAGAGTAACAAACATCCATCCATCCTCACAAACTTAGACATTTATTATATTAGTATGATAAGGATTCGCAGATTCCCTCAAGACAAGTCACAGAACTTTGAGAAAGTCAATATTTAATGTGTGTATAATATTTATAAAAACTAAGATGATGCAAAGTGTACACCAGGTGTAATAGTAATAAGAACTTTTACTACTAGGGAAATGTAATAATTTCCAATATTTTTGAATAAAATTGATGTGTCTGTCCATAATTTCAAAATAACTATTGCATACTTGGGATATATGGAAATTATTTCGGTCAAGGGCAATATAGATTTTTATGACAGAAAAATAGGAAGAGTTCCAAAAGAACCTTCTTATTTAGCAGATTTTAATGGTATAAAGGTTTTCATAATCTATACTAATATTATAAAGAGATAAAGTTTGTGAGTTTGTGACATTGTAACGGGTAATCTCTGGATCTACTGAAACAATTTGGAAATTTGGTAAGAAGATAGTTTGAGATCCTTGGAAGGACATAGGATACTTTTTATCCCGGAAATCATTCCTTAAGGGTTTGAAAATGGGGATGAAATTTTATATTGGGAAGCAAGCTGGTCAATTTTCTTTATAAAGGATGAGGCATCTGTACTAGTATAGTATTATGTGTATTATGTGTAGAAAAAGGCAGGAATCTCACCTGCAATAACTTAGTCGCTTCAGCTGCACATTTTTGCCAAGTACCAATAACATCTCTACACACAGTTACATATTTGTTACCAGTTTTTTTCTCAATTTGTTTTGCAATAAAAGACTTGCCACTTCCAGGAAAACCAACTAGCACTAAAAGCTGAAAATACATTTTTGTACAGAAATACTATGTTTATGTAATTCATACATTTTAGTTTTATAATCTAATTCTATAATATAACAAATATTCAAACAATATTCACCTCTTTTTCACTAATAATTAATGCTTCATTGAAAGGTTCAGATTTAATATCTTTAGGTATAAACTCAGGCTTGCTCATTGGTACATTTGATATAGAATGCCCTAAAAAGAACTGTTCTGGTGTGTAGAATGTCAGTCCAAGGTTATCAGCAAAGAGGATATCAGCCATTGAATGGTCTTTCTTCCGCCCCGGTGCCCAATTTGCAACTCTTCCAGCTGCATCACCACAGAAGAAACTATTATGCATATCTATTGGTATATTATCATTTTTCTGCAAAAACAAGAATACATAGTTATATACATAGGAAAACGTACAGAAGGAGTAAAATTATAAAATTATTAGTTGTCATATATATATATATATATATATATATATATATATATGTATACATATATATATAGGTGCAATTCTGCCTCGGTGGTGTAGTGGCTAGCATGTACGGCTGCACACCCGAAGGTCCTGGGTTCGAGTCCCGGGTCGGGCCAAGTTTAGTTACTGATTCTTTCTGTATAGTAAGTCTCAGTAACAGCCCGAAGTTGGGAAGTTGGCGGTGTTTCACCCCCGTGCCTCGGAGAGCACGTAAAGCCGTCGGTCCTGCGCCTTAACTCTCATCGGTCGTGTCGTGCAGTCGTCCCACCGGAGTATGAGAGTGACAGGAATAGAGAGTGCACGTTGTGTCTGCGCGTACACTTGTGCACTATAATATCTCCTGCGCAGTTGGCTAGTCTCAATGAGATTGGCCGCCGTGGCCGGAATCGGCTAGGAGAGAACATACATATATATATATATATATATATATATATATATATACAAGTCTTAATATTAATATTTAGAGGTCACGCACTGCAAATTTCTATTTTAAATAGAAATACATAGTATGGGAAAAATATTTATCAATTTCAAAATTACTATATTTCAAGAATGAATGGATGAATTTGAATGACCAAAACACATTATAGTAGGAAATTGAATGCTCTACAAAAAACATTCTTTATCATTTTTTGATAAACCTACTCGTTAAAAAATTATATACATATATATAATCAATCATATAACCTTTTCTACAAGTAGTTTCCACATGCCTGGTGCTGGCTTTCTATAAAATCCTTTACCAGCTGCCAAAAACACTTGTACTGGAACATTTAACCTCTCAACCAACCCTTCTATTTTTTTCTTAAAATCATCAATTTTAACTCTTCCACTACCAATTGGTGATTGATTACTAAATATTACTAACTTGTACCCTTCTTTTAATTTTTCTGGCAACTTTTTTACTACTGGGGGAAAAGCAATTTGCCAATCATTAGTATCAACAGGATACACTTTTCCAGACTTTGTCTTTATTAATGTTCCATCCATATCAAAAGCTGCTATTTTGCTACTAGATTTTACACCTTTTGCTGTGAATACATAAAGTTCACCTCTATCAATTTCTTCCCAAGCACTGTCCATAGTTTCTTTTAGAGCTGGTTCCAATTCTGATTGAGTTCTGGATTTTTTTCTTGGTGAAGAATCTAATTTTTCTTCTTCCAGTTTTCTCTTCATTTGTTTGGGTTTGTCATAGTCATCAGGAGGTGGATCGAATTCTATAACGTGGATGTAATTATTTAGCAAAATTTCAATCCTACTTCCATGTTTCACTTTATATTCACCATTTCTTTTTAAAGCAAATCCATCTAATCCAGAAGGATTAATTCCCATAGGTTTAACATTAACCAGACATTCTTCACAATCGGCTTTTAGACTAACTACAAAAAAAAACGATGTAAAATATAAAAAATATTAATATTTATTTTACAAAAGATCGCTATATACTAACTTTGCTGGCGAGAACAAGATTGGTCTTTAATCTTAGTAATCTTACTTCGACCTACAAATACTTCAATATCATGAGGTAATGTTATAGGCGCATGCGAATCTAATAAACACCGTAAAAAGCACTGTCGTGACATATTATTATACAAGTTACAACTATTACAGTATACAACATTAAATTATTTGTTACATAGGGAAATAAGACATTTATCAAAATATTAATTTGTAATTATTCCAATAATTTATTTAGCATATATTTTGAAATATTAAATATTTGTATTTTTCTATTCAAAGTTAGTTCCGAAATAATTTTTTATTTTATACTTTATGACATTTCTCATACAAAATTACAAATTCTTCTTCTGTGTAATGACATTTAACAGTATGACCAAAAATGTAACTTGTCGTATCATTCTTTATTATTCATCTAAATAATAATTATATAATTATTATCCACAAAAATACAAATTATTATAAAATGTGAATATCTAGCGGCTGTAAACTTAACTACCCTCTAAGTTCTTATATCACTCTAAAAATGCAATTCTCAAATAAGAAATAGACTTATCTTGAAATAATTCAATTAATATTTTAAACTAATATAAATTTGATAAAATGGACGCTTATTATTATTGCAAATAATTTTATTAATTTAATTCCAATAATTTTATTAACTAAGTTACTAAACAATATAATGTATAATATTTTAAGATATTTCCAGTTTATGTAATAGAGGTTAGAACCATAGACGAAGGTATTATTCCATAGTCTTGTCCACAAATGAATATGACATTGACGTCTCGTCCTATTTATGAAATATGACAATTGAGTATTGACATTCATATTTCATCGTTTTAAAGTTTAGGTTTGAGAAGTCGAGACTTACGTGGTGATTTATGGGTGGATTAAACTTGATTTTTCACCATTTCGTTAATACAATCTCTAAATATATACATACACAATTGTACTGATATATAAATATTAATTCTTGTATCCCTCTTATCTAATCTATTTCCGAAAATTAAGGTAAAATAATGTTATTTCTTATTTTACTGACGTGTATTTTGCTGACAAGAGGCATGTGAAATTAGAATTTCAAAGAAATATTTTTTTATATTATTTAAAGGCTCTACATAGCGTAATTATGTCATTAACTAAAAGAAAACGTTCAGTTGAAGATGAAGAAGAATTGTTAGAAAATGGCGAAGCGGCTACATATACCAGCCGAAGTAACATAAAAGGAGACGAATTTAATATTGCAGTTTTGTTGTTTTTATACACCCTTCAAGGTATTCCCTTAGGCCTTGCTGGAGCAATTCCTATGCTCTTACAAAATCGTGGTATTACATACACACAACAGGTACTATTCAATTTATATATTATTATTAATATTAAAAATAATCACATAAATTTGAAATATTAAAAATGAATTCATATTTGATAGAAAGACTTAAAATAATCTTTTTTTTTTGTACAAGATGTAATGCAAATTTCAATAAATAAATAATGTATAATATTTGGAATACTATTGGCACATGAGCTAAAAACAATTTACACCTAATCACATAATCATAAATTAATTATCTATCTAATTTAATATTTCAGGCTGAGTTCAGTTTTGTTAATTGGCCTTTCAGTGTAAAACTGTTATGGGCACCAATTGTTGATGCACTGTTTTGGCCTGAATTTGGTAGAAGAAAAACATGGCTTGTACCAGTGCAATATTTAATTGGAATTGTAATGATAATAATGTCAACCAGTGTGATGGGTTGGTTAGGGTCAGAGGAAGAAGCTCCATCCATGTCAATTCTTACAATATCATTCTTATTGCTTAATTTTTTGGCAGCTACACAAGACATAGCAGTAGATGGATGGGCTTTAACCATGTTAAAGAGGTATATGCTGGTTTTATGAAATGCTTAGTTATTTTTAAACATAATATGTTTGTTATATATAATATTTAAAGGATGACTTTAAAAATCAATTGACATCACATTTGAATTTTTAGGTGTAATGTAGGGCATGCCTCAACATGCAATACAGTTGGACAAACAGCAGGTTTTTTCTTAGGCTATGTCCTATTTTTGGCACTTGAATCTCCCTACTTTTGTAATAAATACTTAAGGACAGTACCAGAAGATACAGGCTTAGTAACATTATCAAGCTTTCTTCTATTTTGGGGTTGGGTATTTATTGTCACAACAACTTTCATAGCCATTTTTAAACATGAAGCAAATGATACTGCAAATACTAATGAAAATCAAGTTAAGGGAATGAGTGATATTGTCAATGCATATAAACAGTTATACACTATTGTGAAATTACCTGCAGTAAGGACACTGGCTTTGGTACTATTTACTGCTAAGGTAAATTTATATACATTTATGGCATATATTTTTATTTTTACTTTGAATTATTTATATCTATTTCGTTTTTATTTCAGCTTGGTTTCTGTGCTAGTGATGCCGTATCTGGACTAAAGCTGGTAGAAGCTGGGGTCCCACGTGAGGACTTGGCTCTTTTAGCTATTCCTTTGGTACCAGTTCAAATCATCATGCCTGTGGTATTTATCTATTTGTATAATATATTTTTTAATTATCTGTCTCATTTTTTCTGCAGGATATGTTACACCAGCACCTAAAGTACCTTGTGATATTATAGATTATATTAATATCAACTTTTTCTTCATTAAAAAAGATAAAATTAAAAATTAATTCTTCAATATGATAGCATGGTTACTAAATGTAATAAAAATTAAATAAAATTCAGTACTTAATTATGAATGGGAAGATTGTAAACATTAAAATAATAAGTATCAGATAATATGAATAACTAGTGACTCACCCTCACTTGGCTCGGGTTCATCTCTAGGTGCATTTTAATTTTTTTGAGCGGAACCCCAATTCTTTTTCTAAAATAAAAGTAGCCTATATTACTCCCTATAACATCAGCTATCTTCCAGTGAAAGTCCCGTTAAAATCAGTCTAGCCTTTTCAAAGATTATCCAGAACAAACAGACAGACAAAATTTTTAAAAATTGTGTTTTTCTTATAAGTACAATATATAATTTCATATGCTTTTAATAAAACGCTGTTATTTTGACATTATAAACAGACACTTCTTTTAAAAAAAATACATGTATAGATTTTTTCTCTTTATTAAAACTTTCCATGTACCTTAAGGAACATATGAAAAAAAAATTAGCTGAATTGGTCGAGCCATTCTCGGGTTTTGCGCTTAGCAACATTCATTTTTATTTATATAGATATAATTGTTCCAGATCCTCGCTAAGCACACAACAGGACCAGCCCCTCTATCGCTATGGCTGAAAGCATTCCCTCTTCGACTCTTAGTGGGTCCATTAGCTGCTGCTCTAGTGGCTCTTACGCCAAGCTTACTTGGGAACTCTGGCCCATCTTACTCATATCTCTTTGTGCTGATGACACTGTATGTCTTTCATCAGGTATGTTGTAATAATATTAAAAACAACTTAATATTATGTATACATGTAATTACCAACTGCAAATGCCAGTTTAACTGCAATAAAGAAAATCGAAAAAAAAATACCCTATAAGAAAACACAGACAACATGACTGTGATGTTTTTTTACTCCTTAAAATATGCAACTGCATGGGACATGTAGTGCACAGTGTCACAACTATTCCATTTAACTTTCATAATCTGGAGGGACTGGAATTCGACACAACCATGACTGGTGACTGCTTTAGCTGAAAGTACAAGCATGGGGGGTACTGTGGGCTGCTACTGAGTCTTTCGTGACAAAAACTTAACAACTTTTTTAATCAGACAGAGAACTCAAACCCAAGACGCGACAATTTGCAGTGGTACATGCTAGCCACTAGACCAACAAATCAGTACATATAATATGACCATAATCAGTGTAATATTAGATTTTACGTACACAAAGCTACACCCGCGTATTCAATAATTCAACTATTTAACATACAATCATAATATGCGACTAATTCATGGGGGACTCAAGTTCTTTTTGAATTCTAAGGCTTTTTCTTTCAGCTGTGGTGGATTCATTTATGAATATAGCTTTAGCTAGTAAAAATTTTAACAATTTAATTCTAGTTAAAATTTGCTTGCTTCGTTTGTTTCGAATTTGAATGCAGCCAAATATATATTAAAATATCAAATTTTACAATAAATTTCCTGTGTAAAATATTTAAAATTGCCATTTAATTACCACGGAAAGCCACGACAATAATAAAAAGTAATAAATTTCGATACAAAAAAAAACAAATAAAAGGTTAGTATCGATTGTTATTACTTGTTTTAGATTTTCGCGGTTATCACTAACCATGAAACTACTTTATAATGGATATGACATTATGATAATCTTGACTTTAATTTACTGCTTTGAAGGACAAGTATTTTCGTAGTACATAATATATTATGTAGGTACTGAAATACGTAAGAAATATTCTTTTAATATAATACATTATTTTATATAATTTATGTGCAATATACAATAAAGAATAAAATTTCGGGGGCTAATTTTAGACGGCAAACTAGAAAAAAAAATATCAAGTGCTAATTTGACGTATCTATTAAATAAAATCTATACCTATATCTCAGACCAATAAAAAAGTATAGACGGAGCCGTTGTAAACAAACGCGACGAAATAAGTGAGGTAAAGTTTTGGCTTTGTGTGCGTAACTCGGTGTAAGATAGCGTAGATTTGCGCATGTGTGCTAGAGAAAAATGTTGCAAGCGTTGTGCTTACGACTCCCAAGTGCGAGAGATATACTTTGGTGAAGTTTTATTATAGGTAGTATTGTTTTTATTTGCTTTGTTTACATGAAATAAAAATTAAATTAGTTTAATGAGTCATTTATTCTTATATAAAAATAATTAACAATTTAACAATAAGACCACACAAAACTTACATATATTAGAATAATTGGACCCAGTTATGCAAAAAACAGCCATGTGCGTAAAAGTACCAACAAAGTTATAAGCATTTTATTATAAAAAATAAAATAATTATAAAAAATAAACAATACTTATATAAATATTGTTCATTTTAAAATAACGAGAAAAACAAAACATAACCCAAGTGCAACTATCGACAGAAAAATGCTTATAACTATGTTGGTACTTTTACGCACATGGCTGTTTTTTGCATAACTGGGTCCAATTATAACTAATTTGACGCGTTTTTCTTTTTAGGGCCTTTATAACCTTCTGATTAAGTGTTTTGATTATGCGTGCATGAATTTGATATCGTAATTTATACTTTCTAGCTTGTTGTCTGAGTTTATTTCTTTTGGGAGTGTCAAATATTGATTCTAGTTCGGAATCACTTATTTTATAAATATTTACGTTTAATAATATACCTAATATACTCGAAAACTAAAATACAATAATAAGATTTAAAAAATAAGTTGTAACGTGTACAAATATCACAACTTCCCTTACTTTTGGGAAAACGTAATATTCTAACCTGCAACATTGACACAACGGCATCTAGAATTCGTGTTCGGAGAATTATGTTAAATATTTTTGCGATTTTGTTTAAATTATACAGAAAATCAGTTACTTACTTGTGAAAAGTTATCCTAGAAGACTTTTTTTTGAAAACATGAATTGTTTTTGCAGCAGTTTATGACACAGGACGGCTTAATTTCGCAATTATTATTTTACCAAAAGCACGTCACGCACTCTCACTCACTCGCGGCCGACTACCGAGCGGCCGTCTTCATATTACTTGCCTCACTTTTTGTGCGCAATGCTCTGTCTATACTTTTTTATTGGTCTGAGACCTACTTATAATAAAATTCTAACTAAGTCGAAACTGTACATTAAATATTTTTTGGAAAATCTTATTGAAATAAACATTATTATCGATACAGAGGCTGAGTCTACAGTTTTAAGAATTTTTGTCTGTCTGTCTGTCTGTTACCACATCACAGAAAAAGCACTGGAGGGATTTTGATGAAATTTAGTATGGTGATAGCTGGTTATTCGTGTCAACATATAGGATACTTTTTACTGCGGGAAAATATCTCATCTCTGAGAATGTAAGAATATACTAATATGTAAAACCTAAGAATTTGGTTTTTGGTCATCTGAACGCGGGCGGAGCGGAGTGTAATGCTAGTAACTTACAAAAATAGCGTTTTAGGCCATTTTATATGTATGTAATATATTCAACTTAGTTTTATATATAGTGCTGGATTTAACATTAGCGCCGCCCTTTTGGGCATAGTAAAAAATGCCGCCCTATTATCGAAATTTTGCATAGCATGGATGAAGTTCTCATAAAGTTTTTTTTTTTTGAAAAATACAAAAAAGTAATGTAAAAAAAAATTTTCTTTTAAAAATGTACCTACTAGTTATTTTTTTTAAGTATTAATTTTTTAGAAAATAAAAAAAGCATTTTCGATAACGCGAGGAAAATTTTTTCCCCACGCTCCGGATTTAGCCGCTTCTAAAAATTTGCCGCCCTGGGCACTAGCCCCGAGTGCCCCTAGTGTAATTCCAGCGCTAATTGTATACATCTTAAAATTGTGTATACCTAGTATACGTCTTTCTAAATATAATTTTTAATTTCAGACCTGCCTATACTGTATGTTCGTAGCAGTAATGGCATTCTTCGCCAAAGTATCGGATCCAGCAGTGGGAGGAACATACATGACGTTGTTGAACACAGTGTCTAACCTTGGGACCAACTGGCCTAATACTTTGGCTCTATGGGCGATTGACCATCTAACCTTCAAGACCTGCAATGCTAAGGAATTGAATGATAACACGTGTTCCACGCAGTTAGAAACTGAGGTAAGTTATGAGTATCTACTGATCACAAAATCTAACATACGCACACACATACACATGCGCACGCACACAAACGCAAACACATATGTGCATAAACACACAGATATAACACACTAGCTCACTAGCTATAAGGCATTGGATGGCGCTAATAGTATATTTAAGTGAAACAATACACAATATTATCTATACAAAGCACTTGTAATAAGTCTAATTGAATAAAGTTTATTTTATTTCGTTTCATATATAAGAAAATTGTAATTGATCGCTGTCTGTACATGGAAGATATTTGAGATAAACTATTAATGGGGGTCTTTATTAACGCAACAGCACCTAAAACAATGATTTATAGATTTTTTGTCTGTTTGTATGTGCGTTTGTGCGCGCTAATCTCAGAAACAGCTTAACTTGGGTGCGGTTTTCACTAATGTATTGTGGTAAGCTTCACTTAACACTCAGTATTGGTTTTATTTCAATCGGTTCATAAATAAAAAAGTTATGTCAATTTAAAGAATCACAAAGGGACGAACCCGAGCGATGCAAGTGTGAGACGCATGTTAATATAATCTTACAATAAAATGTCTTATCTAATTTGATAGACATGAAAGATAAATATATGAGACTCGCACACTTTCGTATTTATAATAGTAGTAGTAGTCCAATCTATGCTTATATATAAAGAGACTTTGAGAGTTTGTTTGAACGCGCTAATCTCAGACTAATACGATTTGAAAAATTCTTTTTGCATTATACAGTTTGTTTATTGAGGAACGCTATAGGCTATATACCATCATGCAATTACCCAAGGGAACGAAGTAGTAATCATAAATGTCAACAAATCGGGCAGACTTCCATACCTTATTACTAATAGCATAAAGCCAAAGTGTTTTTAATTGTAGTTTTAGCGCGAGCGAAGCCGCGGGTTCTGCTAGTATAAATATAAATAAGATATTGCTGAAACTAAATCCAATTTCAATGAACATTCTAGATGTGCAAAAACAGTGGAGGCGCATGCGAAACTCGTATCGACGGTTTCTACATAGAAGTGGTCATCTGCCTCATTGCCGGCTTCCTCTGGCTGCAGTGGGGCAAGAGAACTATCAGCCGACTGCAACGCCTCCCCGCCACCGCCTGGCAGATCGGACGTAACAGATAAGACTGAATATGTAAATTGTTATATGTATTTTGTATATATAGTATATTATGTATGTATGTATGCATTGTATCATGTTTGTAGTTAATTTTTTGTATTGTGTATTATGTCGGTGTTTTTAGGTAAATCCATTTTTTATATGAATAGCTATTATATTATATGTTCGCACGTAAGTGGTGATTTTTTCATTTTCCCTAATCTATATAAAATTTTCAAATAAGCGTAATGATTTATTAGTGTAAAAATATTAAACTAAGAACTTATCGACTACAAACAAACAATCAAATTTTTTCTCTTTATAGTATTGGTACAGATAATTTTTAAACATTAATATATATGGAAGCTTACAATTTTTTAACTCTTTATAACATTGTCTCTGTTTTAGTGTAATAGTATCGCTTATACTGAATAAATGTGTTTTCGATTTTTTTTTATATAAATAAAAAAATGGATTTACCTCAATTAAGAAGCTGGCAATTGATGGTAATTAAAATAGGCACAAAATATCCGAGCAGAAATTTGTCGGCCGTCAATACCTAATTTTTATATAATATTCTTATGATTTAATTATTATCGACTGATATATAATTAGTATTTCGAATGTCGGCCCTTTTGAATATCTTTGATAATAACTAAGCTAAGTAATTTTCTCGTCGTTCAACTTTCAAATTATTGTGTTCATTGTGTTGGGTATTTTTATAATTTTCATATAAGTAAGTTTTCTAAATTATTTCTTAGTTTTAAAAAGGCAATTTTCATATGCACCTTGCGGTTAATTTCTAAGAAATTAATTGTTAACTGACCACCTGTGGCTCGGCGGTCGTTGACAGGTTAAAAAACAAAATAGACTAAACATAGGTAGTTACTAAAAGAAATTTGCTAGCTATGTTTGTTCTTGGAAGTGACATTTCAGAGTAGGGTTGCCAACTTTTTTGATTACTTCATTTTTATTTTGAGGATCCATTCGTATTATTTTTCCCACTCAGATTTATGTTTTTGTAATAATTTCTGTTTGATTATTTTAGCTTTTTTAGGAATGACTGGTGAATATATATACTATCAGAATTACTATGATTAAAAATGTAAAGTGGACTCGTTTTCCGCACTTAGACTCCCTTCTGGTACGTTGTGCGTGTACTATAATTATAAATTATGGTTGGCAACCCTATGCCAGAGTATCTCTTAAAATTAAAAAACGTAAAATTATATTATGTATAAAAATGTACAATAAATCATACTTTTATATATAATAGACTTCAAAGCTTTTTCTCTTTTCTTTATTTTGGCTTCGTCAACTATTGCTATACAACCTTCTCAGGCTAAAGAATTATATAGAAGTATGTGTTAGAGTAAATAATTTTAATTTAATAAATAAAAAAAATAGCTCACAGATTCCATTATAATGAAAAGAAAAAAAATAAGGTATTATATTCTATCCCTCTTTCTAGGCGAAGAGAAATAATGCTTAAAAAAATACAAAACAATACTGTATAATTTTTATTATTCCTATTTTGTTCTCAATAATTAATAATTATGTATCTATTAATTGAAATAATATAGAAAATGTCTCTTATTCTTTAAATAAAATAAACTATCTGTATGGAAAAATCAAGAATAGTAGCATAAACAGCAAAACATGCTACTTTTTTAACTTTGATATTTATTTTGGCAGACTCCGTCTATATAATTCTTTATTCTTCTTTGTAGATGACATAGAATTGTTAGGCAAATGAAACAAGTTGCCAATTTTTTCTTAATAGTTATTGTTATTATTTATGTATATTTATATCTGTGCAGTCTTCTGTGTATGTTGTGAATTTAAACATTATTTTTTAAATATGACATTTTGACTTGTCAAATTATGTGCAAAAAGACCTCATTGTAGCTACAATATGTAAAGGCAATGTCTATTATTAAATAACTTAGGCGAATGATAATGTGATATTTAATAAGTTTATTTATGTTATAGTTCTACTTTATCATTTAATGATTAATAGTATAATTTCTATATAAGACATGAGCAGTGGTGCCCGATGACTGCTTGAACGTTCAATGCTAAAGAAAAGTTGCTTTAAACAACTCCAATGGGTTGTTAGTTAAAATTTACTTTTACTTTTGAATTAATGATATTCAAATTTAGATGCAATAAATCTTTTTTCAATTCTTTATCTGCTTCAAAATATAATTTTGGACACCCGTGTGAAGATAGTGATCTTTTTACTTGAAAAGTACAAATATCGAGTTAATCTACGATAGTATTATTTGTGTTGTTATTATTTTATTAATGAATACAGGGAATTGAAAGGTTTTATTCTCTATAATTTCTTTATATACACATCAACATTTCTTAAAATATACAGTTTACATAATATAAGTATAACAGTAAATTTGACCACATATTTATGCGATGATTCAAAGTCAATTTTAAATTCATGATTACATTCCTATGAAGATGTAAATGCTCAATAATTGTTTAATATATGTACATAAAGTATAAAAAAAGTTAGTAATAAAAATAACGTGTATTGCTAAAATATAGAAATAAAGTGGCAATTTGGAAGAGCTATTATTAAATGCCGTTTTTTTCCTTCAAATAAAATGTCTGAAAATCAGATAATTTGTGCACAGTAAATGTAACAATTATTAAATATGTATATATAATAATAACAGAGACGCTAAAGCTATGTGATGTCAATTTGATTGAAGTGTAGGTACATTTTTTTTTAATTTGTGTATATTTCTGAATCATACTAATTGACACTAGAACATATTTGAAAGCATAATTTGCCATAAATAAATTAGCAATTAATGAAATCGGATTTTTCTTTATAAATTATATAAATCTTTTTATATGTACAATATATTATTTTAACATTCATTCATTAAGTCCAAGCTATAATTTATTTCATATTTAATGCAATTAATTTGGCAACATTTTATTGGTTTGGTATTGAATGCGACGACTGGTATTTGTGCATAAGTTTTTAATTCGTAACTTTAACATATTCGAACACAAAACCATATTTCGCTTACTATGTTCATGTAAAAAGGCTAAATCCATATATCAAATACATATTATTTATTTTAAATTTAATTTAATAATTCCTTTAATTTAAATACCTGTAATAAATAATATTATAGTAAGTAAACTATTTATAACCCCTAGCAAGAAAATTATTAATATCGCGTTTTCACAAAAAAGTACAGTAGAAGGATTTAATGCCTAAAATATTATTTACCAGTCATAAGAAATATTGGTCAGCGGTTTGAAGTTAGGTTATGATTGAAAATCAACACTAATCAGTGAACTTGAACTATACCTAGTACCTATTTGCAATTTGCATTCTTAACTTCAAATATAAATAATAATTTGTTAAGATTAGTCAACTACTTTCACAAATGTTATTACTATTTTAGTATCAATTTGATTATAATTGCTCGTACCAAGTTATTTATGTAAAAATGACAACAATGATTTTTATCTTGAAAGGTTACGTCGGTGCTTAAAATCACGGTTCCCGTCTCGCGAGCTCGTCGTCACATATGATGGGTTTACGATCGTCACTCTTACTGCCTCGTCCCAAGCGACCGACGCGGCGGGCCAAAGAACTAGTTTTGTCCACGGCCCCCCAATTGTGAGCAGTCCCGCTACCCGACCGCGAGAGCAATCCAGTTACCCCTTCGCCCAGTTTGCTGTGATGTATTCCATATAGGAAATATAGAAGCAATCCTGGAATCATTAAAATTTTCTTAAAAGATCACAGTAATGTTATATAATACATGATGAAGTTTGTGTGTAGATAACTTCTTCAAATTGTAACAGCACGATGGATTTAAGTGAAAATCTCAGAAATAGCTCATATTATGAATTAGCAGAACCTGCGGTTATGTACTGCGTGTTCTGTGTGTCAACTAGTAAGTAAATAAAGTTTATACTTTATGTTAATATTGAGCAAGGCAAAACACGTTCCCTGTATATTTAACAATAAAAAGTAGGTATTACGTATAAATTAAACTTTATTGCATTTAGCTTCAAATTGGACAATTGTTAACGTCCTTAAACATTACTTTAGAAAAAAATAATTTCTAATTCAATCAAATCTGACTAATATTTGATTTTTTTTTAAATATGGTAAACGACTATTTACATCAACGGCGTAATTTGGGAGGACGCTGAGTGCAGACTTGGAGTTATCCGATTTTGGATGACCCGTCCTGTGTGTTTACAATAAACAAGAAAACCCGCCACTGAAAATATCGGTTTGATAAAGGAGGAGATGACTTTCTTTTTAGAGGTGCTACCCTTGCTAACCATCCGGGTGTCAACCTTTCTACCAACGCCACTGAATGACGTTAAATATTATGTTCAATGCCACGCGCAATGTGTTCGCGACCATCATACATATAAATAGTTGGTGTCTGTGATCTCGGTCGCGAACTTAGCCCCTAACGAGCAACTGTTTATTTCATCAACTAAAATGCTAAAATAACTAAGTGCAGTTTTATTTTTATAATTAAGTATATTTGTAAGTTTCTTAAAGAAAAAGTAATAAAAAAAAGTAACTTGTACTGACTTTGACTTAATAATAATAATAATCCATACATATAATAAATAAAATTGTAACTAAGTCGAATCTGTACATTAAATATTTTTTGGAAAATCTAATTAAAATAGACATTATTATCGATACAGAGTCCGTATCTTTAGTTTTTAGAATTTTTGTCTGTCTGTCTGTTACCGCATCACGGTAAAAACACTGGAGGGATTTTGATGAAATTTGATATGCTGGTAGCTGGTTATCCGGGTCAACATATAGGATACTTTTTACTGCGGGAAAATCTCTCGTTTTTGAGAAAAAATACAAAAACTGCAATGTAAGAGTATACTAATATATAAAACTCAAGAATTTGGTTTTTGGTCATCTGAACGCGGGCGGAGCCGCGGGCAATGCTAGTTAATGAATAAACAATAATACACACTTAATAATTAAGTTAATGAATAAACCTTAACACATTATTTAAAAAAAATGAAAATATTTACCTAATGTGAGGGCTATAAGCTTTAAAACAAGAACATGCGTGGTCAATTATAATGCGTATTCTAAAATTATTATTTTTTATTTTCTTTTACAAATTTTGATTTAACATTAAAAAACATCGCGAAATATTTAGGACTATAACTTACCAAATGTCATCCAAATCGCAAAACGTGCCCAAGTAAGGGCATTTAGGTTAACCATAAGCTCGACGTTAAGCATTACACTGGCCGCGGGTAGCAAAGGAACCCAAGGTACTCGGAACGGTAACCGCAGAGGACTTTGTTGATGTGCCCAAATCACTACTAAACCTGAAACGAGTTATACCTATTAGATTAATTTTCATTACAATCATTTTGAAATTTAAACTATAATATATAACTCTTAAATAATAATAAATACGGATTATTTTGATTAAAACTATATTATATGTACCACTAACGACTTACCCTCGCTTCGCTCGGGTGCATCTCTGGGTACGTTTTCATTTTTTTGAAGCTATTCTTGTTCTAAAATAAAAGTGGCCTAAGTTACCTACTCCTTATAACATCAGCTATCTGCCTGTGAAAGTCCCGTCAAAATCAGTCCAGCCGTTTTGGAGATTAGCCAGAACAAACAGACGGAAAGACAAAAATTCTATAAATTGTTTTTTTTTCTATGTTAATTAATTTGTTTGTTCTATGTTAATTAAGTTAATTTTTATGTACAGTACTTATACCGTACATAATTTCATATGCATTTAGTAAAAAGCTGTTATTTTGACATTACAAACAGACACTTCAATTTTAGTTATCTGTATAGATGCTTAGAAGTTTATTTATTTGTATTGAACAATAAACTTAGACACATAATAGTGGGCTTAAACAACTTCTTTTGTTAGATCTCATTTTAGGTTGATATCTTTTTGTTAAATCTTAAATAGACATTGAATAGACAACACGTTATTTATATCAGTAACAACAACAAAAGAGTGATGACTACAGCTGGGAATGGCATTGAACAAAAATAAACTAATATTTCAAACGTATCTGTATACATTGTTACAATTAATGTTAATGATTTCAAAACGATTGAATAAAAAGAAATCATAAAGAAAAATATTTAATATAAGTACTAGCGACATACCCACGCTTCACTCGAGTGCGTTTCTCAGTCCCTAACAGTAGCCTATGTGTTACTCTAGGTCATAGTTTATCTATATACCTACTAAATTTCTACCAAATAGATCCAGCTGTTTCAGCGTGAAGGAGTAACAAATATATAGACATATAAAAATTCGCATTAATAGTAGACTAGCGGCTCACCCTCGCTTCGCTCGGGTTCATCCCTAGGTCCATTTTAATTTTTTAGAGCGGAACCCTAATTCTTTTGCTGAAATAAAAGTAGCCTAAGTTACTCGTTAGCCGTTTCGGAGATTAGCCGGAACAAACGGACAGACAGACAGACAAAAATTGTAACAATTGTGTTTTTCTTATAAATACCGTATACAATTTCATAAGCATTTAGTAAAAAGCTGTTATTTTAACATTACAAACAGACACTTCAATTTTATTTACCTATCTGTATAGATTTATTATTTATAGTATTCGTCGGTTAAGCCACTTAGATATACCTAAATATGAACTTACATGCAATAATTATGAAACTCAGCACGAAATCTGGTAACAAAGCCCAAAGGCCGGCTGGTTCAGCCAGGAAGTGGTTATGGGCGCAAAGTGCGGCGGCGGCCGCAGTAAATATGTACACGCAACTCGTGACGGCGCTGCCCGGGGCGCGCCCGCCCGCCAGCGGCTCCAGCCACGCGTACTGCGCTCGTAGCCTTCCCACTGTTAACGCTTCAAACATCTGCAGATCATTGATAATAATGCCTAGTTAGTTATAGTTATTTCCTTCATTATAAAAATTCCTACCTAAACTATTCTAATTTATAACAATGTAGGGAAAATGTTTTTAAATGGCTATATTATATTAAGGTATGATTCCCATTACGAAACACGTAGGATACAATACTCAAGTCGTATACTAACGGAATACTTGTTGGCGACTCGACGTTCTCACATTACGCTACTAAAAAATAACAAAATGCATCATTTGTTTTGTGCTTTTTTAATGTCATTATTTTTTTTTATGACATTAAAAAGTAACCTCGCACTGCTTTACACGGGTATCCTTCACATTGAGGAATACTCATAGTATTTTGTTTGATTCAGGCCACAGCCCAAGATGCTGACCAAATATGAGTAGCTGAGCTTCAAATGCCTTTCGAGAACTAGTTAGGTTCTCTCTGACATGTGGATTTTCACAAAAAAAATCGTTCACTATAAAGTTAGTAGTCATGTTGGACAATATGATTCGCACATGTAAATATCAAAGGTGTGAGACCCGGTATAAAACCCGCTGCACTTGGTTTTCTAAGTAAGCACGTTACCTAGTGGTAGCCAAGTCCTTCCACTAAAATGCATACTAAGTGTATAAAATGGATATTTATAATCTGATATATTTATGTAAAAAATATAAATACCTCCGAGGATGATGATCCTCCATCCGTTCCTGGAGTACCAGTAGCCGAACTGTCTTCTCTATCCATTGGTGAATCCAAGTGTGGGGACCCAAAACCTTTATCTTCTGAAGGTGGAGCGGGGCGATATCGTAAGATAATAACAGCAGCACTAACAATCGTATAAGCCAATAAGGTACCAATCGACATAAATTCTACCAACTTTTCCAAATCAAATAAAAGTGCTATTAAAGCAGAAGATAATCCAGATATTATGAGGTTCGTTATAGGAATTTGTGATTTGTTGTTGATATCACTTAAGAAGCCAAACAGCAAACCATCAGCTGACATAGCATATAAACAACGAGGCAGAGAAAACAAAGATCCTAACAACGTCGTAGTCATTCCACAAACTGCGCCAACTGCTACTGCATATTTGGCCCAATCTGCGTGAACTGCACCTAATGCTTCTGGTAGAGCGGCTTCTGGCTTAATACTTGTGTAGGGCACCATTAAAGTCAATGCAATTGCGACAAGAATATAACCAAAAGCTACCATAGCCATCGATAAGATAGTAGCGATCGGAATAGACCGTGAAGGATCTTTGGCTTCTTCACTAGAGGCTGAGATACTGTCAAATCCGACGAAAGCATAGAAACAAGTAGCTGCACCAGCTAAAACTCCACTAAATCCAAATGGCATGAAACCCCCATTCTTCTCAGACCAGTTACTTATGTCGGCATAATAAAATCCAAGGAATATTACTAAAGAAATTACTGCTAGGTTAAGAATTGTTAAAGCATTGTTAATATATGCTGAAGTTTTGACCCCCACTGCCAAAATTAAAGATGCAGCAATACAAATTAGAAATGCCAGAACATCAGGATATGTACTGAGAAGTGTTACATTTAATTCGCCTGTAACAGATTTTGTTGCGTTGCTGATTGTGCCTTCGAGCATCGCATCTAAATATCCTGACCACGCTCTGGCAACCGAAGCGGCACCTAAAACATTATACAAATTAATGGCATAATTTAGTAACTGGACTTAAAACAAATATATTTAAAATAGAACATTTCTAATCTATACATATAATAAAATTGTAACTAAGCCGAATCTTTACATTCATTACATCATTTACATTAGATATTTTTGGAAAATCTTATTGCAATAGACATTATTATCGATACAGAGTCCGAATCTATAGTTTTTAGAATTTTTGTCTGTCTGTCTGTCTGTCTGTTACCGCTCCACGAGAAGACCACTGGACAGATTTTGATGAAATTTAGTATGATGATAGCTGGTTCTCCGGGTCAACATATAGGATACTTTTTACCGCGGGAAAATGTCTCATTTCTGAGAAAACAATACAAAAACTGGATTGTAAGAGTATACTAATATGTAAAACCTAAGAATTTGGTTTTTGGTTATGTGAACGCGGGCGGAGCCGCGGGCAATGCTAGTAAGTATATAATAAGAAAGTGCCTATACATTTTTTAGGATATTAAATAATTGTAAGTCATGATTGTATCAATAAAATATAAACACATCGATATGTCAAATATTTTAAGTATTTACAAAATGATTTACCTACCTATCATATATTCGAGTACAATATTCCATCCAATAATAAAGGCCCAAAATTCTCCAATGCTAACATATGTGTAGGCGTATGCACTACCAGCCCTTGGTATTCTAGTACCAAATTCAGCATAACATAGAGCAGCTAGTGTTGAAGTGATACCGGCTAGAAGAAAACTTAAAGCGGTTGCGGGGCCCGCCATACTGTGGGCCACAGTCCCCGTCAAAACATAAATACCCGCTCCAACCATATGCCCGACACCTAAAAATCATTTTTTGCTTATAGAAGAAGTAAATGTAGTGTTGGGCAAAAAATATTTTAGGTATGTATCTAATCTCTCTAGTATCTACACCTTAGTAGTATGTTGGTACTTGGTAGACTTAATATTGAAATGTAACAAAAACACTTTTACTTATAAATAAAATAATATTATATTATTTAAATTTTTGCATTTTTTTTCTCGAAAGGTCAATATTATCTCTATTTATAATACGAAAAAAGTTGAAAGGTCTGAAAATGTTCCGAAATTATTAAAGGTTTAAAAAAATATAGTCCGAAATTCAAACGTGTTTTTTTTTTAATTACAAATGAAAAGAAAAAGAAAAAGAGTCTTGCTCACGATGCTCTTTTCCCAAATATTATAAACTGTCGTACATCGACTTACCAAGTAATGTTATATCAAAAGTCGTTAGGCAGCGGTTAAGTGGAGTATCCAAAGAATCTCCATATAAAGGCTTGCGTCGATTCATTTTGTGACAAAATCCTGAGAGGACATGTCCTAAGATTTTATGCCTGGCACCCGGCATGATTCCTATAATAGAAAATACAAATTATTTTTTTATTTCTATTACATCTATTACATAAAAAGTCATAGATCTGTAGCAAATTTAAATATTTGCTAGTAGATTTTCTCATGAATGAAAATTCAGTTACACTTTAATGGATAGGTATATTTATTTTATACTATTGTTGTAAACATTAAAACATAGATTTTTAAAATGGATATCTATTTACTTTCAAAAATTTTAAAGATGTGCACAATTTACCTCTTTATTATCTGACCAGCTGACGATGTTTGCGATGTCCCAGTGATAACCGCGATGAAAAAAGTCAGCGCGCGCATCTAATCGATTTCTAGGGGATGCGCGAATATTTATGTTATGTGGGTAATGCATATTGAAAATACTTCAGGGACTTTAAAGCCGTTTTGTTTAATTCCAGTGTTGTTCTTTTAAATAATATAAATGTAGCATGAGTAACTAAGCTGCAAGGTTAAATGCTTAATTAAGCATTTTAAGTAAAATTTTGTTTTCTACTATTATTATATAGCAAGACAAAAGGATTTTTTTTGCCTCTTGTCTTACTATATAAAAAGTACTTTGTGAAATTATAGGATTAAACTAACAAATTTAAATATAAATTCCACTAGATTTTTTTCCATTGTATTACAATTACTTTTCAGAAGTTATTTTATCATTTCTTTAGATTCAAACAATTTTAATATAACGGATGTGTAACACATTGCCATGCAGCCTACTAGACGTGTTGTATCTACAAATTACAATCTACATCTCAATAGAAAGACTTTGAGTGTGGTAGCTGCTTTTCTTTCATAAATTGGTTGACTTTTTAATTTTTATTTAAAGCTCCACATTAAGTGTCTAAATGGCTTTAGAATAATGATAAACAAACGAGTGTGTTTATTTATAACTAATGACTTACCTTCGGTAGACCTAACAATTACCGTCAAGTAACTCAACGGTCATTATTTCTGATTTCATTTAAAATTATTGTGATTTCTGACAGTAAACACATTTTTCTGGAAATATAAACATTAGGAATACTCGGCGGTAATATAGTTTCCTATTAGTATAACAATATTCAGAATCGAACCTGTAATTTCAGAGATTACCAACATATAATTTTACACACTTACCTCTCCATATTAGTGTAGTCTTGTAGATTAATGATTCTAGACCTATAAATAAATTTAAGTATTTGTTCGTGACTTTTAAAACACTCTGCCATATATTTAACTTGTTTGGCTATTAAAATTCATATTCAAGCCAAAACATAAATTATATTTTGTCCGATTAATTATCTGTCCATTTGTACCAGTATATGGCTAGAACGACAATCAATTTTACTAGCAGTTAAATTTTTTTTATCGTTGTAACACAGGAGCGGGTTCGTCGTTGAAAACTTATAATAAAATATGTATGTAAAAAAAATCATTTTTTTTATACCTACAAATATTGGTAAATATTTTGGCCTACGTGTACGATCTATCACAACGTTACAAGTAATAATGAATGGTGTACACTATTATAGTTCGCATATTTATCTACCCACGCAACGTAGAACACCTCGTCATTTACCTATTTTATTATTAGTGTACTGACCTATAAGAAAGTTATAGATGCATTCCATACCATTATTTTTTATTAACATAAAATTTAAGTCCATCTAAAAAAGCGATGTGAATATTCACATAGAAATATTATTTTATTTCATAGAAATATTATAAATGCGAAAGTTTGGATGGATGGCTGTTTGTTTGTCAATCACGGGGACGGTGAACGAATCTGGATGAAATTTTGCACAGAGATAAATTATAGTCTGGAATAACACATAGGTTACTTTTATACCGAAAAATGTACGGTTTCCGTGGGATATTCACTTTAACAGTTAGAACGTTCGTAGGGAAGAACCCTTGCGACGCGAGGGTGACTCGCGTGTATATTTATATGAGAATAGATCGATACATTACAGGATCATCCATATAATTTAAAAAAAAAACCTTTTAAAAAGTCTAACAAAAACTAATCTAAAAATAATGGTAATGATTTTTTTTTATTATCCTGTAGAATTCGTGCGCCACAAACAAAAATTCATCCTGTATATAATATTTTATCTATTGAAATAGGGTCATTAGACAGCATGTAGGTACCTATCACATATGTAATAGAGTTTGCCATCGTTGTTTATTCATGTATAATTGCTCGCTTCTAAGGGTCGTAGCGTGATGTTAGATAGCTTTCTAATCGATCTCGATGAAGGTTATAGAATACAAAAAGAATTTTTCAAATTCGACTGACAATTCTAGATATTAGGGCGTTCCTCGCGTAGTTTATCTTTAAACGATCATACCGTGATGCTACGTAGCCTATCCCCTTCAGTAAGCTATGAAATGCAAATAAAATTTCTGATATCGGACTACGAATTCCAGAGATTAGCAACGTTCAAACAAATAAACAAAAAAATCTCTTTAGGTTTCATATTAATTTATAATAATAAAAAAAATATAAAACGGATACTCAGGGCGGTTTTGATGTCCCAATTTACAAAGGTTAGGTATGTACCCATATTTTGCTGATTTGTGCAAATTCTGTGAGAGCCGAATAACCTATTGTAGGTAGATACAATGTATACTTAATTAGCAAATTTATACCTTTTTACAGATTAGTTTTTAAAAAGTTCTAAAATAGAGCAAAATAATAAGATAACAGTCAGTATCTTAGTTGAATCAATGTAAGACATGTTTAAAAAAAACTACCTAACTTTGGATAGCGAGCGAATCTGTACGTATCTATCGACGTACGTTAATCTATACTAATATTATAAAGAGGTACTTAGTTTGTGAATTGTGAGTTTGTGGCAATGTAGGGGGTAATCTCTGGATCTACTAAACCAATTTAGATGAAATTTGGTAAGAAGATAGTTTGAAACCTTGGAAAGGACATAGGATACTTTTTATCCCAGAAATCATCCCTTAAGGGGATGAAAATGGCGATGAAAGTTTGTCAATACAACTTCTCTTACTTACTTCTCTTCTCTTACTTCCCAATGAAGCAAGCTATTAAAGTATTTTATTAAAGTTAATTAATTAGTCTTATGTCTCATCTATTCTATACTAATATTATAAGAGGCAGAGTTTGTTTGTTTGAACCGTTAAAAGGCACCGCTAATCCAGGATAAAATAACGAAACCGAAAATTATTTCAAACAATTTTATTCACTTTCTACTTTGCTAGTCTCGGTGTTATTGTAGTAATACAAACATAAATATAAACAATACAAATTACAGTTTACATACATATTTTAAACATAATAAGCAATAGAAAGATTGTAATAAAATTATGATCTTTGAGCTAATTTCATTATGAAAAGTGATTATATACATAATACTCGAAGCAAGATGACAACAAAACGTTCTTTTTCAATCTACAAAAATACTGACCCGTATAAAATTAAAAACAAATAAATTCCTAGTGCTTTATTACTTTATGCATTACAGCTAGTAATAGGTAAAGGTATCTATCTATACCTAGCTAAGGATGATACAACTGTGATGTTTCTAAACTTCTAATAAACCATTCATATTTGGCATATAACCAAAACATATTATATTTCTTTCTTTCTAGTATATATACACATATTTTATATACATATTATGTACTTGCTATAGGTACTAAATGCCAATAATTAGGTTTGTAGACGATTAATTATGGCAACTACAAAGTTGATAATACAAAATCATGACTTTACTGACAAATGAAACCTAAAAACGATATTTACTTTAGCATTAAGTATAAATTCTAATTTCTTCTTTAATATAAACAATTTGTTAGAAAATTCGAATGTAGAACATATTTGCGCAATAAATATAATAAGTATTCAAATGTTTAGTTACTATCTATCTATGGATGAAACTCTAACGGTTTTTACTTTTTACACAAAGACAGAAATTTTAGCATAGGTAGGTACTGTTTACACTTTCGCGAAATGAAATGTAGATATCATGTCATTACGCGCAACAAAATTTGGCATCCTTAACAATTGAGGTAGAAAATAATGCGACAAAGTTTTAGCGATTCTTTTCTTAAGGTACAAGATCGTTATTGCTATATATTATTAAATCAAAAATGGCAACATTTGACTAAAGAACGCCGCATGAAAATTAACGAAATAAGAGCTTGGCATTTTATTCTTAATATATATAGGTTTATCTGCTGCTATATATTTATCATTTGTTATGACTTATTCCGCCTAGCCTAATTTGCACTATAACCTTAAAAGTATAATTTAATATTTTGTATATTACCTCATAAAATAAATCAATTAATTTTAAGTATAAAAGAAAAATTGCTGACAGCTTGTAAAATATTGTAAGATACAAATAATATAATGAAAATATATGCCGTTCACTATCGAAGTTTCTTTGTTTGTGAAATTAAAAAGTCAGATTATTAACAGATTTATACGCTACTATTATTATTTTGAAACGTAATCGTTGTTTTCATTGAACGATAAAAAATTAAATAAATAAGTTTACAAACATGATTCTTGATATATATTGTTTACTATTACAGGCTAAATCAAGTTTTCTAAAACAAGGTACCTTATTTGCCTACAAAGTATTAGCTGCCCTTTTAGGGTCCATTAGATCTCTAAACAAATAGCATCTATGTCATCAAATGTATGTTAATATGTTTAACCCTGTACTCTGTATGCATATAAGAAACCAATGTCAGTAACATCGGTAAATAATTGAATACGAATAAAATAAACTATGTACCAGCGTAAATGTACTCGAGTCACTCCGTAACTAGACAGAAAAGTTTATTTTATAGAAGGAAGTACTTAACTTTTAGAAAAGTTACCCAAAATATAACAAATGGGCGGATAGAATGGACGAAATTCATAAAAGGTAATATAGATAGATCATAGATGTACAGATAATTAATTTACATTAAATAAATCTAAGCACGGGAACATGAAGAGCTGTAATTAATTGCAAATAGGCAGTTCAATAACATAGTCAGTTTTCAGCTAAATGATATGTCTTAGGTTTCAGTCTTTAGAAAATGTTGGGCTTAAACATTGATAAATTATATGAAGATTTAAGATATTATTGCTTATTGATCGAGACACAATACCATTTTATAGGTACATATCTAATGCACACATTTTTTAGAACTGAATGAACACGCAAGCAACGTACTTTATAAACATTTAATTTAGGTAGCCATTATTTTATTTGTGCGATTATTCTTTGTACAATAAGCTATGCTGTAAACAATTTGTTCTATTCGATATTACACAAGTATTGCGCGATGAACTTGGATATGTATTTAATCCTACTCGATTGGACTTTGACTGACCACTGAACAATATATGAACAGACTTTGATGCAACTCTACCGTTCCAACAGAAATATTGATCAAACAAATATGTATGTACCCTACGCATACATATATGTACCATAAATTACAACTTAAAATAATTTACCCGATGATACCATTATCATTGACACATCAAACTTATTTTCAAAGAAATCAAATAACTTAAAAATATAAAAATGTACGTTACGTGTTATGATAACATCGACCAGATTGTTTTTTTTTTAAATAATACATAATATGACTATAGTATATAATAGTATATGCATGAATTAATAGAGGTCCAGGGTTACTTTTGCAACCTATTTCTTTCCAGTATCTACTTTATGTAGGTCAAGCGGAAATATATGGAATAGGTCACGGTGCAACTTTATGAACAATATATTGACATGCTCATAATGAAAATCCAAACTAAATGTTTTGGAATCATTCGTAATCATAAATTTTATGAATTTAATTATTTAAAAACACATTCGTTTATATATATTATAAATATTTAATTTACGACTATTCGTCTTATTGAATAGCGACAAATGTAATATGTCGACAGAATATTTGTCCTTTTCAACATGAAATCAATCACTATTGACTGATTTAACATTGTTGAGAATTCCAGAAACAAAATGATTTTTTTTATTTAAGATGAAACTAAACCTAAAGTTTTAGATATCGCTTATAAAAATGCTAAAAACTAAATTCTTTCGATTATTAATTGAAGTTAAAAAGAAAATCGCACGAATGTAATTAATATTATATTTTAAATATCGTGTATATTAACTTTTCATTAATAAATTAATTAAAATTAAAAATACTTTAAAAAACAGTATTAGTGACATTACTAAAATAATACTTATAGTCAAAGTTTAAAAAAATATTATTTTACTACTATTATTATGGTTTATCCTGTGATTTAAAACAATATACAGATGAAATAAGTACCTCTGGATTCTGACCCTCATTTAGCCGTTTTAACTTAATAAAGACTTTAGCACTATTCACTATAATTTTTTAACCTAATTTTACATATCTAGTTAAGTAGAAAATAGTGACTCTCAAGTAGGCAACGTAAAATTAAAACAATAGAAAAAAATACTAATAAATATAGAATACAAAAAATATTTGAGTAGGAACTCAGATCAAAAAATACAGGTAGAGATTATTATAAATTACTCATCTAAGCACTAGTGTGAGCACTTAATGACCATAAATATATTTATAAAAATAGAGAGCTGCCGTAAAAAAAATGAGTGCGTGTAACCTTTACGCGCGGTTGAAGTAAAACTTCTTTGGCGCTGTGGCAAATGCCGCAATTAAATTAAAACAAATCAAAATATAAATATCTATTACTAATAATTTATATAATTTTTATATAAATTATTAGTAATAGATATTCATTTTTATAAGTAATAATTATCAAAAAATTATTAATCTATACATATACTTAATAAAATTGCAACTAAGTCGAATCTGTACATTAAATATTTTTTGGAAAATCTTATTGAAATAAACATTATTATCGATAGAGGCCGAATCTATCGTTTTTAGAATTTTTTGTCTGTCTGTCCGTCTTTCTGTTACCGCATGACAGAAAGACCACTGCAGGGATTTTGACGAAATTTGGTATGATGATAGCTGGTTATCCGGGTCAACATATAGGATACTTTTTACCGCGGAAAAATGTCTAATTTTTGAGAAAAAATACAAAAACTGCAATGTAAGAGTATACTAATATGTAAAACCAAAAAAAAATCATTTTTGGTCATCTAAACGCGGGCGTAGCCGCGGGCAATACTAGTAATTATTATAAAAATATGATTTTTTTTTATAATAATAAATTTGACTTTCACTTCCGCGACACTCATTTTTCCTATATATTGACTTACCCTCAGTCACGTCTAAAGAAGCTTTACTTCAATGATGATTAAAAAAATATTTAAGCACTGAACTTATTACATTATTATGTAATATATTATGTATTATATATGTATTGTCTGACCGCGAACGCTGTGTCGCGCCATACGTGGCGATAGAAGAACAGGAAGAAGGTAAACGAATTGGTATGAGATCGACTCCACAAAATAATTTAATACCTATTTATTATTTCTACTAACAATAAGATTCCTTGTTACCAAAATTTTAGTCCATATTATAAATGGCAGTTTTAATATTATATTCATAATATCAATTTAAGTAGATATTATACGTCTTGTGCGTATGATGTATACAACAGACCATTAAAAATAATGCTTGTTGCTACTACAAAACCTACAATAAAGTATGAGGGTAGAGTAATTTTTAAGGACTATCTCATAATATTATGGCTATTTCACTCAAGAATGTCCAATAAAAAGAATTAAATAAGGTTTCAGTGAATGGCCAGAATTATCTCTTAGTCTTTATTTAATGCTAATAAAGGACACGTTTTATAGTCCTCCTCACATCTATCCTCTAAACTCTACAGAGCAGACATAGAGAGCGGACAAGCGGGCCGCGTCTCGCCCCGAAACTACCTAGAGCCCTAGACTTAAGGCGTGGTACAACGCTCGCCGTCACACAATAACCGTCATGTGAAACAAAATTATAAAAAATATATTTTTATAGTTAATGATAAATAATATCTTAAGAGTGAATTTTGAATTTACATTTGCCAGAATGTCTATAATATATTTGTTACACAATTATAGACTAATGATCACACAAGATTACTCTTGATTATTTTAACAAAGTTATTTCAAGTAGAAGATAAAAAATATTTCTGGACACTTCATTAAGATACAGATAATTTTCAATATTTAATAACAATATCTATATGAAACAACATAGTTGTTACAAATGTACTTTACAGTACTTATGCAATTATTATTACATTTTATATTATTTTAACATTCCTCATTCAAACATAAACATGATCCATTTTAGCACCTTATAATTATCTTAAACTTCAACATTATATCACATTTAAATTGCACATCCAGAAAAATTGCCAACATGACAAGTAATATAGATTTAAGTCAGATTGTATGTCCATAGAAAAGTTCATAAAATTAAATTTTTCACAAAAACTCATGTTTTATTCACTATCCTCCAGTACCATTAAAATATTGAGCATGCTTTGTGTATGGAGCTGCGATGTGATAAGGTGGAGGTTGACCTCGTACATACACTGTCTCAGATAAACCACTTGGGCTATGCCTATGACTTATTACACTTGGAGAATTAGATGAAGCTGGTATGGGATCATATAAATCATACATATTTTGAGTAGTGAGAGGTTGTATGTGTGTGAAACTACCATCATCTGATATGAGAGGAGTATTTGTCATGCGATAAGGATTGGTTGCATTAGTGTGGCCTGTAGGCGAGTACAACTCTGGAGATTGTGAAGGAACATATGTGGGGCTTGATGCTGATATGTCATACATATTGCAATTTGGGGATGATGTCTGATGTATTGGTGGTGTGTAATGATTAGTGTCAATGTTAGAAGCAGAGTACATTTTATTATAATTACATAAATTTGGCATAGTTGTAGAACTAACCATTTGGCTTACTGTGTGCACTCTTGGACTTGGTAAGTCTCTTCGTTCATGGGGGTGATAATTAAAAACATCAAATTTTCTCGGTGGATACATTTTTTCAGGACCACAAGAGTAAGTTTCATTGCCATATGAATTTCCATGAAAGCTTCCTTCGGCATGACAAACCGTTTCCTTTCTCGGATATGGTTGTTCATATGAAGGTAAGTTCTCTGTTCTACACCTTGTACTATAAGAACTTTCATGAAATTGTGTTGGCAATATAGTTTCATCATTACAATGCCTTTCTTGAGTATTTATGCTTAATCTTTGCAACTGTTCACAAGTGCCATCAGAACAATTACGAAAACCATGCTCACTTGGAGTAGTATAGTTTTTATTTTCCATTGGACGGCCTCTAAAGTTATTTGTTATCACTGAAGAACTAGATCGTAAAACATCTTGTCTTGGTGAATATCTTTCACTCTGTTTCACTGTGTAATGTGCTGGTACTAGCCCACATGAATCCAAATTATCAGCTTTATAAGTATTTGTTTCTGAATTGTTGTCAACATAGAGAGCATGATCAACACTTTTATATGTCTTGTCTTGTTCATAAGTAAGATCTAAGGGTTTGTCATATGCATTTTCTACAGGCAAATTATCGTAAGTTGACACCTTCATTGGATCTGGTTGACCTCCATCTGGATGATCATCTCCAATATTAGATTCTATTTTATTGTCAGATGCAAATCTTTGTTGCAATGTTGGTGTTATTTTAGCTGCTTTAATATGAAGGGCATTATGCATGGGTGGTGAAACATCTTGTGTACCATCCTTATGAATTGTTCTAGCATGTTTAGCCATTGCCCTTAGTTCTTTTGGATAAGGTGTGGGTGCTCGACGTAATTGACCTGGTTTTTCAGTTGTTTTGATAACTGGTTTCATATCCACAAAACTGATATGACGTGGTGCACTTTGTGCATCTATATTTTCATCTTTTACATTATCTGACTTAACTTCAATGGGAGTTAAAGGCACTTGGGGAAAGAGAAAACAAGTTAAAACTTGTTCGTAAGTATTAGGATCTACTTCAGAATGCATAGGCACTAAAGGTTTGCTTTGATTTTCAGAGAGCCAGAGGGCTACTAAATTATCACAATTTAATAAAGATTGGGGAAGACAGGTTAAAGAATTTCGTACCAAATTTAAAACTTTTAAATAAGTTAAATGACCAATTTCTGGTGGTATGTTTGTCAATTTATTTGAACGAAGTGATAAAACAGATAATTTTGTGCAACTACCCAATTCTGGTGGTACTGCTCTTAGCATATTTTCATCTACATTTAAATATTTTAATTTTCTTAATAATCCAATGGATGATGGCAACATATCAATGTAATTACACATTAACATTAGTTCTTCTAAGTTTTTTAATTGACCTATACTTTCTGGTAAAGAATATAGCCTGTTGTTGTCTAATTTCAATGCCGTCAAATTACTTAATTGTCCAATGCTGTCAGGAAGTTGAGTCAAACTGTTTATTGACAATGTAAGGTCTTCGAGTCTTGTACAATATCCAATTTCTGGGGCTAACTCTTCTATCGTATTGTTGCTCGCTTCTAAATGTATTAAATGTTCCAAAGGTTTTATTACTGCAGGAATGCTTGTGAAACTATTACTGTCAATCCACAATTCTTTTAATTTTAAAAATCTTCCAATAACTTCAGGAAACTGTTGGAACTCATTTTGTCCAATATCTAATCTTAAAAGTTCTGTGGAACGTGAGAGTGACTTAGGCAGAATCATAAGATAGTTGTCTCGTAATTCAAGTATACGAAGATTTGCTAAACGTCCAAAATTTCCTGGTAAATATTCAAGGTATGTATCATTTAAATACAAATCTTGAAGAGCTATAAGATTTGTGATAGTATCAGGCAGTTTTTCTAATGGGTTAACACTAAGATCTAAGAATATCAAATTCTTTAAAGCTTTCATGTTATCTGGTATGGATGCTAAAGTGTTCCTACTGATGTTTAAATGTTGCAAATTAACCAATGATGATACAGCTGTTGGGATAGCTTGTAGCTCATTGTCACTAAGGTCTAAATATTTTAGGCCATGACACATGAAAAGTTGTCTCGGTAATTCGGTAATACGATTACTCTGGCAGAGTAATCTTTCTAAGGTTCTTTCATAAACAAATACGTCCGTAGGCACATCAGTGAGCGAATGATGTGAATAATCCAATTCAACTATATCTTCCACTCCAGGTCTCACACAACACAAAAAATCGAATGGCATAATGAAACTAACACTTTTTTTACACGACAGAAACGAAACCGATATGTAAAACACGCACATCAGGCATTTTCCAAAGATAAAGCGTAGATCATTATAATAGTTTTTTATTTTAATGTCCACTTTATTTCATGTGTTTCTTAGAAATACACTACATCGGAAATATTAATTCAATAATAACAAATATAAACTGTGAAATGAATCACATAAATTCACAACTGATTCATCCTCCACTCCCGAAGACAGATTAAGTAGATTTTTAATAGGGTAGTATATAAATTAACGTCAAAAAATGGTTTGTAGAAAAAAGGGGAAGACAATGCTAAGCACGTAACTGAAGACAATATATTATTCGTAATCTCTCGAAATTCTCGAAATTACAGTTTTAAAAAAGAAATAATAAGCTTTCAAAGGTTATTATTTCTTTTATAAAACAGTTTAACAGTACTTTTTGAAAATCATTTTAATTAGAGTGTATTTATTTTCTAATTAGCAATAATTTAGAAAATAAATAATTTAATTTAAATTATCTGGATTTTTACGAAGATTTATTTTGATATTTAGTTCCCGACGTTTCGAATGCTTTTAAACAGCAATACTGGTCACGAGAGAGATCAACGACCACTCAGCCCAATAGACACCTCACGCAAGGCGAACACTTTCAGTCAACACGGTAGACAAATACGTCTGACTTGAGAAAACGATCGCAGGTACCCTACCCCAGCCTGCAAATTTATGATATTCGCAATGAAAAAAATACTAATCGATAGATTTTTAATAGCTCAATTCAACTACGTAGCCCTTCCAAATTGCTCACCATTAATTATAAAATTAAAAATCAATAAAGTCCTTGAAAAAAAATTCATTTATCCGTATATTCAAATTTCTATATCTTTTGATATATACACTATGATGAGGTTATGAAACACTTGATTTTTTTGCCTTGCGACTCGCGTTACTGTTTGCGCGCATGCGCAGCACTCACCTATCTATACGTTAAATTTATTCAAACTATTTATATTTATTTAATAATTAAGGAAAGTGGAGCTGGTGAGAACTCTACTTGAGCAATTACAAATGCAACTTGAGCAGTATTTTAGAACTTTGAGCAATTTAAAATATTGTATATATCAAAAGATATAGAAATTTGAATATACGGATAAATGAATTTTTTTTCAAGGACTATATTGATTTTTAATTTTATAATTAATGGTGAGCAATTTGGAAGGGCTACGTAGTTGAATTGAGCTATTAAAAATCTATCGATTAGTATTTTTTTCATTGCGAATATCATAAATTTGCAGGCTGGGGTAGGGTACCTAACGATCGCGCGATTTACTTCAGTAGCGACCACATCCGTGACCCGCGAACACATTGCTTGAGACTCGTGAATTTCCGACACAAAAAATACAACAGACGCGCAACATGGTTCCCTGTACAATAAAATGGTGTGGAAATAGTCGCCAAACATGTAATTTGAAAAAAAATGGCATCACTTTTCATAGGTAAGTGAATTTAAATTTCCAAATTCATTAAATGTAATTAAATCAGAGCTCAAGTTCTATTCGGACATTCTCGGACTATGCATCCCTTTCTTTTCAATGCAGTTCATTGTTGCTATACTTTTCTTTAATTACCGGCACGTGTAACTAGTGCTGTACCAGTTAAACGATAATTTTTTTAGAAATAAGTAATTTAATTATTATAAAATGCATGATTGTTAATCTTAATTATTGTAATTTTGTTTTGTTTATAATGATGATTTTAATTTTACTTCCTATTATTTTGTATTATTATCAATTTCTTTTGTATTATGACATTTATCAATAACAATAATTATTATTTTTGTACTTTTAATTCATGAATACTTATATACACTAAATGTAAAGAATAAATAATTGTAATAAGTACCTAATGGATTTTTTTTATAAATAATAAGTTCATGTAAATAAGGAGTAGTTTAGTTATACAGTGTGTAAGGGACAGTTTTCCGAAAACTTTAACCATGGATATACCTGTGAATAAACCTTGAATAAACCTCTATAAATAATATTAAGTATTCTATTATTATTTCATTATAGTAAAGAAAACTTGTCTTAATTAAAAATATTCTTTAAAACAGAAAATTATTTTAATAAATACGATGCCTACCTACAATACGATATAAAACTACTGGTTCCCATCACTATTTGTATTGAATTAATCAATCAGCTGCATTTCAACCCGCCTCCCCCGTAACGCTTACCTCAAACTTTTGACTGAAAGGTTTGGATGCAAAAGTATATAAATTAGGCGTCTATCGGCCTTAGTGGTCGTTGAGAGAGATTAATGTTTTAGATGTCTCAACTCTCAGGTCATATTATATTAGTTGTTACAGACAGTGCCTACCCACTAAATTTGTTTTTTTTGTGGGTAATTTTGTAATTCTGTGGGTAGGCACCGTCGGTAACAACTATTTATTGATCTGAGACATATATAATCAAAATCAAAAAAATCCAAAAAGATTATATAAAATGTCAAATATTCGCGTAAATCTAAGAAAGTATTATATGAATATTTATATAATTACATTTATTATAAATATTTTAATTTTTAAGTGGTTTATTCAAAAGTATATTTATTTAAGTAATTAGATTAAATATAATTTAACTATGTACGTACATTAATATTTTAACTTTTTATAAAGAACTTTGTATTTAGTATTTTGTTTTTACAAACAACAACAAGCTTAATTCGCTATCCATAAGAAAGAGATGAATATCTCTCGAATCATAGACAAGGAATCTTTTGTTACCTTCAGTTAAATTAGCGAGATTGCTATCTCCAATGTCTGTTTAATCTTTAATACCGCTATGTCAAATAATTTTATGTCAGTTAGTCGTGGATGACAAATGTTTATTGTCTGACGTTTGTTTTGACTTTTGAATTTTATTTGTCACCTCTCATCCATGGTTTTGAATTAAAAGCAGTTTTCGAGGATATACTTTTATGTTATTTTATTGAGCAAATAAAGTAAATGAATCGAAAGTCAAATATTATTTCACGAGTTTGTGTCCAACAGTTTTATCAAAAATGTATCCAAAGACTTTTCACAAGGGCAAATATTTTATATCTTTCAAACGAGGCTTTGAAGAGAGCAAAAAGAACCTAACTATAACAGTTGACAAATTGTTCCAAAGCGATACCTTGGTTAGTCTGGTTTAATTTCTAAAATAAATTACAGATTTGTTAAGTTATGCGTATCTATTTCTTTATTTTAAATTTTAGCGATTAACTTTATCTGATGACGACGACCCTACATTTTTATGCAGGATAAATTTGACCCGTTGTGACTATGAAGACTTAAAGAAACAGCAAGGACTTCTTATTGATTTTGATAATTTTCCATCTCAAGTTGTAAGATTATTGCAACAATGTGCTGCAAATAATATGTAAGTTGTAAATAGGTAACAGTTTTAACATTCATATTATTATTAATAATATTAATATAAATTTTACAGGTTTCTTATTATTCATCAAATTACTTCTATTGAGTATAACTTTGAAGTAGTAGAGCATAATGAATTTAGACGTCTAGTTCATTTATGTCTAAAAACAGGACCTGCAAGTGATAATGATATTAAACAGCATATGACAGAAACTATTGGAGAATTAAAGGTATGAATAATAAAAATATTTGTCATTTTTTTGTATAAGGGGGAAAAGTATTAATAGACAAATTAAGAAAAATGTGTTATTATTTTATTAAAGCTTATAACATTTAATGTTTACTAGAAGTCATTAGCAGCTCTTAAAAACTCTGCTTCAAATAGTGAACTTATGTGGAATGAAAAGCTGCTGAAAATGGAGGCAAAAATTCATGATTTGACTATGACTGTTTCTAAAATGGAAGAAGATAAATTAAGAATTGAAAAAGAATTTCAAGAAGCTTTAAAATTAGAACATGATCGGTATGCACAGGTAAATTTTTATCAAAATGAATATATTAATTAAAATTTTTCAAATTTGATTTATGATTCTTGTTATTATTATTAACATTTAAATGTTAATCTTTTAAGGAAAGGTTACAGTGGCAAAGAAATTCAGAAAGTCATACAAATAACTTACTAAGTTCATCACAAGAAAATTTAAATAGAAAAGAAAAACAAATTGAAGAATTGAATTACCTAAATAAACAGTTACATGAAAAAATTAATCAACTAGAACATCAAATAAGGTATGACACATTACTCTTTCACCCTACCTTTGTTCATTTGGTGAATTAAATAACTTTTTTCATGTTCAATTTTTTTTTTCTATATTATGCTTTTTTCTGTAGTGACAAAGTGCAAAGGTTGAATTTATTGGAAAATGAAGTCCAAAAAACACATATTGAAGTAGCAACATTGAAAGCTAAGAATGCAACTTTAGATAGAGAAATTATAGATAAAGAAAAACAAATTAATCAATTAAACTCTAAATGTACATACTTAGAAAAAGTAAGTTTTCATCTGTAATAATATAATATAAATTCTAATTTAAATAATGATTTCCATTGCTTAGCCTGAACATACTGGGCATAATGTGGGTCCTTTTAAACTTGTATCATTATTAAAAGAAACTTTAACATTCAATGAACCCTATCTCATCATGTCTGTTTGTCAGCAGAGATGATGAGATATTGTTATATTTGCATTGGATGTGCTATTATAAAATGTGGTTGTATATAAAGTATTTGAGATACATAAATAATATGTTGGGACATTAACACACGGCACCATCTATTTCTATGGAAAGCTACGAGGCTTGTGGTATGGATACCAGAGTTGATATACTACATATTATATATAACTTTAAAGTTTAAATATATATCTATACATATAATTAAATTCTAAGAGAACCGAATCTGTACATTAAATATTTTTTGGAAAATCTTATTGAAATATACATTATAATCGATACAGACGCCGAATCCATAGTTATTAGAATTTTTGTCTGTCTGGTACCACATCACAGAAAAACCACTGGAGGGATTTTGATCAAATTTTGTATGGTGATAGCTGGTTATTCGGATCAACACATAGGATATTTTTTACCGCGGGAAAATGCCTCATTTCTGAGAAAAAATACAAAACTGCAATATAAGAGTATACTAATATGTAAAACCTAAGAATTTGTTTCTGGTTATCTGAACGCGGGCGGAGCCGCAGGCAATACTAGTATATTATAAATATAAACATCCATGACTGGACTGCAAACATTCGTGCTCATCACACAAATGAATTCCCCTAGCGGAACTCGAACCCGTGACCGCTGGCATAGCAAGTAAGGTCATTCAAATGTACTTACCTATATATAATTTATATGCCTGTTATTAGTCATACTTAATTATTTACTATACTAATTTGTACTACTAAAATATATTTTTTTTATAATGTAATTTTATTGTAGACTGAAATTAAATGAAAATGTCCATTTACTGAATTGAAAATAACAGTACTTTTTTCATCATTAACTTGTCTTTTGAATATTTACCTCATTAAAATAATATCTATAAGGGTTTTTAGCAGGGTTCGAAACGATAATTATCATTGATAAATATAATTGAAAATATTTAATTTGTAACTCTTCAAATTGTCGATCAGCTAACTGAACTCTCTCTATCAGTTCAAAAAACTTAATCAGCAAACTGAGTTAATGGAGTTGAGGAGGATGAGGATGATATTCCAATCATTAAGAAGTCTGCCTACTACACCGTCTCATACCATGACCGTACTATGAACGTATCAGGCACGGAAACAAGCAACACGGACTAATAGTAGTCCGTGTAGCCCACTAGAACGTATCATTCGCGTATCAACCACGTTATTTCCTATACTTATACGATGGCCAGTAGAAACTTGTCCGACAGAGAATTAACAATGATAGCCATTCTTTCAGACGAGGAAGAAAGAGAATATCATCAGCTGATCACGATGTTACTAGGTTCACGTAGTTTAAAAAAAATATTTAAAAGAAAATATTATCACTATAAGACAAGCGACAACACGTTTATAACGGGCTTAGAACGGTCATCATACGCACTTATAACCCGTGTGCTCATCCGTCCGGTTCGGCAACGTCGCGTGCCAGGCACGGAGCGTATCGGCACCGGCAATATATTCTTGCCGACAGTTTTTTGACTCACTATTACAAGGGTCTATGTTACAATTTTAGTACTTATTTAGTTATTAATGCTACAAGGTTGTATGTGTCATTAGCTAGAGTTTTGCAAAAACAAACCACTAGATAGCGGCACTATAATTACAAAATATTCAATTTTACATAGTTCTGTGTTGTTTTTTTTACGATATCAAAATAACGAAGTTCTATGTAAAAATTACTAAACTTTATTAAAATTAACACAGAACCTTGTAATAGTAAGCCAACGAATTTATTATTGTCAACTTTCCATGCACGGCACGCGACGGTGTTGGTCGGTGACGGAAAGGTCGGTGATGGAACGGTCTAGTAGTTTCATATTTTTCAATACAAAGAATATTTCGTCGTTGCGACTTTGAAACCTCTTATGTGTAAAAATCAATTTTATGAGATAATCGACAAAAACCGTCTACTGAAAAAAATAAAGTGAAACCAACCACAACAAAAAATATAAATATCAGCTACATGTTTTCCTGCTTTTTATTGTGATATTATTACATGAAATGAAAAGTAGTATCTTAGTCAAAAAAAATAAAAACAAGTTCAGTTAACACATAAGATAATTTGCATGCGCTTTATGTATCACATCATTGCTCTTGAAACAAAATGTCCACAATTATTGAATTAAAAACTATTTATTTTATTGCAAAAACAAATATTTTTCTCTGAATACACATCTTAAGACATTATGTAACAATTGAATCACAAGTTAGAATAAAAAAGTTACAAATCAAACTACCATTACTTTTTGAATTTAATTATGTAATTATGCATTAGGTGCCCGGATTGAATGGTAACGCGTTATAAAATGGATGGTAATCCTGATCTAATACCATTTTGAGTTCCTGCAAATGCTTATACTTGCTCTCAGTAATTTTTATTGGAGCTTTATACAGTCCCCTTGAAGATATAAAACCATTTCCTTGGTTGTTTCTACGCTGTGGAAGTACCGACCACTCATCGACATGTCTTAACCTATAAAATATGGATCCATCGGATAAATATTTAAGACCCCTAATGTCCACCACGACAGGATCTCCCTTCTTTTTTCCAGGCCGTATGGATTTTAGGTTCGATTCCATCTCTTTGAAATTGAGAAAGAAATCATAGTGAACACATTTGATATCATAGGGCTTTTGAGGTCGAGCTTGTCTCATCCGTGCGATGTAATCACTGGGAGCGAATATTGGCGGTTTTATGTATTTGCTCAATAATGGAGTGAACACTATCTACCTCCATCATAGTGTGCCCTTTTTCCAGATAAAGTTGTTCAATACAAATTTGCCTCCTTTGCGAAAAATCGCTTAGGGCACTAGACAAAATTCGGGTTTGGTGTCCGCATCCATCAGAACAGACATCAGTAGACAGTAGTCTATTAAACAAAATGTGAATTCATTAGCAGTTACATTACCATCTGCTTCGTGCCAAAAGTAAATTTTCACATCTTTGGATAGCACGTTATAAACCGTAAAGTTATGGCATTGTAATTTTAATTTGTAGTACAATGCACTAGTCAATAGCTTTGGGGCGAGCAAAACACTTTGAACGTCGACTGTTATAACCATAACCACATCCTTTTCGTTTGTACTTTCTATGACATTCTTTTTGGCTTCACGGGCTTCAGTTTTCTTCGCAATATGGCTTTCGTATTCTTCTTTCGAAATGTTACCCGTTTTATAACTGCAAAACGTGTCACACTGGTTTTTGCGCGGAAGATGAATGTCGATATTTTAGTTTGTCAGTATGTTCGAAATTTTCCTTCTAGAGGCAGCTTTGTAGTGGTTTTCAATACACCACTCCTTAAAAACTTGATGCATGTGGAGTTCAGATCGAAAAGTCGATTCAACATAATTTTTTTTTGAGCTAGAACGGCAGTAATGACTTGGTACTTTTGGTAAAAGATCCAACCATGTTTTAACAGTTCTTGTCAATTCAACGTGCCTTACTGGCCTAGCAATAATATTTGAACTTGGTGAAGTGTTTTCTGCAGTTTGATCAATTAAATTTTCCTCGAAAGTATCAACCTCTTTAGTCCAGCGACGCACACATACATACGATAACACACATAAGATATTTTAAGAACCAACTTTTAATTAGCAAGCACATTCAAGATTTTGAATTTAGTAAATAACTTACGATTGAAACGCCATATTCACATGACAGTTTTTGCATTCGATAGCGCATTAAAATGTAAAATCGGTAAGCCTAAAAAAGTAATTTTGCCAAAAGTGACACATAGGAGGTCTTACTTCGCGACGACGATTTATTGCCTGACACGGTCCTAGCACTGTCATGTTATGACGGTGTAGTGGGCAGATACCTTTAATTTAATTAAATAGTGTATAGTTGGTTAAATTTATTCTATTTTTATTTCATAGTTTGTGTATGTCAAAATAATGAAAAAATAATAATAATAAAAGATTACCTTGATTGTTAAAAGTGTATAATATTTATTCTAATGTAAATTATGATAGGCAAGTAGTCAAATACCAATACCTACATATGGATTGCTAATTTATCTCTATTTGATAATTATCGGATAATTATCTTGATAATTATCGCGATAATTATCAAAAGATATATTTATCTTGATAATTTCATACCCTGGTTTTTAGTAACTTCAAAATTTTATTTTCTTTTGCAGTCATTAAAAGATAATACTGATGTCATCAAAGAAATGAATGAAAACATACAAACATTAAAAATGGAAAAGGTTTGTAGATATTTAATTATAATTCTTACTATTAATTAAAATTTCACTTCTGAAGGGTTTCTGGAAGAAATCTCCTAAAGAGATAAGTTAGCCTTTATCGACATTCTGTTACTTTATTTTGTATACCATGTATTTTACGGTTATAATCTTTATACCTAGTACCTCAAATTCTTGTAAAAGAGCAAAAGTGCTATTCGCGTTCCGTCATAGATTTGTTAAGATGATTCTTTGAGCCAAAAACGAGCCAGTTCTGTTAAGCGCTAAGTGCTTATCAGAAAATTTGTACCACTCCCAATATATTTAAATATATTAATCATATTTTATTTTTTATTAGAGTAACCTGGAAAGACGTCTGACTATAAGTGAATCTTTAGCAAATAAAAATAATGAAGCAGCTCACACAACTACAGAACAGTTATTAAAAGCCAACCAGATAATATCTAAGCAAAATAGTGATATTATTGAAATGAAAGACAAGGTACTACTAAAAAAATATTACTTACTGTTTATTTTGAATGCCTTCAATTAAGACTCAGTAATAAAATATGTGTCGATATCAAACTGGGACTAACTAGCCCATACCAGGGATTGACCTGCATATGTTAATTTCTTTATTGCCTGTCAAAAACATCTGATGCCAAGGCGGGCCATGTGGTAGATATTCTCATTATGATGCAAGTTTTCGAAAGCCCCTAGGTAATTTTCATTAGGGTTCCATAGCGAAAGGCAAAAACAAAATCCTTATAATTGGACCCAATTATGCAAAAAGCAACCATGTGCATGAAAGTACCAACAGAGTTATAAGCATTTTTCTGTCGATAGTTGCACTTGGGGTATATTTTGTTTTTCTGGTTATTTTAAAATTGAACAATATTTATATAAGTATTGTTTATTTTTTTATCCTATCCAGTATTTTGAACTGTTGCTTTTAAAGCAGATAATTACGTTTTAGACTTAGCTATTTCATACAAAATAGTATATTTTACAGTAATCACAATAAAGCTTAATCCAGCCACATGAGTTAGCTGTGTTTTGAATTATTTTTAAACAGCAAAATAAATAAAAACACACAAAAAATCTATAGTTACAAAAATCATGATACAAAATAATCAAAATTATTTTGCCATTTTCATATTGTTTTTGATTATTATTATTGGATTTTATAAGAATATGTTATAAAATAAATAATATTTTAATTCATAAAACAGCCAGGATGGTGTTGAAAAAACCCAACTACCACTAATAACAAATATCTATTTGACAGAAAACAGCCATCATAAATTGGCTGCTTCTTGCGTAACTTGCACACTTGTACCTTCTAACATTTTGAAATTTGTAAAAAACAGCCATAAAGGTAGGCTGACTTCTACAATATAAGTATTTTAGTTAGTGTTAAAATTGGATGCAACGTGCGTTCACCTTGTCGTGGTGGGGGGGCTCAGTAGTGTACTCGCGAAGCTAAGAAACGCACAGGGAGGTGTCCCGCTTCGGTGGGCGGTGGGAGGCGGCCTTCTTCGGAGGGTGGTGTACCACGTGGGTTGCTCCTGGTACTTCTCTGATAGCAGAGTGGACCGTGGAGCAACCCCATGGTTGTTGTGGTCTGCTTCGGCAGACCTGCCGTCGGGGTGTCGTAGTTGAATGCGTAAGCGATCCTACGACGCCCCATTAAGACGGGGGAAGGTTTTGTTGGGTTTTAGTGAGTAGTACTGGCTTTGCCGGTGAGTCCCACACTTCGTGCGTAAATGCATTTCCCAACGTTAAAAAAAAAAAAGGCTGACTTCTACAATATAAGTATTTTAGTTAGTGTCAAAATTGGATGCATTTTACACCAAGCTGACTGTTTTACGAAATGTGTTTGTTGAAATGGCTGGATTTGATGGCTTATTATCTTCGACATTAATAAAGATATCGACATGGTTGTTTTTGTATAAAATTCGCCATGTCTAAATTAGCATAATGGTTTAAATAACCCATTTTTGGAAAAACTGTGTAATGGCTGTTTTCTGCATAACTAGGTCCAATTTTTCTGTCCATCCGTCCATATGTCACGGTAATATTACTCGGAGACTTGGAGCTATATTGCTGAAAGGCATATAGATGTATCATGTCAATTGCTAGTCAATTGATAGTCAAATTACGAAAAAAAGGGGTTTATAATTTTTTATTTGACATAAAGACTTAACTTTTTTGGCGCGATCCGAGAGTCGAATCATGATAATTTATTCACTAAATCCTTTATTCCATTTATTCACTAAATAAATTTCTTTTTCTATATTTCAGCTTTTATGTAGAACAGCTATTGCATTAGAACAAGAAAAGGTAATTGAAAGCAATACGAAGGAAATACAAGATTTAAAATCAGAAGTGAATTCCACAAAAGATATTTTAGACAAACTTAAAAAAGAACTTGATATGCTAAAGGAAAAATATGAACTTAATGAACAAGCGCTGAAAGATAAAGATGAAACAATTAAAAACAACAATATGGGTATGTATAAAACTGAAAAGTTATAAAGATTATCAGATTCCCGGAAAGTCGCAGAAGTTGCTAAGAAAATATAGTAATTATTATCAGTATTTAGTGTATCCATACTTATTAATATTATAAATGTAAAAGTGTGTTTGTTTGTTTGTCCTTTCACGTCGAAACAGAGTGACGGATTGGCGTGATTTTTGTGTGGAGATAGTTAGGGTGTTGGAGAGTGACATAGGCTACTTTCTACCGCGGAAGATTATTTCATTTCTACGGGAAAACACGTTATAATACAGCCTACAATAACTCATCATACCTATGTAGTATGTATATATATAATATATTGTCTATATTTTATTCCATACTAACTGTTAAAACGTACATAGAGACGAAACCGAGCGAAGCGTGGGTGAGTCGCTAGTATTGTATAATGTTATAAAAACACTATCTAGTGTCTAAGCGTGGGCTAGCTTTTATAATAGGCTTGTGATATTTGACAGCGTAATAGCTTTCTCGACAAATAGGCTATAAAATGCATGCATAAGGCACTTGATAGCACTTAGTGGCAGCTGCGTATCCTTGGGAGAATTTTTGGAATTGGATTTGGATTAGTTTCAGAGATTAACCCTACACAAATTTATAACCTGTTTGAAGGGTAAACCCTTTGTAAAACTAGTGTAGATTTTTAACCATTTCAGTTTTAGACATAATTATGTATATTATATACATATGTGGTTTTCTTTTCTTTTTTAGTCATACAATTCCTTCACAAGAAGATCGAAGAAACTGGCACAACAGCCTATGCTCAAAATAGATGTAAAACAAATCTTCAGTCAGCAACAAGTTCAACACCTTTCCTTCCAATGAAAACAATACAAAATAACTCCGAAGATTCTGATTGCTCTGTACATTTTTATTCAACATCCAAATTGTAAGTAAATATTATTATTTAACTAGCAACTCAGTTCAGCCCCTAGTTACTTAAAAAATGGTGGGTGGGGGTAGGAAGGTGAAAAGTACTTCACGACCTATTCTCATACCTACCAAATATACAAAAAAAAATCATTAAAATTGGCCGAGCTGTTTCGGAGGAGTGCGACCACAAACACCTTGACACAAGATATTTATATAATAGTTTACTTGAATTAAGATTCATTTTGTTTACTCAATATTTTTATAGGTCTAACTTAGAAGACAGCCCGCAGCCTTCAACACAAAACAAAATAGGATTAGACCCAAAGTATTTGAAGCCAGCAGCAGACGAAAAAGTAATTACAGAAAAAGGTAAAAATTAAATATTAGTCTTAATCAGGGCTTGAAACCGATTTAAAATACCATTGTGATGTAATGGTTAATTCAACGCTCATTCTTTAATCGGTTATGAAAACAAACTATTTAGTAAACAGAAGTATTAATGGTTAACGGTTTTTGTTAGAGAAATGTTAGATTTCGGTTTTGATACCGAAATAAACCGGTTAATTCATTCATAAGTAAGAAACGTACATGTATCCTTCTACTAAGTAATTCACCATTAGCAAAGATTCTCTTAATGTAAAAGCACAAAAACTTATTTTAAACGGTTAATTTCGATCATGGAGCCTAAATTCGTCAAAAACCTTTCTCCGAGTTTTATTTATCAGGTTAAAGAACAAAACCCAAACCTTAAACCGAGAAGGATTTTCTTTTGGGGTTAATCACCAAAACCTGTTTAAAAATTGATTTCAGAGTCCTAGTTATAATAGGTATGTGGAAAGTTATTGTTATTAAATTACTATATTATGTATTATTATAGGTTTTTCAAGGCCTTCATCAAATCCCGCCAGCAAAAAGGGAAAGGAGAATAAAGGTTTTGAACTACCAAAAGTTGACTATAGAGAAAAGAAATCTTCAAGACCTACGACATATCGCGCTACACCAGTCTCAGCGTATTTCCCATAATAAAATATAAATTATTATATAACTGAATATTTCGTATTTCAATCATCTAACGGTCTAGTCCATATACATTTTTCAAAATATTGGCGGACTAACTTCGACTTTTATAATATGTAGCAATATACTCTATGCTTCGACTGACTAAAGCCGTGTTGACACGATCAGTTTTGACAATCAAAAGCAATCAAAGCGCACTTTGATGTGGACGATCAAAGTGGACTTGGACCCTGTTTAATAATAATACTCTTTGGCTTAGACCCAAATGTAAACTATGTAAGTGTCAACCATTATCAAATTGAATTTAGTTTCAAAGCTTTTCGTCAAAGTAGACATTTAGCGTGTCAACAAGTATCCAAGTAAACTTTGAACAAAGCAAACTTTGAGCGTATCAGCACAGCTAAAGTCACAATTTAGTGTGCCTAATGCCTATTTCATGTGTATAAATATTACATCTAAAATAGAGTATTCACAGCTACCACAAACTTATCGGCCGGTAACGGCGTCGCTAGCGCTATTCGCTAATCATAAATCGTAAACACTAATCGCCTTCGCCGCTATTGTTGAATTTAGTATTGCCGCTAAATAGAATTTCCGCAGTTATAGGGTAAAAATAATAACAGCCCAAGTGCTCACGGAGTATGTAATCGAAATGTAAATTTGCTATTTTAGTTATTGTTATGTAACAAGGAATAATAATGAAAACATTTTCTAATTAATTATATTTAATTTTATAATTATGATCATATAGATAATCATTTGGGTGATGGGGAAGAATTTTGCCATTGCCAGATGTCGCGATCTCTATAATCCTTAGTATATTGTAAAGCTCTTATAGCGTGGATGGTGTTTTTTCATTTTATTTCAAATTTAATTAAAAAAATGACAAATTGTACAGTGCCAAGATATTTTAGATTAAGCGATATCATTTGTTTCCAAATTACAAACAACTGAAGAAATTGTGGATTAAAGCTACTGCTAATACTAAGACGAACAAAATTGGCGAAATCACAATCTTTATATTTAAGGCTATATGTGACATCTGGTGGGAGAAATAACAAAATTCTTTCTCAATAAAAAAAGTAAACTGAAAACACTATTTAAATCACGTCTGAAGAGACAATATAATTAAACATGACGAAATTTGTTGGATAATAACTTATACTCGTGTGTGCCGGTTACTAAATTTAGGTTGGACAGTCAAGTCATAGACAACTACAGGTTTAAGATTAAAAATATGATAGCTGGTATGGTAACATTAAACATAATGTCAAAACTTTTATCTCAAAGTTTCCCACGTTTTTCTAAAATTTTGCTATTTGTCAACTTAATTGTACGTTTCTGATTTCTGATGAACTTAAAATCTTAAGTTTTGAAACTAAAATTACTGACTATATTGATACGTTATTGGTTTTAAGTCTAGTGATTGAATCTCTACAACAATGTGGAATGGTAAGTATCGTTATAAATGTTAAAATCGTGAAATTTTAAGTTAATATAAAGTTTGAAATTCATTAATATTTTTAGATCAATCCATTGCTGGCGGTGGATTTTTAAACACATCTACTCAATTCGGAGGTGCCAATACACCTAACACCGCCCAAAAATCGGTAAGAATATTTGAATAATCCATTGATTGAAAAAATTATTGTTATTAGTACATAATTAAAGTCCTATTATAAAATATAAACGATATCGTTCAAACTATGATTCAATATATAGTACTAGAAATAATTATTATAAGTGTAATTTTTACTACAAGTTTAAACCTGTCAGCTGTCGCATTATTATTAGTGACATCATTGCTATTTACATATAATATGTTTATGAAGCAAATAAAGAAAACAATTCAATATATTTTGTGTACAACAATGTTGTAAATTAACAACTTTTTAAATTGTAAAGATTATAAAATTATCACAATATTATATACTAGCAGGTTGAACTTCATCAGGCTGGAATACAGTCTAATGGCTGTATGTGTAATGATAACCACTAATTTATCATAATGTGATGCAACTTAACTTTTAATTAAAATAACTTCTAAAATAAGTTTGAGTTTTTCTTATTCCGGTATATTTTTTGCTAATGAACCCATAGCATAATAAAAAAAATGTGAGTGTGTGCAATTCACACATCGTAGAAGTGAAACTTCAGAAAATGATATGAATATAGAGTATCAGGAGTAGGATAATCATAAGGATTTTTTTATATTATTTTTACCAAGTTTAAAAGTTATTTTACATTTTATTTGACATAAATATAAACATTACATAATAATCAGTAATGAATTTTACTATTTTTCACTTCCTGTGTAATGTATTCTATGAAATAACAACGGTTACCATGGCATCATCGCAATGTATTCTATCTCATTCTATTGCCGGCTTAATCCTATATATTTATATGTTTGTCTCTTTTTACTGTCGCATTTCCGTTTCATCGAGTTTCAAATCACAACAATTCTAAAGAAAACTTTCACTTCAAAAATGTGAAAGAGAATAAATTAATATAATTTGAACTATAGGGTGGTAGAAGAGCATCACGAACAGCACCAATTGTCATCAGGCAGGCATTGCACAGCGGAGATGATGGTGTCAAGATTTGGGGCACTGAAATACAAATAGTATCTATTGTTGCTAGAGTCAGAAATATTATAGTACAGAGTACTAAAATAACATACACTATACAAGATATAACAGGCAGGATGAGAGCAGTTTTATGGCTGGATCAAGAGGAAATGGATGAAGATGTAAGAATATGTTCTACATTTTATTATTGAAAATGGAACTTTAAACATTTTCAAAAATAAAGGATTCATTAAAGCTAATGTTTTATCAAATATATCTTATGTTATTGCAATACTAATCTATAAGAATTTGTGAATGAAATTCCATGCTCTGCCTGAAACTAAAGGCTTGTAAAGTATTTAAAATACTATTAATTTAAATAGTATTAAAATACTATTAATTTAATAATAATATTAAGACTTAAGTGATTACAAAATGGCATAATAAAGTAATAGAAAAATAGTAATAATAGTTTCACTTATGCTAATACAATAATATTGTTAACATTTATAAACAACATACACTTGTTAACATTTATAAATATTGTTCATCATATCACAATTATAATTGTTATATTTTCCTCAGGATACAACAAACACTAAAATTCAAGTTAATGAATACATACAGATTTTTGGAAATGTAAAGACTAATAAAGGTAAAAAAGTTCTCATGGCTTTTAAAATAATACCTATAACGGACATTAATGCTATTACATTCCATTATCTGCAATGCATTAATAATAAACTGAAGATGGAGAGTGATTCCAAAAAGGTAATTTATATAATGTATAATAAAACTGTAGATAGCTTAAAATTATTTTTCTTAAAATATTAATACAATATAGGTAGTTTAATAACAGTACATAATATAACATCACTATAGCCCACTTTCGAAGTATTTAATAGTAGTTGAAAACACTAATATCTTGTTGTTTTCTATTGGGTATTGACATCTCTTTAATCTAAATTTTAGAAACTTATCAAAAAACAAAACTTCATATATATAACACTTTGTGGGCCTAAAAATTTGGTGAAATGGTTATACTGATTCACTATACATACATTGTTATGTATGAGGACTTGATAAGGAAAAACAATAATGATTTTATAATGTTTTGTATCTTCTCAGTTATATTTTTTTTATTTCTACTGCTTGTCGTTTTGGAATGAACTTTAATTTTAGGAACTTTTCAGCCAAGTTTAGAATGTCTTATGGCCAATATTTCACCAATGTCACCTAAGTTTAAGGGATCCCTTATGCATGGTTAGGGGACAGTTTCTGTTTCACCGACAATTAGGGGTCACCTAAATTTAAAAAATAATAATAAAATGCCACCTAAATATAGGTACTAGAAATACGGGCTCTGACGATTGTAAACGAAATTTAATTTAGGGGCTAGTTTAGGGGAACTTTTAAGCTGGGGATCCCATACGTAGGTGGTAGCTTAAGTGATGTTGGTGAAATCGGGCATTAGTGTCTTGACTCTACCACTACCACTTAAATACTGATTAAAATTATTAATATATAACAAACTTATCACAAAACTTCAATTAAGTTTACAAATATTGATCCTTGACCTCCGCACTACATACTAACCATCAATGGTATAAAATTGCCTTGTTTTATGGTACTAGATGCCTGTCATGTTCCCTTCAAGGCATATTTATAATCTTAAAGTAAAATAATAAAGTTATATGCACATTCGATTAATATTTTTAAAATATATATTTTACAGGAGAAAACTGATAACCCAGCTACTTTTGATAATGCATCTGTAAATGGTTTAACTGAACGTCAAATGATTGTGTACAATATTATTAAAGCCTCAACTCTCGAGCAGGGAATAAGTAAACAGGATATATATGCTCAGTTGCAAGGCCGGATATCCAATGTTGAATTTGAGTATGTTTCCATTACTTTTTTACAATTAAAATGAGTGCACTTCACCAAAGTTACATAATTATTTATTGGTGTGATAATTTTTTTTTAAGGAAATTATTGGACTGGATGTGGAATGAAGGCCATATATATACAACCACTGATGATGACCATTTCCGTACTACTGATGCCATATAATGTTTTTTTCTTTTCAACAAATATTTTTGCATTTTTAATAAAATCTCATATTTATGTTTTTTTTTTAAACTTGAAACCCTAACAATAAGAAAACTCATGATATCGCTACCACACGACAACGTCATAATGCTACTATTTTCGTACTTCATACTTAAACTATTATAAAACTAGCATTGCCTGCGGCTTCAAATGACCAAAAACCAAATTCTTAGGTTTTACATATTAGTATACTCTTACATTGCAGTTTTTGTAATTTTTATCAAAAATGAGACATTTTCCCGCGGTAAAAAGTATTGTAAATAATTGGTAAAAAGAATTGGCAAAGATGAAAAGCGGCGTATTAAATATATCTCAGCTTCAAACCCTTCAACATCGACTTATGAACCTTTACAAAATGTCTCATCTTCTGATTCTTATGAAAACATATAATTACGAAAAGATTTGCCAACCATATTGAGACCGCACAACGCGGAACAAGTATAATAAACTATATACAAAGATTTCATCGCTTCAAAATTAGTAGCAGCGTTAGATAATTGTCAGCTCAGTTTCTGTATTTATTTTGGAAGCAACTATTAACCTTGATAATATAATACAAAGACCTTTATTTTAAGACCCTGGATATAATACAGATGAATTTCCGATAAGTAAGTCTTCAATTCAAAGAATTCGACAGAAAAACGGAAACAATGCGCTGATGCTATAAAAGTTGATTTTCAAAACGAGGTACCTGATGTTGCAAGGGTTCACTGCGTTTCAAAAGTGTTGCCTGCTTTAAATGCTCGAAAATCAACAGAAGAACGACTTCCAATAGTTTTTTCATATGAAGATAAGGAACAATTATTGCTGTGCCAAGACTAGAAAGCTCTTCAGGAAAGAACAGGCAAAGGCGGTTTATACAAGTTAATTGAGCTTTCTGTAACATTTTTATGTGTAAATATGTACAGAAAAATTAAAATTCAAACTCCAGGTGCCATGCACCAAGCGCGATTTATTCGCCGAAAATATCACCGTAAGCGAACCAATTGAAAATTACCAGTGCTCAACGTTTGCCTGTTTTTTGTGACATCCTACCATCATCCTACAATCAGCCATGGCTGCAATGTATTTTGTAGTCAAAGCACCTATCGGGGCCTATGTTTTTTGAAATCAATAATAGCTAACGAAAAAATTGATAAAACCATCTCCAAAGCAGCTTTAGAAAATTAAGCTTTAAGAACTTTGTGGATCACTGTATAGTAAGTTATATTAATAAATTTAGAAATAGATTCTTTAATATAAAATACTCAAAACAGTGAATGAAACAGCTGAAGAAGCAGTTAAGTTGATGCAAGAATTTCAGGCTTAATCAGGGTTGAAGAGAAACGAAAACGTTTTTGTTACGTTGAATACAATGACACCGGAAGCTTTATCCCGATTGTAGAAAGAAACATTGATAAGAAAATTTGAAAAATAATATGTTTTTAAATCAAAAATAAAAAATAGTTATACGATTTGGCTATATATTTAATACAAATTGGCTATATATTTAATAAACTGCCTCGGTGGTGTAGTGGCTAGCATGTACGACTGCACACTCGGAGGTCCTGGGTTCGAGTCCCGGGTCGGGCCAAGTTTAGTTATTGAGTCTTTCTGTATAGTAAGTCTCAGTAACAGCCCGGAGTTGGGAAGTTGGCGGTGTTTCACCCCCGTGCCTCGGAGAGCACGTAAAGCTGTCGGTCCTGCGCCTTAACTCTCACTGGTCGTGTCGAGCAGTCGTCCCACCGGAGTATGAGAGTGATAGGAATAGAGAGTGCACCTGTGTCTGCGCGTACACTTGAGCACTATAATATCTCCTGCGCAGTTGGCTAGTCTCAATGAGATTGGCCGCCGTGGCCGGAATCGGCTAGGAGAACATCATCATCATATTTAATATTTATAATAACTCTTTGAGTTTCGAGAATCGAGCTTTATTACTTCATACAAATTATCTTGCCTTATATGTTTGGCATCACGTCGACACGGGTTATTGTGATTCAATTACAATAATATTTATTATTTGAGTTATTTCGAAAAAAATTAAAGAGTATGCGAATTTAATTTTGTGAAAAAATTCTCCCTTATACCCTAATGTATAGATTACAATCATCCCATGTATTCCTTGCCGGTCATCAATTATTAGACGAGATACTGTGCTCTTGCTAACTAAAACCCACAGCAGAACATATCTATGCATTGTAATTTATATATATTAATACTATGAAGATGTATAAGAGGTTGCTTACTATCCGCATTGTAAATAATTGTAGCGGCTAGATTTATTACTTAGTCTACATATGTAAATATTTTTACTCTGTTCACTTGTAGTAGGTATTTTGATCAATTATGGCTACAGCAACCTATCCTATTGTATTAATATTATAAATGCGAAAATTTGTGAAGATGTATGGATGTTTGTTCCTCTTTCACAAAAACTACTAAATGGATTTTAATGAAACTACAATAATATAGCTCATACATCAGAATAACACATAGTCTACTTTTTATGTTATTGTGGGATATAATTGTTTTTATAGAGGCGAATCCGAGCGAAGATAAGGTACTGAGCCGTTAGCAATTTATAAACGTTCATTAAGTAAGTATTATGAGGACGTATATTTGTAGTTTTTTAACGCAAAAATTACTGAAAAGATTGTTTAACCTATTTTCGGGATGTTATTGATAACTTCTTCACGAAAAATCAAATAACTGTACTTCCCCCGACCCAGGACGTTCAAATTTGCACGTTTAAGTACGTACTACGTACGTCTTACATGCTAGCCATTTAGTGACTACATCAACGGGACATGTATCTAATAAATAAATATAAAAATAAAAAAAACCCGACTGCATAAAAGCTAAATCAATGAAGTCGGAGACATGATAATGTATGTACACATTTCATCCTTGCGGCAAGGATGAAACGTGTATGTCTCCGACTGCATAATAGCCAATAGGCTAACTATATTCCTTCATGAACTTGTTTTCATCTTTTTAGTTAGCTTTTATGCAGTCGGGAAGGAAAATCAGCGAGATTGGTTGTTTACAAACTTTGTATCATTATATGTCCTAAACTGTTATTTAAAATGCAAAATGATAAAAGAAACCTAAAAATGATTTTAAATACCTATTGAACGATACCCCATTTGACATAGTTCGTCGATTTTTATTTCTTACTTTTTTACATTATGGCGTCCAAAATCGGCCATTTTGATTTTTCCAAATTTTTATGCTTTCTATAGCATTCGCGCCGTCATGACGAATCAAACGACGTGTCAATTTTATCAAAATCGGCGCGTTTGGTCTAAATAGTAAGCATGGAAATGATTGCTACTTTTAAATCATTATCACGTGATGAAATTACAACAATTTTTCACGTGATTTCACCTGCTACTTTTCACGCATAGATTTTTGATTTCGACGGTCTGGTGTCACACTTTATATTATTTGCTATTAAAATGAAGTATGAAATGTCACCAATGGCGCTACTGATGTGATATGGAGCAGAGATATAGATCTGACGTAGTTGCATACGTACATGGTGCTTTGAATGAACCTATTTTCAAACAATGAACTTACCCTCATACTTCTACAGGCTTGGGACTGACAATGTAAAATTAAATGAATTTTAAATATATCAGAGTAATCACACGGTAAAATTGTATTAAGCTAAGTTCCATAATTACATTGGCGTATTTAAAAGTTAATTGTTTTTATGTACAATAAGAATTTTTATAAAAGAATTTTATACACTTTTTTTTTGTTTTTCTTAATTTTTTTTTAATTTGTTTATAATCATTTTTTTTTGCTTTTTGATTTTTTTTTGATGATTGATTTTTTTATGAGATATCTATATACAATAGTCTTCATTGCTTTTTAAAAATACAAGTTCCGCTGTTCGTTTTCTGCTTAATCGTGCTCTTTTTTGGGTTGCAAAATTTCCCGCTTTTGAAAATACTCTCTCACACTCCACTGATGTCACCACGATGTGACAGTGCTCATGAAATATTTCCGCCAAATTGGGGTACATATAGGAGTGAGATTTCCACCAAACTAATGGCGAAGAATCGCGCGGAAGCACTGGTTCATTATAAACATTTCTAGCTCGTTCTCAGCGTTGGTGGTTATGTCTGTACGTATTACACATAATCATTCAGTAAAAATTATAAGTATTTGTTGGATAAAAAACTAAAAATGTGCTCTAAATTTAATTGTTGTTTCTAATTTAAAATTATTTCTAAACAATATTTCTAAGAATCCGAAATCATGCAACTCGAAATAAATAAACTCCCCAATTTACTGATCAACGGTATTAACTGAAAATTGTATTTTATTGAATAAAAAATCAATAAAAACATCAGTACGAAAATGTATACGGAAAATGCGAGTAACGAAATGCATTCGTGAGTAACGTTTCGGTACTCGGTACTAGATGGCGTACCCGTTACGCAGTAACGAATACATACGGTTTGCTACAGCTCTAGATTTCACCAAGTTGTGATTTGTAGCAGCCACTATGAATTTAAGTAGCAGGTGTGACGTATGATTACGCATTTCACGTGATTTTTCACTTGCTACTCGTGAAATGTTCCATCCCTACTAAATAGTGCCACAGAGGTACAAACCCACACATACATAGTAACACACGTACATACCTACATAGGCTGATAAACACTTTACCTTCCTTTGCGTCGCACACTCGGGTAAAAATTGATTTAAATATAATTAAAAAAAATATTTTTTTGGTGCATTATACCAAGGGTAATATGTAATATTACCGTGATTATACTATATAAATAATTTAAATGATAAGAGATAAAACCAACAAAACAACTGCCATGTTTATTTTATTCAAACTCGGAGCACACGATTGGACTGGTATAATATACGGATAAAGGACACAATTAAATACAATATTGGCTTGAAATACGTATTGCCTTTTTTCGAATTTGGAAACGTGACATTGAAGGGCATCAATTGTAAATACTTTGTATGTTTAATATTAATTCCTACGTATAGTGGCGAATTTACACATTTTCCAAGTATAAATGATTTGTCCAACATTTTGGTTGAAGTTCCACAAGAAATAGATTTTAGGTATATTTTCGAGCTAATTCAAAGCCCTTCATTATAATATTGACACAATTTTTCTTATTAGAAATTATTATTTTTTATTAGAAAAAAATTCGCCACCTAAAATTTGGCGTCCTAGGCTTAAACCTACTCAGCCTGCTGGTAAATGCCACTGATTATAAGAGGAAAATGAAAATCATCAAAAATTAACTAATTGCCCATTTGTGTTTAATATGTCTAATAATATTCTAAATATCTCTTATTACGATAGTACTAAAATATTTGGTTTGCTTGGTTATGTGTGTTCTATGACTTCTATCTAAACATGAAAGTTACTTTAAAAAAAAAAAAAAAACATCAGTGAATGACCATGCTTCCTTTTGAACCTCTTTATTTAAATCAGAAAAATATTTATAAGGGGTTTATATTCAATAATTGATGAGAGTCAGATGTCATCAATATAATTTACTTATTATATTATATAAACAGCTCTTGAAATGAAATATTTTATCATGTATAATGATAATATTTTTTAATCTTTGTTTCATTTTTATCTTAAAGCCATAACCTACTGATTATGTAAAAACAAAACAAAATAACAATTATATTCAATAAATATCAGATCTAGTTTTAATTAAAGCTCATCCCTTACAGCAGTATTTTTGACATCTGGATTTTTTCCATCATATGTTTGACTTTCTAATTGAACATTCTTGAGTTCATTTTGTTCCAAGAGGTAATCTTTGGCAATCCAAGCTTGAGAACCATCTTTAAACATGAATATTGCCCTATCATCATCTATTAAGTATCTAAAAACAAAGGAAAATACATTATTACCAGAACAGTAGAAATAGTACAAATGTTTTCTTATTAATATAATTATTTTCTTTTTGTTGTAAAAGTACGAGACACTTTAAATTCAGGTTCAAATCTGACTATTATTACTATAAATCTATTACTATAACTGCAAAAGTTTGTGTATTTGTGTTTGTCTGTGCTACTTTGTGTTGTTCATGTCTATGTGTGTGTAATTTTGGTAGTTTTTCAACTTGGAACAACTGCACGATTTGGATGAAAATTAGTACAGAGACACTATAGCCTGGACTAACACATGGGCTACTATTAGGCATCTAACAATACATCCAAGTGTTGTGAGTTGATAGTCTCAATATATTCAAATCCTTTTATTTTATGATCTATCATATATGTCACAGATTGCATAATGTTGTTATGAAAACTATATCTACAATTAATAACATATGAAATAATAATGATTAATAAACACATAATATATACTAGCTACATAAACCATATTCAAAATACTATATTAATATTTAAAAGGTTAAATAAGAATACAAATAATTGAAAGTATACCTTTCAACCTGTATGTGATTGCTCCATAATCCACTCTGCCATATTTTAGTTAATTCTTCCGACCTTGCCCGAGAAGGCTTGTTGGCTACAGTAACAAACATCATTAAAGTTTGACCTTTTTTGGTTGCTTGTAAAACTGCTTCTGGATTTGACATATCTAAGTTGTTCAAATCTATAGAAGGAGGCTTTCGCATGTATTCCGGTTGTTCATCTTCCGGCAAGGGTTCTTCATCTTCCTCCCATTGATCGAAAAGACTGAAATTATAAAAAGCCACATCATTTTGCCTTAATAATATACAAAATAGTAAATAAGCAACAATAAAGTACCGTTCCATGTCAGCATCACTGAAATCGCGGATATCTTTTTTAGCCCACGCCGGCTTTTCTTCATCATTATATTTTTTTGCGCTTTTAGCACCAATACATAGAAATATTATGAAATATAAAAGTTTAGACATTTTGGATAGGTTGAAAAATAGTTTAAGTCACTTTTTTAATCTATAGATATATTAGCAACAGTAGCAATATACTCTATGATTAGCAATTTAAAATTTTGTCTAAAGCAAGAACGTTGCACCTATTCACCAATCACCATGGATTGATTGATGATTCCCATTTACCAGTTTATAACTATACTCTTTGGATTGACAACTGACAACAATTGAGTGTTGACTTTTATTTGTCATCCATGGTATTGACATTGACATTTGACAATGATTTTTTGAATTAAACTGTATCAGTATCTATCTACCTTATTTTTGTAATTATTTTGGAAAATGAACTTAGCGAATAATCAGTTGAACACTGTTTAGTGGGGAAGATTTCTCGAAAGGAGGGCGCCACACGTATTAACTATTTACACTTTACGTTTTGTCTGAGGTTAAGCTATTTATTATGATATATCTTGTATACCTGGTTTTTTCTATTGTGTTCGCATTTTACCTGTGCAATGTATTAATATCTAGAAGTTAGACCAGCTGAAGGAAGAATTGAGAAGGAGAGGTGCATCCTGCGGTGGTCCTGACTGACTAATGGAGCAACACTTACAATATAACCATGAACGAATTAACCACTTCGTTCATGAATATAACATATAGCCTAAAGCGCTGGTCGTAGAAACGTGAAATTTGAAGGACGTATTTCTTATACTATGCAGACAACCGATAAGAAAGGATTTTTCGAAATTCATCCTCTAAGTAGGTAAAATAGGAGATTAAAGATTGTATGAAATCTGTCATTCTTATTGTGAAGTACACAGAAAGTGGTGTTTAGCTGTAAAATAAAAATTAGAAATATATTATATGTTTTTTTTGAAATTCATCCCTTAAAGGTGCAAAAGGGGGTAATAAAGTTTATATGGGCAAATAGTTTTTTATGAATAGAATTACTTGAAACTTAGCATTAATGCTCTTCAATACAATTAAATAAATACACGTTGTAGCATTTTTCAAAATTCAATCCCATATGGGGGCAAAATGGGGGATGAAAGTTTGTATGAAACTCAGTAATTAATATGTAAAGAAGTAAAAAAATAAAAAAAATATTCACCTGTAGACTATTTAAGAGTTTTAAAATCAATTTCCTTAAAATGATGTCCACATAGCCTTAAGTATGAAGGTTGTGATTTTGTCAATTTTAGTAGTTTTATTGCTTTAGCCCACAGTTTCTTTAGATTTTGTGTTTTGGGAACAAATAATATCCATTTTATTTGCATCCTGGCACTGCACAATTTGTCATTTTAATTATATATTAAATAAAATGTAAAAAATTCAGTCCACGCTATAGAGCTTTACAATATACTGAGGGCTATAGTGATCGTGACATCTGGCGGGAGAATAAGGCAAAACTCTTCCATTAGTAGGCGTTGATACTGATTTCGAATCCAAAGATTGCTCTCTATGTCGGTATGTAACACTAACAGAGTACCTACTTTGTATTCTAAGCAGTACTGCCAATTTTCGGGTAATTACCCGAAAAGCGGCTAATCTAAGGCAATTTTTTGGTGGCAGGTAATTTTGTCGGGTATTTGCATTGAGCGGGGTAAATCAATCATAATAGTAATTTAAAAACATTATAACAGCTCATCGAAACTCATTCATGATTAAATATAGATACTGTTGTTGCAATATTGGCCGTGCGGGAGGTATCCGCAAAGGTAAGGAGCTATTGTGAAATTCCAGCCCAGTGTTCAAATGTACTACCAAGTACTAGCGGAAATTGATTAATTGGATATTTTAAGTTCTTTTTTATGTTTGATTCAATAATTTAAAGTTGTTTAATTGAGAACTGATTACAATGACTTCTTTTTCTAACATTACTACTTTCTTTTTCTTTCTCATTCTATATAAAACATGAAATAATTACTTAAAAAAACTATTTTGGGTATCCTGCTTATGGCTGGCGCCGGCGGGATAAACCGGGTGTTTTGAGGTGGATTGGTCGGGTAAATCTACGACTGTTATCTGGCAGCCTTGATTCTAAGACTGAGTTCCCACTTCCCTGTTTAACTGTCTAGTTGTCACAGTGGCGGGTATCTTTTTGGTCGTGTATTGTTTTAATTTATAATACATTTCTAATTTAATATCAAAAAGATAAATGTGATATTAATATTTTTTACTATTTTTTATATATTTCGTGCAGTGGACTATATATTTTCAATTAATGGTAATAACTGTCACGGTTAATGTGATCGGAGTTGTGGTTATATCACAGAACAATCAGTATAATTTGGGGTTGACACCATGGACCAAAGTATTATTACTCCAAACACATCAAATCAGCAGTTAGTGATAAATGGTGATAATGATTCTGCGACGGCTCTGCTGCACGAGAAGCAGGCGAGGAGAAGAGAGACATTAAGCGATGTCACCTTCATCGAGTACATGACTGTCTTTATATTGTGTTTCGTCAACCTCATCAACTATATGGACAGGTTTACCCTGGCCGGTATGTATTATTTTTTATTCTCTATTTAATTACTATAATAATGCAAAAAAATATGACACTATTATATCTAGCAAAGCTATAAAAACCATCAAAGATGGATATTATATTTCTTATTGTACTATTATTCTTATTAGACTACAGTTTTAGTATTATATACTTTTTAGTGGATCACCCTCGCTTTGCTTGGGTTCATCTCTAGGAATGCATAAATCTATCCCACGGGAACCGTAAATGTTTCTGGGACTAAACTAGCCTATTTGTCATTCTAATACTTGAGCTATATTATTCTACAGTTTCATTAAAATACATTCAATAGTTTTTGTGTGAAAGAGTAACAAACATCCATATGTCTATACATCCCATCACAAACTTTTGCATTGAAAATATTAGTGGAATGCTATAATAATGATGACAAAGCTGAATAATTTTGGTTTTGTCTTAAATAATATTGGTGGATATTTAAAAATATATGCATTTCATCCTCCGCTTTCCTTTACATATCGTGAATATACAGACTATGAATAGACTAAAAGAATAATAACTTAAACCATCTGTAAATCAAAAACACAGTTCAATTTTTTTAATGTTTAAATATAATATTTAAAATGAGAAAAAAATACTGAGAAGTATTGGTCCATTTAATATCAATTAATAGTTTCATAAAATTGTATTTTTAGCTGGATTTACCCTTGTTTTGCTAAGGTGCACCCCTAGGTATGCTGATTCGGTTCACAATTTCATGGCTTTCAATTTGGCGGCCGTTTAGAATTGGGGACTTGGCCCCTAGCGGAGTGGGTGGTATTTCTGGATAAGGGACGTGATAGGGAGTCGAAATGTTAAATAAATTTTTTAATACAACAAAAGAGTCAAAAGTTATTGAGACTTAAAGTTATAACATTTCCATACATTATTTTGACATTACTACCATTTAGACACTTGGAGTCAAAACGTCACTTTCAATTGTCAAAATGATCTCCAGATGATTGTCTTTATTTGTACTTTGCGTGAAATTCGAATTTTCTAGTTTTCTAGTCATTTATGGCACTCGCCGGCCGCTACCGCGGCACGCTCGCTTCGCTCGCTCGGCTCGTGCGTTGTGGCAACTGTTCTAACCTAACCTAACCAAGATATGACGAATAATTAATAAATAATCTTAAATGTTCTAACCTAACCTAACCCAGATATGAGGAATAATAAATAAATAATCTTAAATGTTCTAACACTAACCTAACCCAGATATGAGGAATAATAAATAAATAATCTTAAATGTTCTAACCTAACCTAACAAGATATGACGAATAATTAATAAATAATCTTAAATGTTTCTAACCTAACCTAACCCAGATATGAGGAATAATAAATAAATAATCTTAAATGTTCTAACCTAACCTAACCCAGATATGACGAATAATAAATAAATAATTAAAAATATTCACAGATAAAAAAATGATTTTTTTTTACTAAATGTACAATTGTAAAACAATATATTTTTACATAAATCAAATAAAAAGTTATAAATGTATTTATAAAGTGAAAATAATATTTTTCTTTTTATTTATTTATTTATTATATTAATATTTTACCAACAGAAAAGCAAAAATAATCAAATATAATCTGTTTGTCATTTAAGCGGTAATATAAAACAAAGTGTCAGTTTTGCTTTTGTCAAAATGTAAGATCATTTTGTTTGTGTTGTGAAATTATTAAAATATTAAATACAATAAAGCATTAATTGTTGTGAAAATGTGTAATGTACATAAAAAAGGATGCGTACTATTCGTTAAAGGTATGTTTATCTGTTGTAATCACTTATTTAGGTAAAGAAATGTATGGAAATGTGTTAGATATTGTTATAACTTTAAGTCTCAATAACTTTTTAGTCGTTACGTTTCCTCCAATATTTTTAATATATTTTGACTCTCTGTCACCTCCCCTATCTAAAAATACCACCCACTCCGAATGGTGGTAAAGAAATATATGAAAATGTATGGAAATGTTGTAACTTTAAGTCTCAATAACTTTTGAATCTTTTGTTGTATTAAAAAATTTATTTAACATTTCGACTCCCTATCACGTCCCTTATCCAGAAATACCACCCACTCCGCTAGGGGCCAAGTCCCCAATTCTGAATTTGTGCCTTCAATTTTTTGGTGCAGAATCGTAATTTAATTATTTTTCTAAAATGAACATTTATTTTTTAAATTCATAAATAACTTTATTCATAAATAAGGAAATTGAACATAGAACATAGTAATTTTTACACTAAAGTCTTGTACAATTCAATTTCAAACAGTTGGGTGAAGTAGTGTACTCCTTTTTTCTTATAAGTACCTACTGATACCTTTGATATTTAGTAAAAAGCTGTTATTTTTACATTATGAACAGATTACATTTTTATTTATTTATACAAATATCATATCAATAAGGTCTTGTTAGGGTTTTATTTTCTTGAAAAATACTTTTAAATAAAAAAGCAAAAAAAAAAATACAAATTGTTGATAAAAATTTGAAATTGTGAATATTTTTATATATTATTTTTTAAATAACGTAATATTATGTAAATATTATATAACTTTGTAAATATATTTCAATAAAATTATAATTATATACAATTACATTTTGACTAGCAGAACCCTCGGCTTCGCTCGAGCTAAAAATAAAAAAAACTAAAAAAGTAGGTTTCATACAAACTTTCAGTCACTATTTAACCCGCGTATAAGATGAATTTTGAAAAATGTTGAAACACGTATTTAGTTAATTGTATTCAAGAGTAATAATACCAGGTTTCAAGTAATTCTGATCATACATAATTTTCTGGATTGTATTATAACGTGTTTTCCCGTGCGAAAGAGATGATCTCCCGCGGTAAAAAGTATCCTGTCACTCCCCAACCCTCCGATTATCTCCACACCAAAAATCATGCCAATCTGCCAAGCCGTTTCGACGTGAAAGAAAAACAAACACTTTCACGTTTATTATATTAGTATGGATTTACAATTCCTTTGTCGCTCTGGCTTTAATATGTAGTGATTTAGGCCATTATTTAAAATTTAAAACATAAATGTATCAATTATTGAATAATTTCAAAATACCAAATATGTATTATTAAAGCTCTGCATGAATGGCTTGCCACAAATTTACCTGAAAGCGCTTACGAGTATATTGCGTTTCACTGAGATTACGTCTTATCGCATTATCTCAGAATGTCAGGATTTTTGTAGCTTAAAAGCTACAAAATGTACGTAAGCTTGATAAATATCGCTGATATAATAAGCTTGCCGTAAAGCCTCGTATCGTCGGAAAAGTGTGTCTTTATTGCATAACGTACAAGTATGCAATCTATTTAAGTAAATTATATAGTCGACAGAAAGTATCACAATGTTAAGCTCTCTTTATTAAAACGGCTTAACCCAAAAATTTATTTACAAACTATTAACTAATTCATTAAATTACGTGCATCAATTATACTTAGCATGTACGGTTACAGATACTTGCTGACATCCTGTCTTTGAATCTATTGTCAAGTCAAAAGTATTTATAGGTTTTTCTTATTAGAAAATTTTAAAATAAACTTTTAGTTGGGGAATTGGCGGTGTTACAACTTACAATTCAGCGCCACGGAGAGCACGTTAAAGTGGTAATCCCGTCGTTGTTCCTGCGCTTGATCTCTCATCGATCGTGTCGAATAGTTGTCGTCTCTGCGGACTATGTATAAAAGTATATATGTATGTACTTATTACGTACATCTGTTACATAAATAATTATCCACAATACATATATTTTCTGGGTAAATAGATACACTTTTTGAAAATGACTGTCGTGGCCAAAATTTATATACTTACCTACATATATACTTTCCACAAGGTGGACGAAATGGTTGGACAAAGTCCCTGGAACCCATTGGATGCGGATATTTTTCGGCTGACATGATGATGATAATGCTGAAATAAAAATGTAAATTCTAAGTAGCTGGATCCAATCGAATTATGATGAATATATCGACTAACTAACTGCCTCGGTGGTGTAGTGGCTAGCATGTACGGCTGCACACCCGGAGGTCCTGGGTTCGAGTCCCGGGTCGGGCCAAGTTTAGTTATTAAGTCTTTCTGTATAGAAAGTCTCAGTAACAGCCCGGAGTTGGGAAGTTGGCGGTGTTTCACCCCCGTGCCTCGGAGAGCACGTAAAGCCGTCGGTCCTGCGCCTTAACTCTCACCGGTCGTGTCGAGTGGTCGTCCCACCGGAGTATGAGAATGATAGGAATAGAGAGTGCACTTGTGTCTGCGCGTACACTTGAGCACTATAATATCTCCTGCGCAGTTGGCTAATCTCAATGAGATTGGCCGCCGTAGCCGGAATCGGCTAGGAGAACATCATCATCATCATATCGACTTGTAATTTATTCGACCGGTACCGAGTAATTGTCATTATTAGTAAAAATAATAGAGATGAGATAGTAATAGAGAAATGTAATACAGGATGAATTTAAGACTTTCCATATTTTTATGCTGTAGTAGCACACATTACTTTTTTAAATCGCGTCAAACTTATGTGTATTTATGTAATTGTTATTGAACGCTTATAAAGGCAGAGGGCTAGACGTCACGTACTATGAATACTTATCTCTAGTCCCCTATCACGTGCATGGACCTTTGAATGAATGAATACAAAAGCATGATTAAAATTTAAGTACTTCATGTAAAGTTGTTTCTAGAAGTGGGAGTGCCGAGGATTTAAAAACTAAATAGGACCACTTGGCCTTAAATTAATATATTTAAAAAAAATATCATTGCTTAATAACAACCAGAAAAATAATTTTTCAATTGTCATATTACCAACCCGCCTTTGACGTCAATGTTTAATAATAATTAATATTAATTATGTAAATGCTAAACATGCGAGGAATTGTCTTTAGTAACGTAACTGTAGTATTTGTTGCTTCTAAATAGGTATTATTTAATGGCAAATGAAAACGGACTTAAAGTTTTGTAAGTTCAAATTAT